GGGTATCCCTCTTACCCCGCCCCGTCCCGCCCCGACCTGCCCCGTCGCAATCGCTTACCGATTTGTCGGAGAACTAGAAGGACGCGCGTGTAGTTGCTCTACCCCGTTATCGGCCTTTTCCCTGGGAAATGGGTGCCATCATTGAAGTAGGACGCGTTCTTAGGCGGAATCAAGGAAAACGACTCCTCGTATCCCTGTAAAATCGAGGATTTCCTTTCCAAGACCAAGATGGAATTAGGGTTGAAGTTAATGTCGTCCTTCTCCTTTATATTTCCCCATTACTTTCAGTTTCTCCTTCTTCTATCTTCGTCTTCTGATCTGAACTCTGAAGCTCTAGCAGTCAAACAAATCTTCTTGTTGCCGAGTTACCAGCGACAACATCCCAATCCGACAATCCCAGAAGATCGGAAAAGGTATGTTTCTTAGTGTAGGCTCGTAGCCTGTAGGTTATAGATTATGGAATTGTCATTCCTTGTGTGTTGTAGTCCCTTCTTATCTATGTTTTAATTTAACTCTTTTCCTGTATATTATACAGAACAAGGCTCTGCAATTTTTTAGTACCGTTGTACCTGCTTATTATATAATCCCTTCTTGTTGTAGAGTGTAGACTTGTACTCCCTACAATAGCCATGCTTGCTTGTGTAGTCCCTGCTTCTCCATGTTTTAACTCTTGTAGTGCTTATTATGTAGAACATGGACGAGGCTCAGAGACAACAAACAGACGCTGCTGTCATTCCAAACACGGACCAGCCATTATCTCAACCTGAAATTATGCAAGTTGTTGCTGAAGTTGAAGCTGAACCTGCTACAAATCAAGCTGTCAACAATTGCGTGAAGAGAACTGGTGGTACAGCTGGTAAAGTTTACTCCAAATGGTGGCAGCACTACAATAAATTAACTGTTGATGGCGAGGCAAAAGCCGAGTGCAAGTATTGTCAGAAGAAACTTCTCGGAGATCCAAAGCAAGGAACAAACCATCTAAAGAATCATTATCATAGATGTCCTAAAGCGCAACGTCCTATGGATATAAGGCAACAAGTTTTACACGGCAATATGAGCAAGGAAAAATTCCAACTGACCCCTTTCAACTTCAATCAAGAGGCTTCTCGGAAAGAATTGGCCAAAGCAATAATCAAGCATGAGTATCCTCTGAGGATTGTAGATCATGAAGGGTTCCGAAGTTTCTGCTTGAGTTTGAACCCTTGTTTCAAGATGGTGACAAGAAATACCATTAGGAAGGATTGTTTTGCCATATATGACATTGAAAAGGAAGCTGTAATGCAGCATATAGAGAAGAATGAAGGTCGAATTGCTATAACTACAGACATGTGGACTTCTTCCCAGAAAAAGGGATTCATGGCAATCACTGCACATTATGTCGACAACAAATGGAACTTGCAAAGTCGAATTATCAGGTATCATGAATAATGTGTTAAGAGTAATTTGTTATTGAATAATATGTTATATGAAAACGTGTTTTGTGTGCTACTGGTTGGCAGGCAGTAAGTACTTAATGTCACATGGTTTGGTAATATTTTTGTTTGGTAATGATTTGCAGTTGTTGAGGCAGAGCAAGTGAGCAACTACTTGTTGATGTTTAGTGTTTAGCCTTACTAGTTATATGGAAAAGTTGCTTATAAACTATTTGATTATGATGTCGTGTAGGAAAAAGCTTCTTTTATGTTTTGTGTTTATCCTTATTAGTTAAGAAGTTTATATCAACAAATCGCTTCCGTGAACAGGTGTAAGAACTCAAGAAGCTTATATTAATGGGTAGCTTCCAAATGGAAAGAACATTTCCAGCTGCAAATTTAAAACAATTATTGTTTCTATATAGAAAGAACAAGTTGTTGTGCTTCTAAATCAGTGACTTATTATCTTTACTTAATTTGCAGGTTTATTTATGTGCCTGCCCCTCATACAAGTGAAGCTTTGTATGAAGTTCTAAAGGAATGTTTGTTGGATTGGAACATCGATCATAAGTTATCAGCAATTACCGTCGATAACTGCTCAACAAATGATGCGATGATAACTCGATTGATAGAGAAGCTTCCTTTGGAGTCTCTTTTAGATCATGGGAGGATGATTCATATGCGCTGTTGCGCGCACATTCTGAATCTTATAGTGAAGGAAGGTTTGAAAGTTATTGGGGACAACATACAGAAGATAAGAGATAGTATCCATTTCTGGTTGTTAACACAAAGGAGATGGGAATTGTTTGAGGATACTGCTCGCCAGCTGAAGAAGCCCACTGGTAAGAAGCTCTTACTTGATTGTGAAACACGATGGAACTCAACTTTTCTTATGTTGAACACGGCTTTGAAGTATAAGGAAGTTTTTAGCCGCTTGAAGATTCGTGAACCGAAGTACAAATGCGTGCCTAGTGAACTTGATTGGAGAATGACAGAGGAGATATGTACTAGGCTAGAGACTTTCTACAAGGCAACTAATCTTTTTTCTGGCACCAAATATCCTACTGCTAATTTATGTTTTGCTGAGATTTGTGAGATCAAGATTGCCATAAATCAGTGGCGTGTTTGTGGGATTGAGAAAATTGAGAATATGGCCATTGAAATGCTGGAGAAGTATGATAAATATTGGTTAGATGTGCATGCTTTGATGGGGGTGGCAGCCATACTTGATCCGCGATTCAAAATGGATGTTCTGGATTGTTATTTTCCTGACATCTATGGTAGCAGCACTGAATTTGAGATGGATAGGATCCGTGGTATATGTCGTAACTTGGTGGAAGAATATGAAGAGAAGGCAAGGGAGAAAGAACAAGAGAATGGTCAATTGAGCTGTCAACAAAAGGGTGGCAGTGTTGTGGGGTCATTAGCAAGCAAATTTGACTTGTATGCTTCTCGGAAAAAAAGGAAACCTGTGAGGTCAGAGCTGGACATTTACTTGGATGATGAAATTGTACCCAAATCACCCGACTTTGATGTTTTATGCTGGTGGAAGTCGAACAAAGGTAAGTATCCTCTATTGCATAAGCTTGCAAGAGACATTCTGGCTATTCCTATCTCTACGGTGGCCTCTGAGTCTGCCTTCAGCACTAGTGGACGAGTCATTTCTTCTCATCGGAGTAGGCTTAAGCCACACACCATAGAAGCTTTGATGTGCGCTCAGAGTTGGTTGCGTGCTAATTCAAAAGGTAATCTATCTATTATATTTGTAAATGTTATAATATATGTAAACAAAGTTAGTGCAGTAGTTTTATTTCTTACTCTTGTATTCAATGTTATGCTACCAGAGGAGAATCTACATGATACAGTTCTGCATGATTCTGATGAAGAATCAGAGAATGAAACTGAGGTATTGCTTCTTCTTTCTTGATGCTATCCTTCTGTTTTTTCTTGCTGCAATCTTGTTGCTTCTTTTACTGTTGCTTCTTTCTTGCTGCCTTTTTCAAACTGCTACTTCTGTCTTGCTGCAACCTGGCTGCTTCTTTCTTACTACTGCTTCTATTTTGCTGCAGGGTAATGGCACAAAGCCAAAAAGTTAGGAGTAGAGATGTTTGGCTGTTTGCTGGTCTAGAGGAAGGGACGCAGCTGCTGCCTACATAAAGTTTGAAGATTGGCATTATCTTAAGGAACTGAAGTTTTGAGCAATTAGTAGTTGAGTTTAAGAGTTGATTTTGGATTTGTGTTTGAAAATGAATATTTTGGGAGGTTTGCCTTGATATTTTTGGATTCTGGCATTTGGAACCACAATTCACGTTGAGATATGGATGGTATTAGCTATTAAGTATTTGAAAAGTATTTATGGATGGTGATTGGTGTGTTATATAGGTTAATTTTTATATATGCTATAGCCTATAGGTGGATTAACGAAATGGGGCAGGGCGGGTTTTACCCGCCCCGTGCGGGGCGTACCTTGGGTCAAAAAACCTTGCCCCGTCGCGGGTCGCGGGGCAGGGCGGGACATTGTAATAGATGGCAGGGCAGGCCGCGGGTTTAGGGGTACCCGCCCCAACCTTGACCCGTTGCCATAGCTAGATCAAAGTAGAGCGGGAAAATGAAGCGTCACACCGTTGTCATTCAAAGAAAGAGGAAACACTTAAGAGCATCTCCATTAGTATAATTGCATTTGTGAATTTTTTTGACAGAACACCATTTTGCAAGCCAACTCACTTGACGTTTATTGTACCTACATTGGTGCAATTAACTTGCAATTGCATATGGGGCCTAATTGTTTTTCATGCATAAAAGAACATTTTTTAAATACCTTTTTATCGACATTGCAAGTAAATAAAATAAAATAAAATTTTATTTTAATTTAAACAAAATATATACAATTAATGCTTAAATTTTTTATTACTAATTTATGAAGAAATTTTGGTCTTAAGGATGGAATAGAAAGAATCTCTCACCAAAAAAAAAAGAATAGAAAGAATCTAGTACTCAATAATTATTCATAAAATCAAAATAAAATTTTCTATTTATATTATTATGTATATTTTATTATAATTAATAAAATAAGTATATGATGCTATTTACTCCCATTGGTACAAAAATTACAATAATACTAATTTAACACATGGTCCTTGGAAATTATCCAAAAAATTCCAATAATAATTAATTCTATGGCACATGCACCCAAATGCGTTGGCATTGAAATCATAACAGGAAAAAAAAAATTATAAACCTTCTCATCGTGGCTTGCAATGAGACTTGCACCAAATGAAAGTTTCCATTTTTGCAATAGCCGCTCACATTGGTGGGATGTGAAAATGAAATTGTAAAATTGTGGCGCATTGAAATCATAACAGGAAAAAAAAATTATAAACCTTCTCATCGTGGCTTGCAATGAGACTTGCACCAAATGAAAGTTTCCATTTTTGCAATAGCCGCTCACATTGGTGGGATGTGAAAATGAAATTGTAAAATTGGGCCACGTCAGAATGTAAGTGCAGGTAGTTTTTTCCGATGGAGATGGTCTAAACAAAAGTAATCAATGCAAGAGCATGTGTAAGTGTAACATACCTAGCTAGGGCAGCAAGATATGGACGTTCATTTGCGAGAGAGCCTCCCTTGAGTAAATTTCTCCTCTCGGGCAGTGCAATTAATTGTAGCTTTTGTGCGAGCCGTAGTAGCACCCAAAAGGAAATTGCAAGAGATCGAGAAAACGCAAATCGCTAGGCAGAAAGCAGAGGAAAAGGCAGCAGGTTAGCTAGGTTCATAAACTAAATATCCTTGGGAGCCTGAAAGCCCCCCTTTAACTTGGGCCGTTGTGCGACGTTCTCTTCTCTCGTACGTCTATATAACTGAATATCTCCTGCCCATCCAAAAAACACAATCTTCTATATAAACTGAAATAAGCACAGGGAAGCCAGCCAGCCAGCCGCAGCGAGCAGAAATGGCAGCCAATCACAACAGTTTCAGAGTGAAGCTCATCATCGACAAGAGGCAAAACAAGGTCCTGTGCGCCGAGGCAGGAAAAGACTTCGTCGACTTCCTCTTCAACTTCCTCACAATCCCAATCGGCTCCGTCTTCCGCCTCCTGAAACAACTCCACCCCGCCCGCTGCGTCCGCTAACTCACCGCCAGCATCGAGAGCATGAACCAAACTTGCTTCCAGGATATGCAAAGTACCAAACACTACCTCCTCAACAGCCTCCGCGGCGAAACCCACGTTAAGAAGGTGCCGCTGCTCCCCGCTAACCCGCACCGCTGCCTGGAGAGGACGATCTACTCCTGCAACGAACCGACACACAATCCTCGCTGCGCGGGCGTAGACTCCGTCGGGCTTGTTCCCCGGAAATGCGCGTACGACGTGGAGGTGAGGTTCCTGGACAGCGTGGGGTGGTGTCGCGAGGCCGATTTCGTGAAGCCAGAGCTGAGGTTCCTGGTGAAGGACGATCTCTCGGTTCGGCACTTCGATTTTTCCATCATGTCCGGACTCTCGTTTCTGACCACCGAATTTGGCGTCACGGACTTCGGCGGCGTCGAGGAGAGAGTCGTCCAGGTCGGCGTGAGTGAGGTAATTACCTACCTACACAATAAAAACACACCTAACTTTTCAAATATTCCTTCAGAGTCTGATATATTTTAATTATTGTAGGGAATGCGATTGCTGGAGGCGTTCATGCACACAACATCGGCTCTGACCACTGTGTTTCTCGGCAACAAGTAGAGAGCGAGAGCGAGGAATCCAACTGAAGGCTCCATGGCGTGCTCACAAGGAATTTCGGATTTCGTTCCAGTTTTTATCTCTTGGTCGATTTTTAATTGCGGTTGTTGTTGACTTTATATTATTGGACCCAGCCACTGTTTCTGTTTCTTTCTTTCTTAGTTGGTTTGTTTCAGTACGGGACAACAATTGCACGTTAGTTAGTTTGCTTCCTTTTCTGTTTTAACTTCTGTATTTGCGTTGTGGCTCCCTCAACTTTTGGTGTTTAATAATGAAGTCGTGTCATGCAATGATATGCTTAAATGTGACGAATTTGTTATGTGCTATGATTCAAAATGTTATCAAATATGTGCATCCTACTTATGTGATCATAAACACATATGACCCATTAACTTCTCGCTCTCGCCGAATTAACCTTTAAGGTGATGATGCTGACATTTTCGTTAGAATCAACTGTGGAGGGCTATATTTGTCACGAATTTGCCTAACCCTTTATTATTTTATGTACGTAGTTTCAAAAAATAATGGGTTTTTTTTTTAACGTAAACAGTAGTCAGGTAAATTCCTTACCAAAATAGAGTTAAAGAACATAAAATAACACCGTGCGGCAGTCGACAAATAGTCGAACTGTCGATGAAAGGGCCTGTTATGCCACAAAATGCGCAGCCCTATAAGCAGCTGTACCTGCAAAATGAACAAACACATAGCCGTAAACGGCCGAATATCTGTAAATATTGAAAACTATGCCAAAATCCTTACTCCTATAACCTCAAGCAAAACGCTTCATCATCAAGTCATCCAACCGGCCACTAGAGTTGCCAAACATGACATTCATCGGCCCTCCAAACGACTCCATCCAAAAGCCCGGATGCGTAGTGTACTCGGAATGCTTACCGAAGCCGCACCCTTTCCTTAGAAAGCCATAAAGCTCCATTAGCAGTCAGAAGTAACCTGCAAAACAAGAAAACAAAAAGACAATCCAAAAGGCCGATCTTGGAGTTGTCGTTTGGACATCCTAATCAGCCAAACAATACGAAATGAGAAAGGAAGACTCCACCGTGGAGTAACATTGATAGGCTCCACAACGGAGAGGGCCATCACTGGCAAACCACGATGACGTAGACCATTATGAGTCAATATGTACGAAACAGACTCTGCAACCCACTCACAAAGATGGGACTAACGTTTTCTATTCTAGAATACAATTTTTAAAAAATAATTCATAGTTAAAAAAAAAAATCATAGTTAACCAAAATAAAACGGAAAAGCTTTGGAAAGAATAATAAAAAACAAAGTAATTATGAAGGATAATTATAAAAGAAAGGGTAAATACAATTTAATAGCCAAACCTTTCGTTTTAAACAAAATAATAGCCAAACCATCAACTTTCCGTCCAGTTGACTATGACGTGGCAAAATTTTAAGTGAGTTGGAAGATTTTTGCTGATGTGGCAGGAAGTCAAACGTTTGGCTATGTCACATAAATATTACATAATTTTATAAAATAAATTTTGTTATCATACAAATAAATTAAATTTAGATAAATAATACTAAAAGTAAATGAAATTGTGAAATTTCTCAATCACTTCAGAACACCTATCCTTCTTCTCCGCATCTCAACCCCTTTCCGTCGATCAAGCCCTTTTTCCAGTCGTCCTGCGCCGATGTCGAGTAACTTCACAACCAGTCCGACCATTTCCCCATTTGTCGATTCCCCAATCGTCCGTCAAAACACCACAAAGCCTAGCCCTGTTCTTTCTGCTCTGGTCGATTCCTCTTCTCTGCAAAGACCAAACGCCCTTCCCTCCTCGAATCCTCTCGGATTGCCGCTCAACTGGCAAGAGCCGACCCCATCAATCGAATCCGACAATTGGTTCAGCATCCTTCCCCGATCTGGCCCTCTCTAGTCTCGACCCGCCACAATGCGACCTTGATTCTGGCAACACTTATTCTTCTTTCTCTGACTCGTAAGTCGTATCCACGACGGCAACATATTCAACTACAAGAAAAAAAAATTCTCTTCCCCGTCCCATTCAGGCGACCGCCGCCGCCGCGTACTACTGCCGTCATCAGAGATTAATAAGATTCAGATCTCTGTCTTGGTAGATGTTGTAAAGTGGAGAATCAGATTCCCATTTTTGTCCCGGAAGAGATTGAGTCTCAGAAGTGAAGATGTGGTGGTAATTTCAGATGATGCGTCCCAGGATCAAATCCCTAATTTTGGGTTGCCGAGGCGGCCATAGAACTCCATTTTAAAACTTGGTGTGGTGTCTTTTATCCAAGTTCCTGAAGCTTCCTCTGTAGTCGATCCTGAGGAACGAATCCCCATTTGGGAGAGGCAAAAAATTTGGACTTTAGAAAGTGGAGTGACTTGCTTGGCTAACGAACGATGAAGAGTCCCCTTACCGCCGAAGAGGGATTTGTATATAGAGAGAGGAAGTTGAATGGACGGATTAGAATAGAGAGAAAGTTGAATGGATAAGCTTCATCTTTATTTTTTATTTTGTTTTTCTATTTTTAAACATAAAAATTAAATTGTAAAAAGAATAGTAATCCATGTCACATGGTCAAATATTTGACATTCTGCCACATCAGCAAAAAATTATCCAGCTCACTTAAAATTTTGCAACGTCATAGTCAACTAACGGTCAACTGGACGGAAAGTTGACGGTTTGGCTATTAAATTGTTTTCGAAAAGGTTTGGTTATTATTTTGTTTATAACGAAAAGGTTTGGCTATTAAATTGTATTTACCCTGAGATTTAAAATGGGTGATTGTGAGTGATATGAGATTTGATGGCCCACCTCAAATGCATGTATTGAATCAAGCTTTGGAACAAAAAAAACAATGAATTCTCCAAAATACATGAATTCAAAAGAATCATTCATCTAGAATCATAACTTTCAAACGACCCCTAACTTCCTTTCTCGTTTATCCTCCATCTCAATTGTTGCTTGAATGGAGGAACCCTAGTTGTAAGTAGGGGTGTGCAATGGTCCGGTCCGTACCAGACCACACCGGACCAAACCGTTGTTAAGACCATAGACCAGGGAACCGGATCGTACCGGCCGGTTCAACCGGTTCAACCAGAAATTGGACCAAAAGCGGTACGGTGGGCTGATTGTTCTGATTTTACCGTGCCGGCCGGTTTTTCGGTTTGACCGGTTGAACCGGCCGGTATGATCTGGTTTCCTGGTCTATGATTCAGCTTCATTTCTCCGTATTCTCGTCCAATATGTGGAAAATAATTAAAAAGAATATTATTTTGCTATTTTTCTATGTTGAAAATGGGTCACCGTGGTTGTATAATGCTCTATTTGGTTCTTTTTTTTATGGATTATATTTTTTATACTATCGCATTTCATTTCTCTATCAATAGTGAAAAACGGTATTTACCGGTACAAAACGGTTGAACCACGGTCGTACCACAAAATACCATACCAGAAAGGAATCCGGTATGATGTCCGGTACGGTTTCCTTTACCATGGTTAAGACCGGACCAGATCAGATCGAGTAAAATGCGGTCCGGTCCTTGATCCTCATGAATTTTATAATTACTGAAGAAATGGTGGACCGAGCTCATATTTGGACTGGACTGAACCGGACCAAATGGACCAAATGCAAGAATGGTCCGGTCCTTGGTCCTAACATGTCTTTCACTAATGAATCGCGGTTCTCATGAGTTTGGTCCGGTTCGGACCGAACCGTTGCACACCCCTAGTTGTAAGCTACAGTACCGATTGAATTGAGTATGGTTTTGATGTCTTGCTTCGATCCTAGATGTATATTGAATTCGATAATTTCTAGCTTCTTGTTGCTTATTCGTATCATACATTTAATGTGGAGAATATCTCCTTCACAAGACTGATCACTTCAAAATAGAACAAAATGATCGAGCTACTCGACATAAAGTCATGAAAACCCCTCAAATTAAGGTGAAATAGTAACATAATAAAGTCGTAGAAATATAAAGGTTAATACCCTAGTTTGGCCCGAAGTTTGGCGTAAGTGACAGTTCTAGCTCAATTTTTCAAATAAGACATTTGTGGTCTACTTTTGAAACTATTGGACAAATTTGACCCAAAATTTTCTTTGACCGTTAATATTGACGGTCAAACACTATTCCGTTAGTGACTCAGCAAACAACCACTGATATGGCATACCACGGCAGTAAATAATATTATTTTAATTTTATAATTTAATTAAAATAAAAAATAAGAAAATTCCTTTATTATCCCCAAAGCCCCAAATCCAAACACTAATTCCCTAAATCAACATCAACAGGAGGCGCCTCCCTCCTCCTTCCTCTTCTTCACATCGCGGCGGCGTTTGCAGTTGCAACTGCGGCCTCCACCACCTTCGTTGTCGCCGCCGCCGCCATGGAGATAGTTCGCTCGGATCCTCCTCTTCCTCGTGGCAGCCCTCGTCGGCGTTGTAGTCATCCGCGACCACAATCCGTCGGAGCATCACGGAGGCGAAAGAGGAACCATCACGATCTCCCTACAGTACCCTGGCCGAGACCGCGGACGGAGGCGCTGCCGAGGTGGTCCTTTTCTCGTTATAGGATTTGACGAAGCTCCACCGCCTTTTCTCCTTGGGACGAGCGGCGGCGATCGCGGCATGCTGTTGTTGGGGGAGGGAATGATCGGAGATCTTGGCCATTGTTTTTTAATGGTGGGTTGGAGGGGGCAATGGTTGTGGAGAATGCAGTTAGATGGAAGAGAGGGATTCGGTGAAGAAGAGAAAGGAGGAGGCGTTGTTGATGCTGATTTAGTTTAGGGAATTAGTGTTTGGATTTGGGGCTTTGAAATTTTGGGATAATAAAAGGGATTTTCTTAATTTTTATTTTAATTAAATTATAAAATTATATTATTTAATAATGTGGCATGCCACATCATTGGTTGTTTGCTGAGTCACTAACGGAATACTGTTTGACCGTCATATTAACGGTCAAAGAAAATTTTGGGCTAAATTTGTCCAATAGTTTTAAAAGGAGGCCATAAATGTCTTATTTGATAAATGGGACCATAACTGTCACTTACGCCAAACTTCGGGTCAAATTAGGGTATTAACCCAAAAATAAACTAAACTCATTAGTTAGCAAGATGCTGGTGTGAGCGACAACAGAGTAATGTTACATTGTTAATCAAGGCGTAGAAAACAGCGTCTGTATTCTGTACACCTGATTGCGATCTAAAGCAAAGGCATTCATTCACCTCAACAGAAGAGCATTTCGCTCTCACAGTAAAGAGTGCAGAATACAAAGAACACGAATGAATGTCACTTAACACTACCTTTCTATTACCTCTAGTAGTTCATCAATAGTGTCATGTGCATGTTAAAGTGGGTGGAAGATGCATTCGGCAACATGGTATAGACCGATGTGGCACGAACGAATGCCGCTCTATGGCGATGAGGCAAAGCTAGCTATTGTTGCTTCTTCTGTGAGTGTGAATTGTTAGTAACATAGGGGTTTCGGTTCTGTATGCCAACCTCGACATGGATGGATGCGACTTCAAGTCTGATGCCTCTGCTTAAGTAGAAAAGAAAGAAATATCACAAATACGGAATGAATCACTTCATCGTGCAACAATTTTACTCAGAAGAGCAGAATCAACTTTCATCTTCTGTATATGAATTGAGTAGTGCACAAAGAATCATTACAGAAAAAAAGATGTCCACAAGGCATGTAGTATTAGTTGGTTTAAATGCCACTGACAGCACTACTGGTAAATCAACTGTGGATGAATTAACTTTCCCAGGTGGTAAAATGAGTAGCATCAACAGTATGACCCAAAAGAATTAGGGATACAATCAAGGCACATGATTCACACAAAACTGCTCAGGCTCCATGAAGAACTCCCTAGGAAACAGACATGGATGATGCATCATTACATTATATGCATCCAAATTACCTGCTGAAAGACTGAGCAGCCAGCACACTCCAGTAGGTAATACTTAATACCCAATGTCGCTTGGATCCCCAACATACTCGGCTATTTGCTCAAGTTTGACTTTGAGGAACTCATGGCTATCCGAATCCTGCACAACCCCGGTTACCTCTTCTAAGTCCCTTTTCACCAGCTTTCCATACACTCCCTTATGTTTCCCATACAGAACGAGAACAGGACCTCCACTCCTTGGCAATGCAGTCTCAAGAAGATCCTGATCAACTCCCTGCACCAGCTCCCTGCTTCCATCCATTGAGAGGTCACATATATACGGTCCCACAACATCCACCACCTCCCCTTTCTTCAAGTACAATCTGCCTCCTTTCATGTCCTTACTTATGATCCTAACCCTAATGTGATTCCTTAGCCATGGGGTCCCCCTTTGTTTATCAGGTTTTATTCTATCAACATCTCTCTTTCTGTCGCTTTCTCTATTTGTGCGTTTTCCACTCCTCCCACTGTCCGATGACTGCTTTTCACTTCTAACCCTTAACTCTTTCAATTTCTTCAAGCACTTCTCTTCTTCTACTGATCCTAAGGCTGCGACATCGGAAGCATGTACCCTTAACTCCTCCCCAGTTTTTGCAAGCTTCAGAACTAGCCACTCAGTGCCTAATTTTTCCACAACAGTACCTTTATAACCTACAGCATCCCCATTTGAACCAGCAACCAGCCTGACAGTTTTACCAACAGCACATCCATCAGCCTTGTCATCTATATCCGTTTCTTTCTCTCTTCCTGTACCTCTCTCCTTCTGTTTGTTCTTGTCACTACTCATTTCAGATTCATTGGACATAAACCCAAGTCCTTGCTTATCTGTTCTCTTGAAATATTGCTTCACTTCAACATCTCCCTTGGCATTCTTTCCAATACCCCTTCCTTCTGTCCATCCATAACCAGCGAGCAAGGCTGCACCAAAACCCTCTACTGGAACATCCTCAAACTCCTTGAATCCTTCATCATCCGGAAGATGATGTAAATCATACTTCAACTTCTCCAAGAGCATGTTCTCGGTGCTGGATTTTTCAGATGGGAAACCCCCACTACCATCTTTAGAAGAGTCTTCATTTGCACTCTGCCGAACATTAAGCCCATAAGATACATTGCCACCACTGCCATCATCCACGCCATCAACAGCAACCTCAAAGCGGACGTCATTAGATGAGGCATCAGATTGAAGAGAAGCAAGGCTGTGGATGTTCTTCATTCTCTTGTGAGGCCGCCATTCGTTCTCCTTTGGAGGAATAATGTATTTCGGCTTATTTTGTGTAGCATGAGATTTCGAGGGATCGAACTCTGTCACATACTCTTTCTGTCTCTGTTCAGTTTCTTCATCTTTGGAAACAAGTATAGGTTTAGTTGTAGGCTTGGATGAAGAGGATTTCGCCGGGATCGAGAATGAAAGCTTCATGACTCTCTAAAGCTGTTTGCTCCAAAAATCACCTGTGACAGGAAAAATCAATATTTAGTGTCACTGGTTTGAACAATGAAGCAAACACAAGCAGCGCGTCTTCGTTAAACTATATCACCCCAAAATATATGAGCTAAAGACTAGCTAGAGAACTTGATAAGATGCAAATACTCAACATGCATAAATGACGAAACTGCCTTGAAACAAGCACACGAAACTCAATCATGTAAAGATTGATACTACATACACGAGCACAAAAGACCCAAAGGCAGAAGGTCTCCATAGTTTTGTTGCTTAAGCAATAATTAGGGAATAACAGAGGTGCATGAACTCAATCATGTAGCACCCATGAGCCAAGGACTGCATCACGAAGCACATGAATCTTCATCATTAGCAGAAACCTATAAACCATAAGGGCTTCAATTATGCAATAACATGAAAGAATGCCAATCACAACCTGATAAGGCAAGGGGCTATTCAGGCGAAGGATCATATCGAGCAATTTTCGCTCAACCCACTTCAAGTTAGAGCGAAAATGGATGCAAAACGAAGAAGAAGCCAGCCAACACACCCGTAATTTAAATAAACCCTAATCTCATAATCTTCTTACAATTTCAACCAATACAACCCTAGTTCGAATTGATCTTCTAGATCTCTCATCAATAAACAAGTAAATATCACCAATCTGACCTTTCAAACTCCCCTGGGCGGCCGGTATTTCAGTAAAAATTCGGGGATTCCGCCGGTCAGCCGTGCCTCGCTGAACGGGCGAAGAAACTTCGCCTCCGCCCGCCGCCTTACCGCAAACCTGGCCGCTCCTCCACGCCGCCTTTCCGTTGCCTTAGTCGGCAGGTGAAGGCGCTCTAGCCTTTTTCAGGTCGCCGGATCTGGTATGAAGCAGAGGCAGAGAAACTTCGTCGAAGCAGAAAGGAGAGCTGCTGGACTCGCGACTTTCGTTGCGTCGTCTGACTTCAAACTGTCGTTTGTTTTCCCAGACTTTTTTTTTAACCAAAGATAGCTTGCATTACCAAGAAAAAGATACATACAACGTTTACAACTCCGAACGGAACCAAGCGCAAAAATCAAAACCTAGCACAACACTAGCTGACAAAACTAGAGCCTTCCTTGCCACCAAATGGGCAATCCTATTGTTCTGCCTACCAACGAACTGCACTCTAAACCCCGGGAACATATGCCGAAAAGCCCTAACATCCAGCAGAATTGCTCCACCCTTGGCGTCCATCACCTCCCGCGCATTCATCTTATCAATAACGACCTTTGCATCCCCCATAAGCAGCACTGACACCCAGCCCCTCATTATGCACCAGTACATAACCTCCCGAAGTGCAACCAACTCCACCACTGCCGGATCAAACACTCCATCCAAGCGCTCCCTTTTCGCCAACACGACGGCTCCCGTTGCATCCCGGATAACTATCCCAGCTGCAACATGAGACTGACCACAAACAGCACCATGAAAAGAACACGTCAGCTCCCCTACAGGTCCCGCCAGCCCACCCATCCCACCCTGCACCGGCGGACCAGCGGGCCCTCCAGCCCCCTCACCCTCTAGCACCCTTTCCCATTCTTGAATTTGATGCAGGAATTGCTGCCGGAGAACGGATCGGTGTACCTGCTTGAACTCGAATACCACCCAATTACGCGCCTTCCGAATGCGCCATAACACCGCCACTACTCGGCACATCATGGCCTCCGAGGTTACCCGCTCCAAAACTCCTCGAAGGAAAACCACAAAATTGGCTCCATCCAGGCCGTCTGCCGGTCCAAGGACCCCACCGCCCTCCCATAACTCCTGCGCCACCGGGCAAAGAAAGAAAAGATGCTCCAAGGATTCCAGCTCCGCCCAGCAAACCGGGCAACGCCCCAGGACATCAACCTCCTTCTCGAGTAAAGCCTTCGTAGTGGGAAGAATACGACGAAAAATCTGCCAGAGAAAGAATTTCAGTTTTGGTTGCACCTGCAGAGACCAAATGTCTTCCAAAGCTTCATACCCATCCAACTAACATCCTATTTCCATTTAGCCCACCGGCGCCTCCGACGGAACGCCAAATGATAACCAGCCTTGACCGTGTACGCACCAGAAGAATCTTCTGCTCAGATAAGTTTGCCCTTCACCTCCAAGTGGGGCAACAGAATAGCCTTAATTCGTATGACCCATTGAGGAGGGAAGCAAGCACTAGGCATTCCTCACACCATTTCCCCTCCCCTGGTCAAATCAAAGCCGAAACCTTATCATGTCCCGAGACGGGAGCCAAAGGCAAGAGAGGAGGAGCCTCTTGCTCCTTCCCCGGCACCCACAGAGCAGATCCTATCTCCACCTCCTCCCCCGTCCCCATTTGCCATTGCAGACCCTGTTTGAGCAAATCACACTCATGTAGCACACTCCGCCAGCCCCAGGATGGGCAAGATCGCGGACCCGCAGTTAGGAGGGACCCATTCGGGAAATACTTCCCCTTATACATTCTTGCTAACAACGAGCCCGGCTCCTCCGAAATCCGCCATCCTACCTTTGCCAAAAAGGCCTGATTGAACTCCTCAAATCGTCTGAACCCCAAACCGCCCTCATGCTTGCTTCTGCACAGTCGTCGCCAAGACATCCAATGTATCCTCGGTGAGCCATCCTTCGTCCCCCACCAGAACCGTGCCATCAATCGATCCAGCCGACGATACAGTTTTCGGCAACATGAAACAGGACATAACATGAACCGGAAGAGCCGCCGCCACCGATTTAAGGAGGGTTTCGTTTGCCGCCCACGATAGATGACGTTGTTTCCACCCTTGCAACCTAGAGAGAAGGACCTCCTCAACGAACCTGAATGTTTCCGCCTTTGACCTAGCTACTAGAGTCGGCAAACCGAGGTATTTATCCTGGACACCAACCGCACCCACACCCAGCCGAGCAGCCATCGTGGCACAATCTGGCCCCAAGATATTCCTACTGAAGCAAAAGGCCGACTTAGCCAAATTCACCCTCTGCCCACTTAACGTTTCGTACTCATGCAGGACCGCCAGAAGAGCGTCACACTCTCGCAAGGATCCCCTCAGAAACATATAAGAATCATCTGCAAAGAACAAATGCGACACGGCCGGAGCTCTAGGGCTCACACGAACCCCCGCAAGCCTTCCTTCCGAAATCGCCTTATTGATCAAGGCAGAAAATCTTTCCGTACAGAGCACGAATAGTAAAGGTGACAAGGGATCCCCCTGCCTCAACCCTCGCGACGATCGAAAGAAACCCGAGGGGGCTCCATTCATCATTACCGAGAAAGATGCCAAAGAGAGGCACTCCCTTATCCACCCTATCCACACCGGACTAAAACCCAATCGTTCCAAGACCGAAAGTAAGAAAGGCCACTCGACTTTATCATAGGCCTTTTCCATGTCAACCTTCAGAGTCATATAGCCTTTCTTACCCTTTGTATTAATCTTAAGATAATGCATCAGTTCGTGACCAATGAGCACATTATCAACAATCTGTCGCTCCCTGATAAACGCATTTTGACCCTCCGACACAATGTTCGGCAGATGTGTCGCTAGACGCTCCGCCATAACCTTGGTGATTATTTTATACACAAACTGGCATAAACTAATCGGCCGTAGTTGGCGAACATTTTCCACCGCATCCACCTTAGGGATCAATGTCAGCCAGGTGTGATTAAAGTTATGTAAAATACGGCCATTTTGGAAAAAAGACCGTACAACCTCCACCACTGATTGACTGACAATATCCCAAAACGCCCTATAAAATTCCCCGTAAACCCATCCGATCCCGGCGCCTGCTTCGCGCCCATGGAGAACACCGTCTTGCGAATCTCTTCAGCAGTGACCTCCGCAATGAGCTCCGCATTCACACTTTTGGAGACTTTTGGAACAATGGGCAACTCCGCTACCCGCGCCGCCATATTCTCAATCGTATTCTCCAAAGTGAACAGATGCTCATAGAAGCCAACTGCCAATCCGCCTTATCCTTCTCTTCAGTCACCCATTCCCCGCTTGGTTTCTGCAATTTTTCCACAAAATTGGGTTTGCGTCTCGTCCGCGTGACCGCATGGAAATAGGACGTATTCTGATCTCCCACCTTCAGCCACCGAATTCGTGATTTCTGTTACCAGAACTCTTCTTCAGCCTCCAATTTCCTAGCCAACTCTTCTTCCAGACCCCGAATCCTCTCCCAATCCATCGGTGCCGCATTTCGTAAGGCCTCAATCGCTGTCTGGATCACCCGGATTTCCCTCGCCGAATGGGTCGTTCCTGCCTGACTCCAATCATATAGGAGATGTCGCAGTTTTTTAAGCCGCTGCCAAAGCCTATACATAGGAGACCCTCGCTCCTCCTGACTCCACACATACTGGACAAACAGACGCACCTCAGGATTGTCCGCCCAACTGGCATCGAACCGAAACAGCGGCCGACAATTCCGAACAAATGGTTTGTCCGCGATCAAAATTGCTCGATGGTCCGACCCTAGATCGGTGCAGTGTTTCACCAACGATGATGGGTAGGAATCCATCCACAGTGCAGAGCCCAAGGCCCTATCTAGCCTCTCCATCACGCAAGCATTACCCATCCGTTTATTTGTCCTCGTAAATGGCCTCCCCTGGTAACCTAAGTCTTGAAGACCCAAATTATCCATAAAAGTCCGAAGATCCGCAGATTGAGTTGGATTCGAGGCCGTACCCCCCATCTTTTCATTTGACGAAAAGATAGAATTAAAATCTCCAACCACCAGAAAAGGAACCGTCAAAGTCGCGCAAAACGCTTGCAAGTAAGCAAGTTGAGACTGACGCGTTGCAGCGACACAGCTCAAATACACACACACCACCATATATGGGGACTCATTATTATTAATCGTAACAGCGATAAAGAAAGACGAAGTACAACCGACAAAAACACTGACGTTGGGGGACCAACCAATCGCTAGACCCCCTGACGAATTAACAACATCAACTAAAAAACAGGAATCCGACGAAAAACCTAAACGCCGCATACGACGCACTACGACCCGACGACGAGATCTCGTTTCCGACAGAAAAACCAGATCCGGATTATTTGACCGAACTAGACCTAACAACGACTGGAGCGTGAGAGTGGTCCATATACCCCTCACGTTCCAAGACACAAGCCTCATTTGGGCGACTGGGGCTATTTCGGGCTGGCTTCCTCCACCACTACATTATCATTAACACAAGAATTTGGAATACAAATTTTCTTCAAAGGGGTCGGATCAGCTACCAATTCCTCAACCTCCGCCGCAGCACGTTTCCTCTCCTCCACAACCTCCATCTCCGGAGCTGTCATTCGGAAAACCTGCATCAAATTAGACCCATACTCGTCCAGTTTCAGATTCACTGTCGCCTTCTTCATCAGCTCAGTAGCTGAATCCACCATTTGCTCCATAATAGAGGGGTCCCCCTCTTTTTCCTGCGCCTGTGCAGCATCTCCACCCTGCCGACACAACCTGCTCATTTCCAGCCTGTGCGCCTCGCTGGTCAGCCCTTGGTCGGGCCGGTTTAGTCGCTTGCACCCCTGCCTGCTGACATGTGCCCTCCGAATCACCCATCTCCTGAGCCGCCTTCCCCGCCAGGCTCTTGTTCCTCCCCATCATCTTCTCGTCCCGGAGTCTGCCCGCCGACCCCGCCACCTTCTTTCCCTCGCCACTCCCCTGCGCACCCGCACCACTATGTATTTCACCCATCGCTCCTTGCTATTCTTTGAGGATGAACCAGCCACAACCGCCTTTCCCTTCCCCGCTGCACTCTTCTTTCCAGTTTCCGTCTTCTTCCCGTCCACCCCACCAGTAGTGCCCTTTGACACCTTCAGACCCATCACAACTGGTTTCGGAGTCGCCGCCATCTCCAGCCCCTTTCCTCTATCATCGTCTCGACTTTCTTGCTTAGCAGCCTCCTCCCGGTTTGGATTAATCCAAACTGATTTCGGCAACCGAGGCGCTTCTGCATTCAATTTGTAGCCGATAACATCCGTAGACATCCTCGGACCATACTCCTCATCCCCTTCCGGGTCTGGGAAGGAGCAGTTCTTCTCCAAGTGCCCCAATCTCCCAGACTTTTTAATGTTTTCCAGATTTTTTTTTCCTCATGAAAGCCCAATAATATATTTCTCCGGCCCAAAGGCCAAAACTCAAAAGACATTTAAATAAATAATTTTCTCCAGTTTTCTTTCGGAAGCAGAAGTCAGGAGCGTATCTCTCCGTTTATTGCACACTGCCTAAAGACGACTCCATATTCTTTGGTGTAAACTAGGGGGGATTGGTTACCGTGGTAACCATATTAACTGGTAGTATTCAGTTAATTTGGTTTGATTAATTTGGATAATTGGTCTGGTTTGGTTAAACAATTTAGCTTATTTGGTTTAGATGGTTTGGTTTGGTTTCAACACTGCTAACCAATGAAACCAATTACCCAATTAATGACACCTAATATATAAATTTATTTATACTTCCATGCAACCAACCAAACCAAATTTTCGTGATTCCCTATATAGTTTTCATGTGACAACAACCAAAGCATTATGGGTCAAAAATTAAATGGGTATGCCTATTTACTAAACCAAAATATTTTGGACAATTACTAGACTTTAGGATTACGTACAATATCATGACAACCACCTCAAATTATGTATAGTTTAAGTGTTTTATAGGAGAGGTTTAACTTCCTGATGAGTAGTATTGGTATGTATTTAATCTAGAAAATAGTATAAGGCAATGTCAAATAATCCTATTTGCCACGTCAGTCCCTCCTCGATTCAACTCACACTTTGGAAGGGCTTCCCCATCATTCCCTTTCCTTCTCTTCCTCGCTTCTTCTAGCCCAGGAATCTCACTTTTTCTCTCTCGCCGTCTCACTCCCGTCCGACCATCCTTTCCACCATACTCGATCGATCTGCTCCCGAAATCCCCCATCATCCAGTCTTGCAGCACGAAAAAACCACTGCTTTCTCTCCCAAGCCCATCGTACTCAATCTGCTCCGTAAATCCCCATCGTAGCCCTCTCTGACCGAAATCCCCATCTGTCTCTCTCCCAAGCCCACAGACTCCACTCGCTATTACTGTCTCTCTCTCTCTCTCTCCCAAAAATCCCTCCGCCCCTCTCTCTCTCTCCGATTGGTTCACATCGCAGGGTTGACGAGACGCTCCCCTCCACACTGCTACTGCGACTACCCAAACAACATCACTGCCGCGATAATCTGAGAATTCTTCTATGTAAGTTCTCTTATCCAGGTTGCTTCTATTTTGCCTTTGCAGAATCTGTTTGTGCGACCTCCCCTCTCTTTATTCCTTTTATAATGGGCAATCTATGCAATTGAATCAGTTCGAATCATGGGCTTCAGTCCTCGACGATTCCATAGCGCATAATTCCTGTTATGGAATCAGTCTTACTGTGTCTTAGGGGATCAAGGCCCAATTTCTTGGTTCGTATTCCCCTAGGTGTGCAACGATTGCAGCAATGCGGCCAAAATGCCGTGGCGATGACCCTCTGGCCAAAAAAATCCTTTGTTCGATTCTAACTCTGCTACTACTCAATGTAATATGTCATTTTGTTCTTAGTATGATGTTTTTCTGAGATTGAAAGTGTTGATGCCAAGCTTCGAGGAGCCTGCTTCAATGTGTTTGAGGTCCGGTGAGCGCCAACTTCCTGGCCAACGTCCGCCACCAGCCTCCGAGATGGACACCTGCAAAAGAGGACCCCGTCGGCGGTGGTCGGCGGGGACCTTCTCCGAAGCTCAAGTCAATATTGAGAGGAGAGTAACCGGGAGCGGTGTATTGAGACGACTCTAGAGAGAGTTTTTAGAAGTTCCACTCCAAATCAATTGCCGAGAAAGCATAAATGAGCGTCCTATTTATAGGTGTCTTCTGCTTCTGACGTGGATGACATATGAAAAAGAGAATAATATTAACAAATCACCCAACCAACCCGATTAGGTGCAATGGGTGGTCGGGTCAGTAAAATATAGCAAGAAAACATATATCACCAATTAAGAAAGACAAGAAAACCACTTACCTCCTCTCTTTTTAGTAAGCCACGTATATGAGTAGTGGGGGGTGGGGAAGTATTTTCACCCATACAATACATATTCACCCATCCTTTATGTGTAACTGTGAAAGCAAAAGGTGAGGTGGGTTGTTTTGGGTATGTTGCACATTTACCTTAAATCCATGTCTTGCTTAACGTGGCATTAGGGGAGAATGAGAGATAACCAACTAAGGATCTAAATGGTTCATGTTAATAGCCAAGTGTCAAATTCAAGTTTGTGATTCATGGATTAGGACACCTCATCATTTTTACCCTTTGATGGTAGTAAGAAGCTACACTCATGCATCTTTCTCTACATTGGCCACATGAGAAAATGGGAAGGTTGGGTAATATGTATTTTTGGAGTAAGAAGAAGAGTAGAATGGTGATTGGTGGAGGTAAATGAAAGACAAAAGGCTAATTGGTTGTATTTATCCCTATAAGCCACGTGTATGAAGCCAAAATAAGGGGCTGCCTTATGTAGTTTTAAGGAGACACATTTGAACCATAATTCTTTCTCAACCATGGACATAAAGAGGAGTAAGGATTATGGTTGGCTAGTTTTGGAGTAATAGGAAATCTCCATCCATTAACCCCTTCCTATGAGACCTCTTGGACACGTGGTTAGAGGGGGAAAATGGTAGCTTTATTTGTGTTTGTTGACCAACAATTAAAACTCATTGATCTTTCCACATACACATCCTTTTTATTCATGTGTATGGATTGATAGATGGCAAAATTTTGGGTCCATCAGAAATTCATATATGTAATGCAATAAAAAGTTATTTCACGATTGTGTTGCGTAGTGTCGTTGTTAGGGAAATGAAGGGAAATTTGTGTCTCCCTTGAAGGTCCCACATTTGCTGAAGTCTACGTGGAGAGGGTGCGTCTTGAGGGTGATAAGTGAATTGAATACTGTCTGTAATTGATAGGAAGTTGCAGTTGCTCTTAGCAGTTAGCAGTGATGCTTCTTATTATTAATTATCAGTTCCCTTTCGTTGATTGTCATATAGCGACTTTAGCTAGAAGGAGAAGTAAAGTTCCTTTTAGTGGTACGACAGATACATTGAGTGCGTTTATTTGAGTCTCACGTATGTGACTCTCTACCTCTTGCTTATCTTTGGTTTTTATGAAGCTTAGTATCGTTAGTTCTATCTAATGTGATGAGCAGAACTGTAGAAGCATGATTGAGAAGAGTAGGATAAAATACATGATGTGGTTTATGGAATTGTATAACTTATCCATTTCATGTTTCTTTGGTTTAACATTCAGTTGTTTTATGGTAATGTGAATTTGGAATTTCGACTTTCAATGATTGGTTTTCTACAATTACTTATTATGAATATGCTTGAATTGGATTCAGTGAAATTTGTTGTGAATTTATTGTTTGTTGTATGTTGGGTTTTCATTCTTAATTTCTATAATATATATATATATATATATATATATATATATATGGCAAAGGCTAGCATACGCCTGACGTACGCTATACGCCTGTGTTCACACCATAAATCAATTTTACTTATAATTAAATTAATTCTAATTATAATTACAACCACACCCGTTAATAAACTCTTTTGTGCGCTTTAGTCACACAACATTTTCTATCCTACATTATATATAAATCAATCATCTCAATACCCACTTCTCCATCTGTTCCCAAAACCCTCGAAGACCTGCAAGTTCTCGAATCTCGATCAATTCTTAGCAGCTGGAGTATGGGACGACGGTTAGCGGCATGATAAGCAGAGGAGAGAATGGCAATCTGGAAGGCTTGATGGTGCACTTCTTGTTCCTGTGGTCAACTTCGTCGAGGTTGTTCATGCCGGCCACCGGATGCAGTTCACCGGCAAGATCGCCTCCGCAAGTTCCCTCCTCGATGGGTTTTACGCAGCCTGGATTGCGGCTGCAGGTTCGATTGCAACAGATTGGGTCGGTGTTGGGCTCTGCAATTTCCTAGCTCTGAATTCTAATTTTGTAACTAGGTCAGTTAATAGTATTAGTTAGATACATATATGAATGGTTATTGAATAATGAGGCAAAGACATCGTGTATGTTCTATTTAATCACTAAAATGAATGAATGACATTTATCTAAGGGATCGAAAAGGTCGATATAGTTTCCTGTTTATTGGAACCATGGCTAATCTTTCTAAACCAGTTGGAAGCTCTGTTTTAAGAACCAGTCCACCTGGTAGTTATCAGCATCAATGGGACATGATATCAAGTAAATGGTCTACATATCCTCTCTGGAGGGTACGATTTATCAAGATGGAGGTTATTCATCAGCTTCGTCAAAGATCACCCTGGCATGGGATTGAATTTCCAAAAGTGCTCAAACCATCACTGTCAATGTCACTCCCTCCCCCTATTAGCGTTCTGGAAAATAGAGGGTATTTCTAGTATGGGGCCTTGCTTCCTTTCCCATTACTTTACTCGCCACCGGCGTGGTGGTCGCTGAAATTTGGAAACGTCACCGGATCCCTGTAATCTATGGGTTGTTGGGTTAAAGCGAACTTAATGTATGTGATAGTAATTAGTTTTTTACTTTTTACAAATAATTAATGTAGTTATAATTAATAATTACTTCATGTGTGAATGCAGGTGTATAGCGTATGCCAGGTGTACGCTAGCCTAAACCATATGTATATATATATATATATATATAGAGGGTAGGTTCTGTCTGTAATTGTTCTCAAATATTTCTGCTAGTAATGGGAAAGGAAGGGCATAACTATGTACTCAAATGTCCTTCCTTTCTATATCTTCCCACCACTGTAGTTAAGGGTCACAATGTGAAGTTTCTGTTTCATATTATGCTTTTATCTATGGGATGTGTAAAATTATTATTTGTTTTATTCAGGTTACTATTGAGTTTCTAGGTCGTTTCCCTTATAGATTGTCTTCTTTTGTTCAATTTGAATTGTGGAATACCATGGAGTTCTTTGCCTGCAATATTTTCTCATATGTTGGATAATTTTTCCCCTGTGGATGCTCTTCTTTTGTTTCTCAAATTTTGTTCATAACTGCCAAATCAACCTTATGTCTAGAACAAGTCCGACTGTAACTACTGACAAGGTTTGCTGCATTTTTTCAAATAATCTGATTGTTGGTGTTGTGAAAGAAAAGTCGTTGGCAAGGTTTGCTGCAGTTTTTAGATAATTTGATTGGTGTTGTTTGCTGTCTTTTTTTGCCCTTCTATGCTTTGGTTCATTTGCTTAACAATTTGGAAATTGGATTTTGGTATAATTTTATCATCTACATGAATCTTTTTAATCATATTTATTTGCTTATCCAATCCTTCTCTTGGCTACCATCATTAGCTGCCTGTCACACACGTTACTCTAACTGTGCTCATAACCACACCAATGCAAGTAGCAAACTGCTGTATTATGATTTGTCAAAACTAATCAGCAAATTTGCAGGATATAGTCAAAACAACTTCCCCTAGATCAAATATCTTAAGGTGCATCCCTGTAATCCACTATCCTGCAAACTAACTCATTATTTTAACCACTAGATGCTTGCATTCCACCATGACCAGTTCGCTTCTATTGAACCATTCAATGTCCCTGGATTGAGTCTACACCTCTCTTCCAAATCCAATTTGCACGAGGCAAATTCTTTTGACATTGAGTGGACTTTCCCACAAGACTGACAAGAGCAAGTTTGCGGCAGAGACTTGGGATAAGGAACCTGTTTACTTCCATACACATCAACTCCATCATTGGCATGAGTCTTCTAAGTTTGAGTTAGGATAAACCATAAAAAGGACAAAGTCTCTAAATCCTTCTAGCACTTCCAATTTCCTAAACGTATTCTTCAAGGCATTTTGGTTGGCACTATTGGATTGAAAGCATATTCCTAGCTGTGATATTCTACATCAAACACCCGAATACATTTTGTATCCACACGAACTTTCCATTCTGCTACCACTACATCAGTTTCGTCAGTTCATTATGTTCGGTTAACCGTCTATATAGACAAATACTACTAAAAAGGATGTTTTTGTGAGGTGATAGTGCTCTTATACTTTAGCTTTTTTCCCACGAATCTCATAAGCTAAAAATTTGATTAAATTGAATCATTAGCTATATATTATGCTACTTAATCGTCCATCTATTTTTCAAATAGAATAAAACAAAATTCACGTACGGAATCTGTACGCACCCGGTCAACGGGTCGGGCCCAATGCTAGTATTTATGTTAAGACCTTCTTGTAAGTTAACTATATTAGGTGCAGAGATGACGAGTGATGTATTAACTCCAATGATGATGATAATCATAGATGGTTAGTCTTATTATTATTGCTTATATATAATGATAGTTTATGATAGTAATAACATATGGTCATGTTTTATTCATTAACAAGATAATTGTTTTCATGTAATGTTATGTTATTTGGTTAATCCAATTATCCGATTAACCAAACCAATTAAACTTTGGTTTGATTAATTTGGTTTTTCGTGTTAATTTGGACGGTTTGGTTAAGACATTTTATTCCATGGTAAATGAAATTGAGGCTTAATTGGTTTGGTTATTACCACGGTAACCATTTGAACACCCCTAGTGTAAACTGCAAATAAGGTTACCACCAAGCTTCTGCAGACCTCAACCTCCAACGAAAAGATGATCAAGATTGATTATCATGTTATGCTGACAATAGGATTGAAATCATAAACACATGACAGAAGAACATCCACGTCGATTCGACAACTGCTTCCGGACTCGATATCCAGGTCAACTCCATTACAACAAAGCTGTAGCTTATGCAACTGATAGCACATCTACTTCCAAACTCAGCCAGTTCTTGGTTGCAAAAAGCAACAACGAGACGCATTCATAATGAAGCAAAGATAGAGATGCAGCAGGGACTGCTAGTCTCAGTGGGGACAAATACTAAACTGCAACCAGCATCTAGCTGCTAGTGCAACAAAATTCATACCCGACGCTTCTCATCTTTTCTTGAACCCATATTTCTTGCGCTCGTAGAACAGATCGGTCTTCGCACTGCCCAGATTCACAATCTTGGGACAGCCATCGCGGTCTTTCTCCTGTTGAGTGCACTCTTTGCAGTAGTAAGCATCAGATATGCCCACTCCACCGCAGATGACACAACGACCCTGGAACGATCCGTAGTTGCACTCGTCGCAGACTCGCACCAACGTGCAAGGGCGCACGTAGGAGTCGCAGATCACACATTTGCCATCACATTTCTCGCAGAGTCGCCCAATGGCAATGCCCGGTTGCTTCCTGCACATGATCAAATCAGGATGATGCTTGGCCATGGCTGCTGCTGCTGCTGCTGCTGCTGCTCTACTACAGGTTTAAGTTGTGCTAGTCAATCTGCAAACATCCGTAAACCCATTTTATAAGCTAACATTGCTTCCACAAACCTCCTATCTGTGACATTATCATAGATGAAAGCGGCGCATCCAAAAGCAGACAAATCCAACCCTAATATCATAATCTTCTGCCGTAAAAATTTCAACCAGTACAATCCTAGTTTGAATCATCTCCTAGATTTCTCATCAATAAACAAGTAAATGTAATGAATCTGACCTTTCAAACTTCCTAATAGCTGTCGATTGAGGAGATATTTGGGGGATTTCGCCGCTCAGCCGATTCTCGACAAACGGGGCGGAGAAACTTCTGCTCGGCCCGTCGCCTAGCCGCCAACCTGGCCGCTCCTTGATCCCGCCTTCCTGGTTTTCCTCGTCGGCTGGAGACGGCGCTGTAGCCTTTTGCAGGTCGCCGGATTTTGTAGAGGAAGCAGAGGCACAGACAGAGCCTTCGTCGAAGCTGAAAGCAGAGCTGAATTGGAGGAAGGGGCCGGCCGTCCGGCAGACGGGCAGAGCGCTTACTTTACTTACGTTTTGAGTCCATCTGATATGGGCCATTTGGCTCTTCCTTCAGAAAGCCCAATGTATCCGTCTGGGCCCAAAAGGAAATTTAAATTAACAATTATATTTTTACCTTAACATATATGTACTCGTGTTTTCTTTCCCACGCAGCACTCTCAAGCAAAACCCTAGGAGCTCCCCGTTGCTTGCTGAGTCGCAGCCTGTGCCGCTCGATATCTCTGTTGTCTATTGCGGTACGTATGAACGGAAACCAAACTTTATCTTCTTCGTCGGAGATCCGATTTCTTTGGTTTGATCCTTTGAGATTTCGCTGCTGGCTCTTGTGTAGATTGCTTCTGCTTGCCTTTCGTTTCAGTTGGAACTACCTTTTTTACTGATTTTGTTCGAGTTTTACTCTTGTGTGTTGAGCTTGGACTCCTTTTGGTTTCGGATATTGGAAATGATGGAAGCCCCAAATGGGTTTGAGTGGAAGACTGGTTTTGCTTGTTCTTGGTGCGAGTAGTTTTGGTATTTAGACTAGAGTAAGCGTCACACAATCTTTTTACCTTTCTGATTGGCACATGTTTGATTCCTTAATTGGAGAAATTCCTAGATTCGTGGTTTTCCCATGAGTCTCTGAGCTGCTTGAATGGGGATGTAGAAAACTGAATTTGGTGTGACTGACTGATTGATTTCTCGGTTTGAAGTTGATGCTTGACTGCCTGCTATCTAGTTTTGGTTTTCGTATTGCTTATGACTGGGGGTATTTGTTGACCTGACCCTTTGCTCTTCACTGCATTGTCTTTAGCAGCAAGGATGGTGAGAGTTAGCGTGTTGAACGATGCTCTGAAGAGCATGTACAATGCAGAGAAGCGGGGGAAGCGCCAAGTCATGATCAGGCCGTCCTCGAAAGTGATCATCAAGTTTCTCATTGTCATGCAAAAGCATGGTATGAAATGGAGCGTGTTTTCTACTTGTCCCTGGAGAATTGAATGTTTGTGTTGCCAATGCCATAGCTGAATTCGGATGAATGCCTGTCTTTGTTTTGATCCGTGCATGCAGGATACATCGGTGAATTTGAATACGTTGACGATCACAGGGCCGGTAAAATTGTTGTGGAGTTGAATGGCAGGCTGAACAAATGTGGTGTCATCAGTCCAAGATTTGACGTCGGAGTCAAGGAGATTGAAGGCTGGACTGCTAGGTTGCTTCCTTCTAGACAGGTTGGTCCAACACAGTTTATACTTTCAATTTGTGTTATGATCAATCCAATGTGCATGATTCTCTTGATGGTTTGGGTATGAGATAGCAAGTGTGAGTTCTTCCGGTTTATATCCCATGCCCTGTGAGATAGTTTCTCCTTGTTCCTTTTTGGGATAGAATTCATATGCCTGGCTTGATCTGGTTTTGGCAGTTCGGATTCATTGTGCTGACAACTTCTGCTGGCATTATGGACCACGAAGAGGCAAGAAGGAAGAATGTTGGTGGCAAGGTTCTCGGTTTCTTCTACTAAGCTTGGTTTGCTGGCTTTAGATTCATACATGTGACGGGTTGAGTTGAAATTTTTGGAGGTGAATTTGAATGTAGAATCCTTGTACTGGTTTAGGCTTTTTCTCAAGTTATTGGTTGTGGCTGGAGTGGGAGAGATCCATCTCCTCCACTAAGTCGAAAGGACAGCCTATGTTTGTGCTTGACATTTATCTGAATGTTTATGCTTTGTTATTACTACATGTTCATGAGTTGAAGTTTCAATCTTGTTCTGGATTTATGCTCCCAGTGTGACAGCTCCTTACCTTCTGAGGATTTTTGTTGAGCTTTATTCGTTATTCTGTGCTTTGGATCAAAACGGTAGGGATTTACTGTTAATGAATTGGTAAATGACTCCGTTTGGCCATCATTTGAACAGTTGAATGCATTACTTTTACAATACCTCGTAACACTGTTATGTCATGAATGGTACAAACTTAGTTCGTAGCATCGTGATTTTGTTGAAAAAAGAACTTTTATGTTCTATATTTTTCGTACATTTATGATACAAATTAAACTTATATCTTTGACGTTATACTACAAAGTTTTTTCATACAAATTCATTTATGATATAAAATAAAAGTGAACTTTTAATTTTATATTATAAGTTTCAGTTCAGTTTCTACCTATATATTTTCTTACAAAATCTTGTATGGGGCAAAGTAAACTTGTATCTTTAATTTTTTATACAAATTTAACTTGTGAAAGCACTAACATTTTGAAGAGTAGTAGATGCATATTTTCAAACTATGGAGTTGTTTGTTTCATGGTTTTAGTTGATGGATTTGTCACCTAAGTTCTAAGCATGATAGGTATTTTTTGCATTCTGAAGGATCGACGGCTGGTTTGATCTGCAACTATGGGCTGTTTAGCTGGTTCAAGCCGAATTGGAAGCAGAAAAAAAATGGGTAAATGCCACATTTGGTCACTGAGATTACTAAATCGTGTCATGTTTAGTCACTAGAAAAATTTAATATCAGTTTTGCTCACTCGAATTACTGAAATATGTCACATTTAGTCACTCTTCTGTTAGTCTCCGTCCAACTCTGATCACTCGAATTACTGAAACATGTCACATTTAGTCACTCGAATTACTGAAACATGTCACATTTAGTCACTCTCCCGTTAGTTTCCGTAATGGAGTTGGACGGAAAACTAAGAGGGAAACTAACAGGAGAGTGACTAAATGTGACATATTCCGTAAATCGAGTGATCAAAATTGATATTAAATTTTTTTAGTGACTAAACATGACACAATTTAATATTCTCAGAGACCAAATATGACATTTACCAAAAAAATTGAAAGGTCAAATAGGATTCGATCTAGGTTGTTACATACATTTGTAAATACTTGTATAAATATAACCCAACTTGCAAAGCAATGACACCAGGTTGTCAAGAACAGGGTAGGTGGCATAATGGCATTCCAACACGAACACACTGTCGGTTCAACCAATCCCACAGCTGACAATCAAAACCAAACAAAATGCTGCTCAATTTTCATTACACCAGCTCACAATATACAATAGATCAATAGAACCATGACAGGTTTACTCTGCCAGCCCAATTCACCTCCATCCACGAAGAAACATAATTCTAACAAAAGGGTCTGAACCAAGGAAACTGCAAGGCTCTGGCTACATATACCCGTATGGTTTGGAAGCAGAAACCTGATTCATAAAACTGTTAACACATAAAGATCCACTACATTCAATATCAAACTGAGATGAACAAATAGTAACGACATAAACTCACTAAAACCTCCAAAAACCACCATCAGGAGTTCTCCTGGTGACCGGAGAACACATAACAGATTACTTTTTTGTTTGCCAAAGGAACATAGTTGCCCTAACTCATGGTGTGTCTCCACGCCACAAATCAGCTTCTCTTCCCTCCATTTCCCATATCCACCATTCCTCCTCTCGCTCTGCTGTAGTCTCAGCTGAAGCTCCGCAACACAACATTCTTCAGACCCATGAAGAGGATTGGGATAGGATTATTTGGGACCGACTCGTCGTCATAATCAGATCGATCAACGAGAGCAAAACCCAGAACCTGGAATTGTGGAAGAGAGACCCTCCAGGGCGTTGAAGGGTGAGGGAGAGGAGGATTTGAGGGTGGGTTTGTGGCTTTTTGTAAGCTCCAAAAGGAAATGGTTTGTGGGGAGTAAGGATCTTCTGAGCATATGCTTCTTCTTTTTTGTGCATGTCACCTTTCTATTTCTATTTCCTTTTCTCTTTTCTGGTCTTCTTGGTGAGGTCTCTGTTTGCTTTTGGTGCTTTTTTCTTGCTTTGTTGGCTATGGAATTTGTGGAATCTGCTTTGAGATATTCCCTGTTAGTAGGTGACCATGTGTGTGTGCCACTGTGCCTACTACTTCCGGCTATTGACAATCGTTTTCATCGTGTTCAGTGATCATAATTCGAGTATTGATAATACATCAACTATACATCTTTGTATCTCAATCAATGGATCATTTTAAATTGATATTGTGCTAAGTGTAGCCATTGATGATATTTTAGGACTTAACACAATTTCAATCGTTTCCTAGCCGCCATTTGTTTCGTATCTTCTTCTCCTAGTTCATTTTGTATGCTAAGCCGTGTGTTTCTTTTGTGATTTCAATTTTTCACGTCGATTACCATTTGGAGCGAGTTGCGAGACATCTAAAAATCACTTGAGAATGAAAATGAGGCAAACTCATGGTGTTTCACGGCTAAAAAAGAGAGCTTTCCACGATCGTGACATTTGAATAATTTGGTGGTAAAAATCCATGTCATTGCCAGAGGGATGCATGTCACAGCCGTGTCATTGAAGTTCTTGACCATGAACTTGGCTCGCACAATAGTATAAGAGCGAAACTTGGGATTTTGCACAGAATAGTCATTCTAGAGAGAGAAAATACAGTATGGAAACAATGTAGAGAGAGGATGAGTTGGAGAGATTTGCGAAGAAAATTCATAAATCAAACTGTGAGCGGCACGACAGAGGCCTAGGGGAGGGGTATTTGGGTCATTGTTAGTAATTGGGGAGATCTCTATTTAAACACTAGTTGTGCACTATTTTACGTATGAATAATCATATCAGAATTATCAAATCCCTAATCTCTCTTCAATTCCCAATTCTCAACCCTAATTCCTCTATTTCTCATCCCTAATTCTAGTTCACAACAGTTGTGTTCCTCACAATTGGTATCATAGTTGTGTTCCACATGAGTTCAGCAAAGAATTCTTGTGGGGACCGGGGCGAGTCGACCACCGATCGCTTGCGGGGTGTGTTGGCTCGGCTGGCGCGCGCGGAGGAAGAGCTTCGGGTGGCGATAGGCGAGGCGCGGGCGCTGTCCGAGGGTCGCATACCCTTGATCGCGACCGCGACGGAGAGGGCAGAGGCGAGGGAGGCGGCGACAAGAGAGCTGGAGGGCGCCGGTGGATCGGCCGTTGCAGCCGAGGCAGACGAGAGCCGAGAGGCTCGGGTCGCGCGCGCGGAGGGGAAGAAGGAGGAGGAGGAACCGACCGCGCGGAGGGAGAAGATAGGTGGGGGAGGTGAAACGATCTCGGTCGTCGCGGCAGTCGAGACGGCGGGGTCGGCGGCGATGAGGTTCCAGGCGCAGGTCATGGGGGAATGGGGAGTGGCCCTCGTCGACAGTGGGGCTTCTCTAAATTTCGTCAGTACAGAGTTTGTGAAGTGGCTGCAGTTGCCAAGGTCAGCCGTTGAGTCCTTTGATGTGAAGGTGACTAATGGGGCTCCACTACGGTGTGCAGAGAAGCTAGTGGGGGTTCCCGTGATGATCCAAGGGATGTTAATCCCTCTCGACCTATATATACTGTCATTGCACGGATTCGACCTGATTCTGGGCATGCCATGGCTCAAGAGTCTGAGACCGGTGACGAGTGACTGGGTAGAGATGGTAATGAAGTTTAAGTGGAGGGATAAGGATGGGGAGCTGCGAGGGATGACGACAGCGGCCGGACCCATCGAGTGGGGCGCTCCGCAGCTCGAGGAGGACTTGGAGCTGGCCATCCTTTGCTGGCCGATGGAGCGTGCCGAGGGACAGGCTCGAGCACCAGACTTGCAGTTGTTGTTGGACCGATACGCTAGTCTATTTGCTCAGCTGCCCCCGAAATGGCAGTTTGACCATCGGATTAGACTCAAGGGAGGCACAGAGGCGGTTAACGTTCGACCGTACAGGTATGCACATGCTCAGAAGGAGGAGGTAGAGCGCCAGGTGGCCGAGATGATGACTGCGGGGTTGATTCAGGCAAGCTCCAGCCCGTTTTCGTCCCCGGTGTTGCTGGTCAAGAAGAATGATGGTATTTTGAGGTTCTGTACCGACTACAGGGCCCTCATGCAGTAACAGTTCGAGATCGGTTCCCGATTCCGACTGTTGATGATATGCTTGATGAGTTGCGAGGGGCAAAATATTTCACGAAGCTCGACCTACGAGCTAGTTATCATCAGATACGCATGCACGAGGAGGATATTCCAAAGACTGCATTCTGGACACACAATGGCCATTACGAGTATCTCGTGATGCCTTTCGGGCTCTGCAATGCGCCCTCGACCTTCCAGGCAGCCATGAATGACATTTTTTGGCTCTCCTACGCAGGTTAGTGCTAGTATTCTTTGATGATATCTTGGTTTTCAGTAAATCGTGGGAGGAGCACCTACAGTAGTTGCAGGAGGTGTTCAAGATATTGCAAGAGAATCAGTTTTTTTGTGAAGGAATCCAAATGTGCGTTCGGAGTACAGAAGGTGGACTATCTGGGGCATGTGATATCGGGAGAGGGAGTTCGAGTGGATCCGCAGAAAATTCAGTCCATGATGGATTGGCCAGTGCCGAGGAGTGCGACGGCCTTGAGGGGCTTCCTGGGCTTTGACCGGGTATTATCGGCGCTTTATGCAGGGTTACAACTCGATAGCCGGACCACTGAACGCACTATTGAAGAAAGGAGGGTTCAGTTGGACCCCAGAGGCCGAGAGTGCTTTCGAGGCGCTCAAGGTGGCCCTATCCACGACCCTAGTCTTGGCATTACCAGATTTTCCCAGCCATTCGACATCGAGACAGACGCATCGGGCAGGGGAATTGGTGCGGTGCTGTCACAGGAAAAGCATCCCATTGCTTTTATGAGTCAGACCCTTCCTCCCTCCAAGGAGGCTTGGTCAACATACCAGAAGGAGATGCATGCTATCACAGAAGTTGTACAGATGTGGCGCCCTTATATGATCGGCCAGAAGATTCGTATCTATACCGATCATCAGAGTTTGAAGCATCTGATGGATCAGCGGGTGTCCACTCTAGATCAGCACAAATGGGTGGTGAAGTTGATGGGATATGACTATGATCTCCATTACCGGCCGGGTCCGATGAATAAGGCCGCATATGCCTTGTCACGAGTGGAGCTTGAGCCGCAGGTGGCAGCTGTGACCGGACCAGTGGTGCAGTTCTGGGACGAGGTCAGGAAGGCAGCAGAGACGAGCCCATACCTGAGGGAGAGGCACGACGTTGCTTTGAGCGTGACCCCGAGTGATTACTCCTTCCGCCATGGGCTGGTATACTTTAAAGGGCGGGTGGTCCTACCGGCGTCCACTTCTCTGACAACGACGGCGATGAAGGAGTTCCATGACTCCCCGGTTGGTGGACACTCAGGGCACGAGAGGACGCTGAGGAAGATTCGCAGTCAGTTCTACTGGCCACATATGAGTCGCGAGGTTAAGGAGTATGTGGCCTCCTGCGATACTTGCCAGAGGGTCAAGGCTTCCTTGCTACAACCGACAGGCTTACTACAACCATTACCGGTACCAGAGCGGGTTTGGGAGGACATTAGCATGGATTTCATAGTAGGGCTGCCGCCGTCCAGAGGGAAGACCGTTTTATTTGTGGTGGTTGACCGGCTCACGAAGTATGCGTACTTCATGGCGTTAGCACATCCGTATACGTCCAGGAGTGTAGCAGAGCAGTTCGTTTGGGGAGTGATCTGGCACCACGGCTTTCCCTGGTCGATCGTGAGTGATCGGGATGCACTTTTCTTGGGCAGGTTCTGGCAGAAGGTGTTCTCGATGGCGAAGACAGCTGAAGATGAGCTCTGCGTATCACCCGCAGATGGACGGACAGAGGTCGTTAACAAGATACTCGAGCAGTATCTACGTTGTTTTGCACACCAGCAGCTGCGTCGGTGGCTTCCTATGTTGCCCTAGGCTGAGTTGTGGTATAATACTACCTATCATCGGTCGATCCAGATGTCCCCGTTTGAGGCTTTATATGGGCGTACACCACCTATGCTGGTACGGTACCAGTCCGGAACGAGTGCAGTGGATGCAGTAGACAGGTGGTTGGCTGAACGAGACACAGCCCTGCAGCAACTGAAGGCCAACTTGGCCGCGTCCAACAATCGGATGAAGCAGCATGTCGATTCGGGACGCCGGGATGAGGAGTTCGCGGTGGGGGACTGGGTGTTGCTCAGGTTGCACCCATACAGGCAGACTTCGGTGTTCCGCCGCGCATACCAGAAGCTTGCAACTCGCTATTTTGGGCCCTATCAGGTGCTCGAGCGGATTGGGGCAGTGGCCTATTGTCTGCAGCTTCCGGCGACCGCCCGGATTCACTCTATATTTCAGGTGTCTCTCCTGCGCAGGTACCGGGGAGCTGAACAGCTGGCAACACCGCCGGAGCCGCCCGTCGATGGGGAAGGGTGTCTGGAGCTCGAGCCCGAGGGGGTGCTCGATGTACGCTGGGTGAAGCAGGGAAGGAAGCACGTGACAGAGAGCCTCATACAGTGGAAGCACCTCGGACAGGAAGAGGCAACCTGGGAGGATACTGAGACCATTCGTCAGAACTACCCTACATTTGATCTTGAGGACAAGCTCGGTTTCGAAGGGGAAGAGAGTGTGAGCGGCACGACAGAGGCCTAGGGGAGGGGTATTTGGGTCATTGTTAGTAATTGGGGAGATCTCTATTTAAACACTAGTTGTGCACAATTTTACGTATGAATAATCATATCAGAATGATCAAATCCCTAATCTCTCTTCAATTCCCAATTCCCAACCCTAAATTCCCAATTCTCAACCCTAATTCCTCTATTTCTCATCCCTAATTCTAGTTCACAACAGCTGTGTTCCTCACACAAACCCCCAAATCCATCCAATATTCATGAGGAGTTGAGAATCTAACAAAGAAAAGATGAATCTAACTAAGAATTTGTGTCTTGTTCCTTTTTGTACATTTTTTTCTCTATTTGATCTAGTTTCTTTAGCCCCTTAAGTGTTCGTCTGCTTGAGGGAATTCATCGTATGCTTTATGAGGTTTGTGGTATACTTCAAAGAACTTCTTATATGCTTTTATGAGGTTTTTGCTCATCTTTAAGAAACTTGTGGTATGCTTTGAGTTTTCTGGTAGCCTTTATGGATTTTGTGGCGTGGTAGGTATTGGCATGCTTTTATACGCCTTATGATCTACTTTATGTTATTTGTGGTGTGGTTTGTTATATTTCTGGTTTGTGTTTTGTGTTCTGCTTCATGATACTTGTGGTGAGACGTGAGACGCAAAATAAATGAGCAGTGCCGCAATGTGCATGCCCTTATAATTTTTAAAATCTACAAGCGTGCGCCTCTCCTTAAAAATCAACATTATTTGTGGTCAACCTTCTTATTAAGAAAATCATCAAAACAAAATGTTCATATTTATCGAAACTAATATTAGCACCATGGAGACCATGATAACAAATTGTCTTCTCTTGAGTTAGTTCCTTCTTCTTTGTAGGGTGACTTCATTGAGGTATTGATTTGGAAAGGTTCCTGGGTGGATCAGTTTGTTTTCTTTCTATTTATAATCATTACTTGGAGAGAGAAAAATTTGACTGTTAGCACCCAAATAGTTGTCGAATAAATGGGTTGAACAAAGAAGAATTAGCGCGATGAGTAGTGATGACAACGTGACGGACGAGTACCTCAATACTCATACATGTTCCGCACTAAGCGCGGGTCAGATCAGGTAATACCCGTATGAATACGGGTTGGGGCGGCCGGGCAGACCATTCTTATATATTGATGCAAATCATAACAGAAAGGGCCGTGAACGGGGAGAGACAGGTTGGAAAAAAAATACCCATGCTCTGCCCCAGACTATTGTGAATCGGGTAAAACCCGCCCCAAATAGGTAGGAAAGAATCGGATTGTGCGAGTTAGATTAGAAATTGCCATCACTATCGGTGGGTTGGACCTGTTTGCTCAGTAGGGTTGGTTGAGGGGGGTCAGGTGAAGGAGTTGGTTCTGTCATATGATGTTTTTTTACTATTATTTTTGTTGGTTGAACCAGCAAGCTAATTAGGTCAATTGAATGGAAAACAACCATTTGCATTATTCCATAATAATAATTGTCTCGTTAAACCCTTTTTATTATTTGACAATTACCCTAACGACTAGAGTTATAATAAGATGCTGGCAAGCTCAAGGCATCGAAGCCCCAACTTCCAACTGTATCCGTACGATGGAGACGATAGAAAAGATCCGCGTACACAACACGGGGTAACATAGGCAAAAAGGATTTGCTCGAAACGCCATTAGCCCATTTGCATTGCCATCGGCCAGTGCCTCTCTTTCTGTCGCTCGCTCGCTCGCTCGCCTGGAAAAGGTTGTCTCTCTGATCCTCGCTGTCTTATACCTCTCTTCCCTTTTTTCCCCACCATCTCAACTTCATTTCCTGTTCTGATGATTCTGTGCTGACTTTGAGAAAGGATTTCTGACTCTCTATCTCTCTTCTGCTCGCTCTTTGTGTTTGGCGAATTTGTAGCTGTGAGGAGAAAGAGCGATGGCGGCGCCACCAGCAAGGGCTCGTGCTGATTATGATTACTTGATTAAGCTTCTCTTGATTGGTGATAGCGGTTGGTTCTGGCGTTTCCCTCTTTTCCTTTTTAACTCTAAGTCTCTTGCATTTGATTGATGCTTAATTTACCCTTTTCGTTCAATTGGTTTTCCATAAATGGGTTTGGTTCATATTTGGGTTTTAACTTTTAATAATCTTTGGTGCTGCATTTTGGAACTGGGGATAGAAAACTTCCCTATTTTGGTGGATTCATTTGTAGCTAGAGTATTTGGAGCTTGTCGCAGTAGGCTTTCGTTTGGGTAATCTAGCTAGAGTTGCATTCATGTTGATGGCATTCAACCTTAATCACGCAGAATTGGGTTTCGGCAGTAACTTGAGTGCCTGATTGACGTGAAAGGGTTGTGTAAAGGACTACTATGGCTTGTTTGGGTGGAGTGTGCTTTGTGAGAGTACTACTATGTCTCGAGTGCTCCATGAATTGATAGTGTGTTTTTGGTCAGTTCTGTGTGGGAATCTGGTTTGGGAGGCCCGAGTGAAACTTTGGCTGGATATTAGCCTTTTGGTCTGGTGCTGTATGGATTTGCAGCGATATTGATAGAAAGAAGGGGAAGGGGTTAGTTAGGAACTGTTTGAATTTGATCACAGTACAATTGAGGGAGGATAGGGTGCAGTAGCATCCCAGGGTTCAAAAGGAAATAATTGTGCTTTTTATTCTTCTTATAACTTCCATAACTGTAGCAGGTTCAAGTCTAGTTAGTGTAAAGGACAAGCTACTCATCTTTCTTGAGAATTGGTGTACAAAGTGCCATTTGCTTTACTTAATATAGTTATTCGGCATTGAATCTGAAACATGGTGTCGAATACATCATGTAGTCACAAGGGGTATATTTTAAGTTGACCATGCAGTTTTGGGAGAGTTTTCTTAGACTGGCCTCACTTTCCCAAAAGAGTAGAAAACTTAGAAAATTAGTTTCAAGTTCCAAGCAAGCCTCTTTTGTTGACTTAGACCTGATATGGTTGTAATGCAGAGTTCGATGGCGATTTAACCCGCATCTGTATGTTAGTCATGTTTAGATGCTTGTAAAGTGTTCTTCACCATGTTATGGTTTCTCTTATGCACAGCTGTTATTATACGATAATGATGATGTCGTGTTATAAACTTATAATTTGATTTTAAAGTGCTTGCTGATACATGAAATTTCTGCTGGTGGTCCTATCCTTGCAGGTGTGGGGAAGAGTTGTCTGCTTTTGCGTTTTTCAGATGGTTCCTTCACAACAAGTTTTATTACTACTATTGGGTTTGTATTCTTCAGTGCTCTCCTAGCTTTAAGTTCTAAATGTATCTCTCTTTGGGATAACCTGTTCATGAATTCATCTTGTAAAAATTGAAAATTAAGAAAGGTGGAAGTCTCATTTATATCTATTCCTAATTTCAAACAGAATTGACTTCAAGATAAGAACCATTGAGCTCGATGGGAAAAGAATTAAATTGCAAATTTGGGATACAGCAGGTCAGGAGCGGTTCCGAACCATCACAACAGGTTTGTCTTTATGGCCATCTCAATAGGTTGATATCCCATTTTCCTATTTAAATAGGGGGTTTGGTTCATTTTGTGTCTATCGTGTTTCGTGGTTTCCTTGTTCACTATGTGCGTATGCACTTAATTAATGTCTTGTAGCTTATTACCGTGGAGCCATGGGAATTTTGCTGGTGTATGATGTCACTGATGAATCATCTTTTAACAGTAAGTTTTCTTTCCCTACTTCAATCTTTAGGGCGTTTCCAGTGGTTCCATAATTTGTGCGCCATCTTTGCTTCTTTCATAGAGTTGGATTAATATATCATTGTTTGTGGCAAGTTTCTTCATTTTCTTGCTTTATCTTATTACTTAAGCTCTTATCATCTCTTCTTATTTTGACGTTCAGATATTAAGAACTGGATCCGCAACATAGAACAACATGCTTCTGACAATGTCAACAAAATACTGGTGGGAAACAAGGCAGATATGGATGAAAGTAAACGGGTGGGTGCTGCATACAGCTTCTCTTGTGGATTGATTTTCTTATTGTGCGAATTTCTTTCTGCATTTCCTTGTGCTTGTTGATGCTCAAGAAGGATGATTTTCTTTGATATTATAGGCTGTTCCTACTTCCAAAGGCCAAGCTCTTGCTGACGAGTATGGCATGAAGTTTTTTGAAACTGTAAGTTACCGTAATCTATAACATCCATGTCCGGGAGTAAAAGGACTTGGATAATTTGTTGTCACATTCATAACTGGATGCATGGCTTTTGCAGAGTGCAAAGACAAACTTGAACGTGGAGGAAGTTTTCTTTTCCATTGGAAGAGATATCAAGCAAAGGCTTTCAGAATCTGATACCAAGTCCGAGGTACTTGCTATTTGCATTAATCTATTTGAGTCCTTCAATATTTACAATCTACCTTCCTGGGAATATGAGCTCTCTGCCATATCAAGAGAATCTATTACTCATTTTGTCCTATCCATCCATCCTGGCAGCCTCAAACAATCAAGATCAACCAACCCGACAATTCTGCTGGTGGTGCGCAAGCTGGACAAAAGTCAGCTTGCTGTGGTTCATAGTCCAGCCAATCGTCACATGGTGATGGCACGTTGATGATCGATCTCAGAGTGACATCATCTACTGAGGGGGTGTAAGATTAATTATAGTTAACATCCTTCCTTCTTGGTGCAGGTAACTGTGCCTTTATGTTATTTTTACAAGATTTCAACCAGGTTTAGCAATTTCAGGGTAGTCGCTCCCTCTGTTATTTCCCTAATCCGTGGAACCTAAGAAACAGCTGGATCCTTTTTCTTAGTATGTCATTTTGGTTTTGGGTGCTTGAACGAACTCGTCGACTCGATGACTTTCGATGTGGATAGATAAACTGGAATTGCTAGTTAACCTCTGTAATGACCAAATCCCATGTTGGGGAGTTATCATAATAGTGTTTTTGCTTTTTCTTGAAAAAGAAGCTTCTGTGGATTGAATGAAGCTAGCTGCATGCTTTGTTGAACGGTCTTGGCGTGTACACAAGGCATGAAGCATAGCGCTTAGTTTTTGTGTGTTGCATAAGGTTTCCCGTCTGCTCGACCTTTGAATGAAATTCAACACGGTGCAAGCCACGGAGGGGTCGTTTGCTTGTTGGATTTTATAAAATGAGGGATTCGAGTAAAACCTTGGACTTTGAGAATAAAGGATTATGTTGGATTTTATAAAATGAGGGATTCGAGTAAAACCTTGGATTTTGAAAGTAAAGGATTATGTTGGATTTTGTTATTTTGGATTTGTGCTGGATTTTAGAAATTGCATGTTTGCTTGTTGGGTTTCAAAATGAATTATAATATAATGGATTTATGGGTTACATGATGAATTTACCATCATATTCTTAATCATATCATTAATAAAGTATTTTTATTTTTTAGTTAAGGATACTTTGGTAATTTCATCATTAGTGTGGTCCATGGATTTTGGTTTCTCCCAAAATTCTAGCTCATAAGGTGGGATTTTAAAATTCGTGGTATCTACGAATTTTGAGCCAAAAATAATCCCACATCTATGGGCCCCACGGATTTAGTCCAACCTCATTTTAATCAACAAACATGAATGTAAGAAATAATCCATCATATGTGGGATTTTGAGGCAAAATCTCTCATCAAAATTCTACAAGCAAACGACCTCTGAGAATCATGGGTCTCGATTGGATTGGATCGGATCGGATTAAGCCATTCTCGACCAACTCATCCATCCATATACCCCGGTTTTGATAACTAAATTCCTACCGCAAATCTAAAAGGATAGAAGTCCTGTTAGAATATTAGTATTAAATATTTTGGGTTGGGTTGGTTTGGATGGATAGATCTGGGGTGAAACCAACACAATGTAGGCGTCGTGGTTCGTGAGGAAATGCGAGTTCTTCGACCGGATTTTCCTTCGGCTAGGTGTAGCTACTTACTGGTCCAATGAGGCAAAATGCAGGTAACCACCAACCAGACCCTTGAGTTTCGGTTCGACCAGTCAGATCTGGCCAAGTTTGATAGCTTGGCGTCCAATCTGATACACTATTTGGGCCGGAGCCCAACAACGGAAATTTTCCTTCCTAGAAAAAAAAGTCAAATGCGAACGAATATGTAGAATAATAAATAGCGCAAAAGAAAAATAAGGAAAGCCGACCGCTGAATAAAACTTAAAAAAATAAAAACAAGGTAACAAATAATTCTCCAAAAAAATAATTCCTTTCGGGTTTGCAGCTTCCAGAGAAAGTGGGGGAGTGGAAGGCTTGAGACATGGTCGCCGCTTGCGTCGCTGCTCGGAGTTATTAGGTTTGTTCCATCTCCTTTACCCCTTTTAACTCTTTGTTTGTCTCCGTCCTCGTCTCTCATTTCTAACTCGCCGGTAAGCAATATACCCGTCGCCGTCAATTCCCCAAACTGCTGCTCTCTCTTGATTTCCCTACTTTGGCGTTTCCATTTGTTCATTTTTTTTAAACGTTTTTCGGTGGTTGCTTCGAATCTACGCCAAGTTCCATTCAGCGTGGATGTTGAATCCTTTTATGGGATTGACTGAAATCCAATCTTCGTCCTTGTCGGTGTGTGGATCAAGTCGAGGGTTTCTGAATCCTGTTGGGCGATTGTTTGTGGTTTGATCCGGTCGAGTCACACTTCATGTTCTTCCTTGTTTGATTTTCGTGTTTCGGTTTCTTTTTCTGCTTTGTGTAACTGACCTCTCCGATTATATCATCTTGGGTGCTTGGATGGGAGCGTTTGATATTGGTTTTGGTAGTCCAGAGAGTACGGTAAACTCTGCCTGTTTCTTCTCGATGTGGAATTGATTTCGCCGGGCGAATTCATCAGTTTCTGTCTCATTCAATGTTTCAAACAAGAGACTTCCTTACAGAAATAATTGGGTTGATTATGTTTTTTCGTAGAATGATAGTTAACGGCTTTGACACTTGAGTTTGTTGCTATCCCTACATTTTGCCTTTGTCTAGGATCCATGTAGCATGGGGCTTATTTTCTAATCTCCTCTGTTGAAAGTTCGGTTATTCGGTTTGTGCCTGTTTTGCAGCTTGAATAGCACATTAAACAATGTATATGCTATGGAAGCTGCTTTGCTTTTCTTTATGGTAGTTCCTAGGTGATCCATTGCTTTCTTTGATGCATATTTCTCATTTGACTTATTTGTTTCTCTTTAATAGGGCTTGAAAGAAGAACAATAAGCAACTTTAGACTGAGGTTTGAGCATATTCTTTCATGAACTAGCAGCATTAGGTGGATAGCCATGGCGTGGTTTAGAGCTGGTTCTAGCATAGCAAAGCTTGCAATTAGGAGGAGTCTATCTCAGGGTGGTTCATACACTGCCAGAACACGGGTGAATCCTGCTCAAAGTCGGTATTTCCATACCACGGTCTTCAGGCCAAAGGCACAGTCTGCACCCGTACCCCGGCCTGTCCCTCTCTCTAAGCTCACTGATAGCTTCTTAGATGGAACCAGTAGTGTATACTTAGAGGAGCTTCAACGTGCATGGGAAGCTGATCCTAGTAGTGTGGACGAGTCATGGGACAACTTTTTCAGGAACTTTGTTGGTCAGGCTGCTACATCTCCTGGCATTTCAGGTCAAACTATTCAGGAGAGTATGCGGCTATTGCTTCTGGTTAGGGCATATCAGGTTAACGGCCACATGAAAGCTAAGCTGGACCCATTGGCCATGGAAGAAAGAGAGGTACCTGATGATCTAAACCCGGCTCTTTATGGATTCTCAGAAGCAGATCTTGATAGAGAGTTTTTCTTAGGAGTTTGGAGGATGGCTGGGTTTTTGTCAGAGAACCGGCCTGTGCAGACCCTTAGGTCCATATTGACCAGGCTCGAGCAAGCTTATTGTGGGAGTATTGGATTTGAATACATGCATATTGCTGATCGTGAGAAATGTAACTGGTTAAGGGACAAGATTGAAACTCCTACACCGATGCAGTACAACCGTCAACGTCGCGAGGTTATTCTTGATAGGCTGATATGGAGTACGCAGTTTGAGAACTTCTTGGCCACTAAATGGACGACAGCCAAGAGGTTTGGACTGGAAGGTGCAGAGACATTGATCCCTGGCATGAAGGAGATGTTTGATAGGTCTGCAGATCTCGGTGTGGAGAGTATCGTTATTGGAATGCCACATAGAGGAAGATTAAATGTACTTGGAAATGTGGTAAGAAAGCCTCTTCGCCAGATATTCAGCGAGTTTAGTGGTGGTACGAAACCTGTTGATGAGGTTGGGCTCTACACGGGTACTGGTGATGTCAAATATCATTTGGGAACTTCTTATGATCGTCCGACTAGAGGCGGAAAGAGAATTCATTTGTCTCTGGTTGCAAATCCTAGTCATTTGGAAGCTGTGGATCCTGTTGTTATTGGAAAGACTAGAGCTAAGCAGTATTACTCGAATGATCTGGACAGGACAAAGAACATGGGAATTTTGATTCATGGTGATGGTAGCTTTGCTGGACAAGGTGTAGTGTATGAGACTCTGCATCTGAGTGCACTGCCAAATTACAGCACTGGTGGGACTATACATATTGTGGTGAACAACCAAGTAGCTTTCACAACAGATCCTCAGGCAGGCAGGTCTTCACAATATTGTACCGATGTTGCAAAGGCCTTGAATGCCCCAATCTTCCATGTAAATGGAGATGATGTGGAGGCCGTTGTTCATGCTTGTGAACTTGCGGCTGAATGGCGTCAAACTTTTCACTCCGATGTTGTTGTAGATTTAGTTTGTTATCGCCGTTTTGGCCATAATGAGATTGACGAGCCATCTTTCACTCAGCCCAAAATGTACAAGGTCAGCGTTCTTGTTCTTGCTCCTGTTGTTTTTCATTGCTTGCTTATCATGGGCTTAGGCATGCAACATGATGTTCAAGCACTCTTATGGGGAAGTTAAATAACTTGTGCTGTGTCTCTGTTGGCAGGTCATCCGGAGTCATCCCTCAGCTCTTCAGATATATCAAAACCAAATCTTAGAATCTGGGCAGGTCACTCAAGAAGATATTAGTAAGATAAATGAGAAGGTCAGCGCAATCCTGAATGAAGAGTTTCTGGCCAGCAAAGATTATGTTCCTAAAAGAAGAGACTGGCTTGCCTCTCATTGGACTGGATTCAAATCACCTGAGCAGGTTTCACGCATCCGAAACACTGGGTATGTGGTCTGGTTTATATACTTCTGTACATTCCGTTTGCTTTCTGTTGTATGAATCATGTTCTGAGAGTTTGTGCTTTTTGTCCAGGGTCAAACCTGAGATATTGAAGACTGTTGGAAAAGCAATTACTTCTCTTCCAGAAACTTTTAAGCCTCACAGAGCTGTGAAGAAGGTTTATGAGCAACGTGCCCAGATGATAGAAACAGGGGAAGGCATTGATTGGGCTGTTGGAGAAGCCCTTGCTTTTGCCACATTGTTAGTAGAAGGTAACCATGTTCGATTGAGTGGTCAGGATGTCGAAAGAGGAACATTTAGTCATCGCCATTCCGTGATTCATGATCAAGAAACTGGGGAGAAGTACTGCCCTCTTGACCATGTTGTAATGAACCAAAACGAGGAGATGTTTACCGTCAGTAACAGGCAAGCAACAAAATCCCTGGTTTTGGGAAGTCTTAGTTTTTTTCTTGGAAGTGAACCTTCATTTAACTTTCTATGCTCCATCGCCTCGTAAAGAGATCTATATCCTTTTGCTGACAGAAATTTTGTGTTCCAATGTGCAGCTCTCTGTCAGAATTTGGTGTGCTTGGATTTGAACTGGGTTATTCTATGGAAAGCCCAAACTCACTGGTTATCTGGGAAGCCCAATTCGGTGACTTTGCTAATGGTGCTCAAGTGATATTTGATCAGTTCTTGAGTAGTGGCGAGTCAAAATGGTTGCGTCAAACTGGTCTGGTTGTGCTTCTTCCTCATGGATATGATGGCCAGGGTCCTGAACATTCAAGTGCCCGATTAGAGCGCTTCCTACAGGTAACACCACTAACCAACTCGCATGTAAATGGAAAATGCTTTTTTCAAATAGGTGTTTTTGCTTGTATAGCACGTTTTTAATTGAACGGTAAATGTCTACTTGTTGCAGATGAGTGATGACAATCCCTATGTCATTCCTGAGATGGACTCGACTCTGCGTAAACAAATTCAGGAATGCAATTGGCAGGTTGTGAATGTCACAACTCCTGCAAATTACTTCCATGTTTTGAGGAGACAGGTGGGTGTTGTGCTTATTAGTCACAATTTAATTAGTCCATCTATCTTTGAGTTACTTCAGAGCTTCTTACTTTTTGTTTGCATTCCAGATACACAGAGAGTTCCGTAAGCCCCTTATCGTAATGGCCCCCAAAAATCTGCTTCGTCATAAGGATTGCAAATCGAATCTCTCAGAGTTTGATGATGTCAAAGGCCACCCTGGTTTTGACAAGCAAGGAACAAGATTTAAGCGTCTAATAAAGGATCAGAATGCACACTCTAATCTCGAGGAGGGCATCAGACGCCTGGTTCTCTGCTCCGGAAAGGTTTGTTAGTACTTATTGGCTGCGTTTGTTGTAGATTTGTCTTAAAAGCTGATACCTTTTTAAGTTGAAGTACAAGTGAGGTGGGGTTATGTTTTACAAAAATGTCGAGTTGATGGAATATGAAATGCATTTTGGCATTAAAAAAAAAAGAAGAAATGATGAGTTGTGGAAATGATTATTGTGAGTTAACTTTAAGAGTGGATTCTTATTTAAAAAAGGCAAATTTGGAAAATAAGAGGTTTTTTTTTTGGTAGAATGAAGGCTTTTTTTAGTGAGGTCCCTTTTGAATTTAGATATTTTGTAGGATTCAGGGGTGAATAACTATTGCAAAAAGTGTGTTTATTTTAACTTGTAAGACAACCTTTTCTTGTTGAAGCTACTTAATATCTGAGCAAGAAGAAAAATCACATTGATTAGTTACTGCTTCATCTTTAGCACATTGATGATTAAATTGTTGATAAAATCTCATGTAGGTCTATTATGAGCTTGATGAAGAACGCAAGAAGGCTGGTGCAAAGGATGTTGCTATTTGTAGGGTGGAACAATTGTGCCCGTTCCCATATGACCTCATTCAGCGTGAACTGAAACGATATCCAAGTACATTTCTTACTTGATTATTGTTTTATGCATTCATAGACTAATTTTCTCCTGATCTTTATTTTGAGTATGGCGTCGTCAAGTCTGGCTTGAATCTCCTTCTAAACTTGCATGCATGCTTCTTCCTCCATAACCATTTTTCGCAAAATATTGCTCATCCGTGCACTTTTTCGGTCCCAAGAGCCACCTCTGTGGGTCCGACTATTGCTTCGATATCCACATGTGTATAGCTTATTGAAGCAAATCTGAAGGTTTGACAAAGCTTAGGGTTGTGGGGTTCATGCTTTTAGGGTAATTTACCCGGTTGGCCTGTTCTTTCCGTGAAAACAGAAAAAGCGAGGTCCTTTCCATCTCTGCCAAAATGAGTGCTTGTTGCTCTTTTTTTATTGATGAAGGCTTGTACTCGGTTCTGTTTCAGATTATTATTATTATTATTATTATGAACATTTTTGGAGCACTGGTTGCAGGTTGAGTATCATTCTCATGTTCGCTTCGTATTTTTGTTTCAGATGCCGAGGTTGTTTGGTGTCAGGAGGAGCCAATGAACATGGGTGGATACAACTACGTAGCACCTCGTCTTTGCACAGCCATGAAGGCACTCGACAGAGGCACCATAGATGACATCAAGTATGTGGGCCGTGCTCCCTCTGCATCCACCGCTACTGGTTTCTACCAAGTCCACGGGAAGGAACAGTCGGAGTTGGTGCAGAAGGCGATCCAACAAGAACCACTCCATTCCCCTGCTCAAATTGTGTAATAGTTTTCAGAAAGTTACATATATTATACACTTCTATCTCCCCTTGAGACTATTCTGGGGACGGCACTAGTTTCCTTTTTTTCTGTTCTTATTTCCACATGACTTGGTAGCTGCGGAAAGCTAGAGACAACCTGAGTTTTGTTTTCGTCTTATCGGTTCTGGAGAAGAATCAGCAAGATTATACGCGCGAGAGATACATTGTTGAAAGAAGGGATACATGGGTGTCAGTGAGTTGTTGAATAAGGAGATTATGATCTCCTTTGTTGATTCCCAAGTTGTTGCTTTTTCCCCTGGATGGAAGTTTACAGTATATTGAATCCTCAAGTGGCGAGATTACCATCTTTTGCTGTGTGTTTGTTCTGTTCCAACAAGCTTCTGCCTCTGCTAATAACATTGTTCTTGAACTGTTTTTCTTTGGTTTGGATAGGTAGATCTATAACATGTAGACTGAGGAACAGCGTGCGACCCAGCTCTGAAAAGGTGAATCGAAGTTCGAATGATTCACTGTAGTTAAGTTGGTGCCGAAACTCGTAAAAACCTTTTATAATCGTTGCCCTTGATTTACCTTGCAACGCTAAGTTTGAAGTTTGGACTTGACATCTGAAAACTACTTAAAGTTCTGGTTATAATGGAACTGAATTCCAGAAATGGTATGTTTGGGAGAAAATCTTCGTCATTTGCAAAAGATGCGCTACTATGTTGTGCATCTTGGCAGGTACACGTGGCAAGTTATCTAAGAAGGAAGGTGATGTGGTCTTTGACCATTGCTTGCACCGTGAAAAGTGTAGATATTGGCATAGTTTGATCAATTTTCACCATTTTTTTATTGCATACAGAGGAAGAATTCTCACTCTTCCATGGAAAACAGATCTGGTCAATGATAATCACCTCGTCCAGTGGTAAGAGTGCTTCCACATTGTAACTTTCCGTTGTTCTATGCCAATGCAATGCAATGCACAGTTTACGTGTAATTCTTCTTCCCATCTTCACAAGTTATAACTTTGTTGCATCCTGATCTGAGATTGATGAATCTGTTTCCTTAACATTGGCCCCGCTTGATTATGGGATCGTCGATGTCTCGTCGTTCATTTTATCAATGTTGTTCATGGATGTTCTGTATATTGTAAATTGCACATGCATGACACATCACTTTTGCAATGTATTCCCGAGCGCCATTGATTGATTGATGGATCCTTTATTACAATGAAGCTTGCATCTTTGTAATTGTTTTCATACCTAATGTTACTCTGGTACTATTTCCAGGATTTGGCCATGACACTGCATTAACCTTCATTGCATAAGAAACTGCTATAATTTGGCATTTTGAGGGCTCATCGTGGAAAAATGGGGTGGTTTAGAGCAGGATGTATGATATCAAGAAAGCTGGCAGCCAAGAGAAATCTCTGCGGACTGCACATTTTCAGAAGAGTGCAATCTTTCCCCTTATCAGCCACCAGACGAAATATCCACAGCACAATCACCAAACCAGAACAAGTGAATGCCACCAGAACAACAGACAATTTCCTAGATTCAGCAAACAGCATCTACATCGAGGAGCTCCAAAGATCATGGGAAGCCGATCCAAGCAGCGTGGACGAATCATGGGACAACTTCTTCAGGAACCTCGTTGGCCAGAATCATGTTAAGGGAATGGCTGCTGCAGGAGTAGGAGTTTCTGGGCAGCAGTCGATACAAGAGAGCATGCGTTTGTTGTTACTAGTCAAAGCATATCAAGTAAACGGGCACACCAAAGCCAACTTAGACCCACTCAACCTGGACTCAAATAAGGATGCTATTCCAGAAGACCTTGATCCAGCATTCCATGGCTTCACAGAATCCGACCTCGACAGGGAATTCTATCTAGGAGTGTGGGACACATCATCTGGTTTCCTGTCTGGTAACCGGCCTGTGATGACCCTGAGATCCATCATGAATAGGTTAGAGCAAGCCTACTGTGGCAGCATTGGGTACGAGTACATGCATATTAACGATAGCAGCAAGTGCAACTGGTTGAGCAACAAGATTGAGACACAAGAGCATACAACCTATGATGTTCAACGACGTAAAGTTCTTCTTGACAGGCTGATTTGGAGCACAAGGTTCGAGAATTTCTTGGCTGTCAAGAAAAAGGCAGAGAAGAGGTTTGGGCTCGAAGGTGGCGAGACACTCATTCCGGGGATGAAGGAAATGTTCGACAAGGCTGCGGATTTAGGTGTAGAGAACATAGTTGTTGGAATGCCACATCGTGGGAGGCTTAACGTGTTAGGTAACGTGTTCAGGAAGCCACTGGCACAAATCTTCAGCGAGTTCGACAAGAAGGCGAAACATGGCTTGGGAGACAATGGTGAAGTGGGGGACTTTATGGGCACCGGTGATGTGAAGTACCATTTGGGCACGTCGTATGACAGACCGACAAGGGGAGGGAACAGGATTCATCTGTCGTTGATGGCGAACCCAAGCCACTTGGAAGCTGTGGACACTGTTGTCTTGGGAAAGACGAGGGCGAAGCAGTACTACTTCAAGGATTGCGACAGGACGAAGAACATGGGAGTGTTGATCCATGGAGATGGTAGCTTCGCCGGGCAAGGAGTAGTTTACGAGACGTTGCATTTGAGTGCCCTGCCTAAGTACTGCACTGGTGGGACTATCCATGTTGTGGTGAACAATCAGGTGGCTTTCACTACTGATCCCAGGTCTGGAAGGTCTTCACAGTATTGCACGGACGTGGCCAAGGCGTTTAATGTTCCAATTTTCCATGTCAATGGTGATGATGTGGAAGCAGTTGGTCGTGTCTGTGAGCTTGCTGCTGAGTGGAGGCAGATGTTTCATTCTGACGTTGTGGTTGATATTATATGTTACAGAAGGTTTGGGCATAATGAGGTTGATGAGCCATTGTTCACGCAACCTAAAATGTATAAGGTAAAGGTCTTAATGTATGTTTCTAACATAGATTACTAACATATGCAACGGATTGTTAGAAACCGTGTATTCTTAGAATCACAGAGGACAATGCTGATCATGCAGGTGATTGAGAAGCATCCTTCATCGCTTGAGATTTATCAAAAGAAGCTATTGGAATCAGGGGAGGTGACACAGGAAGAAATAGACAGGATACATAACAAGGTGGAATCAATATTGAATGAAGAATATGCAAACAGTAAAGACTATGTTTTGAAAAGAACAGATTGGCTTTCTTCTCATTGGGCTGGCTTCAAGTCGCCTCAGCAGCTCTCTCGTATCAGAAATACTGGGTAAGTGATCAATACAGATGCATTTCATTCATCCAAATTGCAACTTATCAACCACTTGTTGCTAACAGTGTGAACCCAGAGGTGTTGATGAATGTTGGTAGAGCAATCACTACAATCCCAGATGATATGAAGGCACACAAGCAAGTGAAAAGAATCTACGAAGAGCGTGCTCGAATGATCGAGAGTGGAGAAGGTATCGACTGGGCACTCGGAGAAGCCCTTGCATTTGGTACATTATTGGTTGAAGGCAATCATGTTAGGCTGAGTGGACAAGATGTTGAAAGAGGCACATTCAGCCATAGACATGCTGTGCTTCATGATCAAGAGAACTGGAAAGAGTACTGTCCACTAGACCACGTTATTCAGGACCAAGACAAGGAGATGTTTACTGTAAGCAACAGGTGAGTGTGTATACATTCGAGATTCTCTTAACCCTCTCATGCTACATCATGTATTAGTTTGTTGTTTAATAATGGATGTTCAACATTGAACGTTCAATTCGCAGTTCACTTTCAGAGTTCGGTGTGCTAGGATTCGAGATGGGTTATTCCATGGAGAATCCAAATGCTTTGGTGATGTGGGAAGCTCAGTTTGGTGACTTCTCTAATGGAGCTCAAGTCATGTTCGATCAGTTCCTTAGTGCAGGGGAGTCGAAATGGCTCCGCCAGACCGGTCTGGTTGTTCTGCTCCCTCATGGCTACGACGGGCAAGGACCCGAACATTCCAGTGCTAGATTAGAGCGTTTCCTAATGGTAATATATCAGCAGACCTTCTGTCTTGAAGGACCATTTTTCGGGTTTCTTGCCATGAAAGTTTCCAAATTTTTTTGACAGATGAGCGACAGTTACCCTTATGTGATGCCTGAAATGGAACCAACACTCAGAAAGCAAATCCAAGAATGCAATTGGCAGGTCGTGAATGCTACCACTCCTGCCAATTACTTCCATTTGTTGCGCCGTCAGGTGAGATGATCAAGGACGAAATGTTCCCCCATTGCGTTTCGAATTTCGCTACTATGCATACAGGAGAGCGCCTGCACGAGCTGATACCATCCGATCGTTCCTTGTGCGAGCTTGACCGTGTAACATACATAATGACATGTTTGTTAAAAACAGTCAAACCCATGTATCCAACGGTACAGATCACGCGCAGAGACAATCCAACGGTGTCATCTCGTGCGTGCAAGCTCCCCTGTGGCTGTGTGTCTGCATAGGAGCACAATCCTTACTTCTCACACACGCTATCTCTTATTGTTGATGTTGTTTTTGTTGGTGGTGAATGAGATAGATACACAGGGAGTTCAGGAAGCCATTGATAGTAATGTCCCCCAAGAACTTGCTAAGACACAAGCTCTGCAAGTCCCATCTGTCCGAATTCGATGATGTGCAAGGCCACACTGGATTCGACAAACAAGGAACCAGGTTCAAGCGGCTGATAAAGGACCAGAATGGACACTCTGATGTTGAGGAAAGCATCAGAAGACTCATTCTGTGCTCTGGAAAGGTTTCTTTCTCGTCCATCCTTTTTTTCATTCTTGTTTGCTTGTTTTGAACTCTCTGCATAAACGTGTTCATGCAGGTGTACTACGAGCTTGATGAAGAGCGTGGGAAGGATGATAACGCAAAGGACATTGCCATTTGCAGGGTGGAACAATTGTGTCCATTCCCATACGACCTTGTCCAAAGAGAGCTAAGGCGTTATCCAAGTACGTTACGCCTCTAGTTTCTTAGCTTTGCTTCACTGACATGCATGTTACCTTTTGAGATGTCATGTTGGTTGCTTCCATTATTCTTGAGCTAGTGGTGGCTCATTGATTCAATCTAGATTAACTAGTTAATCACGGAAAGTGGCGTGTGTGGATGGGAAATTATGATATTATTCCATATTGGATGACAAAAAAGGTTTATGCAAACACATCTTAAACTTTGATTATGCAAATAAGTGTCTGATGGCTTAACTAGGAGATCATATGGATTATGGACTGTCCAATACGTTATTTCATTTTTTATCCTTGTTCTTTACCAACTGGGCCGCATACCGTGAGTCTAGCTGCAATATGGGTGGAGGTTCGGGTTTAACCAAAAAGCGAATCGGCGTATTATGGGCTTACGATTTTCCTTATTAGGTAAAAAAGCTCTTAACGGTCTCGATTAAAACCACCTAGCTATAAGCGTTAACACAATCAAAGGTTCGTTTTTCGAGTTTTAGATTTTATCCGACTGAATTGGATTCGTTAACCGAAAATCGGTAAGCTCTTCACGGTTTCAGTCTTGCGCAATTGATTAATTCAGGTTTCGGTTTATAATAGATTCTGGTTTGGTTAACCGAACAAATCGAACTGTCACCCTTAGCTGCAACCAGTGCCTAGACATTTCATTTTAGTCGCAGTCCCTATACTACGCCTTTCAACTCTGCTCGAGTGACGAAGTATACGAACTAGGTTAACAGATTTGACATCTTATGATTCTATTTTTCTCTGTTTGGATTTGCAGATGCAGAGGTAGTATGGTGCCAAGAGGAGCCAATGAACATGGGAGCGTATAGCTACATTTTGCCACGGCTGGCGACGGCGATGAAAGACACCGGGAGAGGGTCGTACGAGGAGATCAAATACGTCGGAAGAGTTGCATCGGCTGCGACGGCGACGGGGTTCTTTCAAGTTCACAAACAAGAGCAGTCTGAATTCCTTCAACGTGCCATGCAAACTCAACCCATCCAATTCCCTTGAAGCTCAATTCAGGGCTGATAAATTTCTATCAGAATTTGATGAATTCTAACAAAGTGGATGAATTTGGAAATAATAAGGTTGGGACTTAGAAAATAAGATAAGATAGATTTACAAAAGTTGTAATGGATTGTGGTTGGTGTGGTATTAATGTCATTATTTTCTAAACATTTGTCTCTTAATATCGGTGTTTGTTAAACTATGTCATATTGAAGGTTCGATCGAAATAATCGTCTACCAGAGCCCAAGCCGACATAGGATTAACGGATATGAACGATTCAACTATAGTCAAACCATGACATTTACTTTTGACTTATTTGGTTCAACCTTCGGTATGTCATCTTTGCTTACTATTAGGAATGATATAATAAGTTAGCTAATAGATTTTCGGATGACTTACAAATCTATAAATATCTAAATTCATCTTTTTTATTTTCTGAGAGTAACCATGAAGTTGAAGGAATTGTCAAAATTGGTGAATTTTTACACTAACGTTTTGTGACTATAGTTAGACAAATTGTTTTGATTATGAAAGGTTAATCTCATATTACTGTATATATTTCTCGATATTTCATTGTGGAGTTGCTCGAAACTAAGAAACAAAACACATTTAAGTATATTTCATTGTCGATATGCTCGAAACTAAGAAGCAAAACAACAATATCAATATCCTCTTCATTTTAAGCCGAGTACAAAGCTTTGGGGCAATGGCGGAGCCTTACCAAGGTGGGTCCAGGAAAAAATAAGTACACTGACTCTTTGTGACTATGGTTAGACCAACTGTCTTGATTCCGAAAGGTTAATCTCATATTACTGTGTATATTTCTTGATATTTCATTGTCGAGTTGCTCGAAACTAAGAAGCAAAACACATTTAAGGATATTTCATTGTCGACCTGCTCGAAACTAAGAAGCAAAGCAACAATATCAATATCCTCTTCATTTTAAGCAGAGTACAAAGCTTTCGGGCAATGGCGGAGCCAAGGCTTACCAAGGTGGGTAAAAAAAAAAAAAAATACAATAATTAAGGGCCAGTGACATTTTTAACGTAAATTCAGAGGTCTCTTTTACAAGGTCTTCTGTCCAGTTACAGAAAGCAAGCTCTTTTGATCTACAACCACCCTTTATCCAATAGCAAAAGAGCAAGAAGACATGTGCTACACCAATATTAGTCAATTCTACCATAAGACAATAATTAAATAATAAATTTAGTTGCGTCATTGTATATACTACATTCTAGTTTTTACATAATTTTTTTTTTATCAAATGGATGCAACAACACCCTATCTTTCATTCATAACCACCTGGGGTTCGGAAAGCCCCTGAATATCATAGTTCAGCCAGTTACAAAATATGGGATAGCTTAAAGGAAAGTTATGGCCACCAAGAGGAATAGAATGACCTTGATTAGCAAGGAAATCCACACACTTATTTCCTTCCCTGAAAATATGAGAAATGGAGACATCCCACTGTCTCTGCAACAACTCTGAGGCTCTATCAAGAATGGCTGCATGGTGACGCTCGCTAGAATCCGGGCTCCGCAGCAGCTGGCAAACGCATGTCGAGTCCAGCTCCAGCCTAACACGACGAAAGCCTGCATCCCAAGCCCTCTGCAGTCCTTCAACAGTGCCCCTCAACTCCGCTTGGGTGATAGAGCAAATCCCAGGTTAAACGTGAACGCCAACAAGCAGCGTCCAAGATGATCTCTCACAAGGCCACCAGCTGCAGCCTGACCTATGCTGGTAATAACGGAGCCGTCTGAGTTGAGGGTAACCCACTCTGGAGGCGGCGTCTGCCAAGAGATCTCAACCTCCGTTCTTGCGGGCGGATTAGGCTGATGGATGAGCCTATCCTTGTCCAGGGCGTCTCTCACGATAGTTATCCAAGCCCGGACGCGATGTAGAAAGACTGTAGAGGTGACGATCTTGCATGCAAAGACACGATCATTTCTGGTCTTCCAAAGAGACCAGCAAATAAGGCCAAACTCAAGTCCGGTGTGATCCTGGCAAAGGTTCTCAGCGATCCAATCCTGTAGACTGGTTCCGAAAAAACGGTGGTGTTCAGAAGAAGGGATTTGTTTCAAGTTAACATGGCAATCAGACAGTCCCGCAACACATGCATGACTGTTTCTGACTGTGCTCCGCAGGCTCCGCAGTTGGTCCTCGTCGTGAGCTGCCTCCGTCCCCTCTCGTTGTTCGTCAACAGGCGATCCTTCAAAGCTAGCCACAAGAAATGACGCACCCTCTCCGGTCCCCGCCATCGCCAAACGGCTTTCCAATTGTTGCTCTCCTCTCCTTCCACATGATCCACAGCTAGCGCATAGGCCGAGCGCACCGTGAAGCGGCCATTCGCTTCTGGACCCCAGATTGGCATGTCCTCTCCTGCTCCTTCCTGCGGCGGTTGGATACCTGCAACCATCAAGACAATCTCCTCTGGAAAAAACCGAGAAAGGGCAGGCAAATCTCACTTACCGTCTTCAGCGAACGTCGCCACAGGGGTCTGGGGGTCATACGTCGGACAGTCCTCCCTCAAATAGTCGCGGAGCCTCACTTCCTCCGCTACCCAAGTATCATCCCACATGTTGGTAGACATCCCGTCCTTGATGGCCATCAAAGTCCCTGCCGCCATGATCCCCTAGGCTTTCCGAATGCCCCTCCAAAGCGTAGAGGCTCTGGCCGCGGATTTCGCCACTGTAACACCATTAACCTTCTTGAAATACTTAGCCTGTAATACCTGCACCCACAATTCCTCAGGTTTCTTAATAAAGGACCAAGCCAGCTTTCCTAAGAAGGCAAGGTTCAATTCATGTGCCCTCTGGAATCCCAATCCACCTTCCTGCTTCGGTCGACAAACGCCCTCCCAGTGAACTAAATGGATCTTCCTTTTCTCGCCAGTGGATCCCCAAATGAACTTGCGAATACGTCGATCAATCTCATCGCAAATAGAGATGGGAAAAAGAGTGGTCTGCATTGCATACGTTGGAAGAGCACTGAGGACAGACGATGCGAGAGTCACTCTCCCCATCAGGGACAAGCTCGCGGCCTTCCAACCTGCAAGTTTGTTATCAAGACGATCCAAAATATACTTATAGGTCTGTTTTGTTACCCGACCATGCAGCACAGGGACACCAAGATATCGCCCAAGGTCCTGAGTCATCGGGATACCGAGTGAGCTCGCAATAGCCGCGCTCCGCGGGCTAGTTGTGTTCGCGGAAAAGAACACCACCGACTTCTCCTTGCTAATCTGTTGTCCCGAAGCTTGACAAAATCTCTCAAGACAATCCAAAACCACTTCCCCCTGCTTCGTGCTAGCTTCAGCAAAAATAACCAAATCGTCTGCAAAAAAGACATGGGATAAGGCTGGGCCGCCTAGAGACGTGCGAATCGGCTTCCATCTCCCAACATCCACCGCCTCATCGATCACGTGACTCAACCTCTCCATGCAAAGCGTGAAGATATAAGGCGACAGGGGGCACCCCTGACGAATGCCCCTGGAAGGTTGGAATGCCTGGGTGCAGCTCCCGTTCCAGAGTACCTGCATGGAAGGAGACGAGATGCATTCCATGATTACCTGAACCAGGTGATCTGGGAAATTTTCCACGTGGAGAGTTTCTCTGATAAACTGCCAGCTCAATCTGTCATAAGCCTTCGCCAAATCAATCTTCAGAACCATCTGTCATTTCCTCCCAGTTTTCCGACCCATCGAATGCACCATCTCCTGTACAATGATAATGTTGTCGGAAATGTGACGACCCGGGACAAAGCTAGTTTGTGTCGGGTGTATCAGCTTCCTCATCAGCGGCTGAATCCTCTGCACTAAGCACTTGGCGCCCATTTTGTAGGCTACATTACATAAACTGATATGCCGAAACAGCTTCAAGGAGTCGGGGGTCTCCTTTTTTGGGATAAGAACTAGAAGGGTCTCGTTCACTGCACGGATAAGTTGGGGGTTAGAGAATTTTTTTTTCACAAACTGGAGTAGGGACTCACCAACATTGCTCCAACACTTTTGATAGAACATAGGCTGAAACCCGTCCTTGTCCGGAGCTTTCAACGCCTTCATTCTCTTGATGGCAGCTCGAACCTCCTCCTAAGAAATGGCTCGAGATAGACCACTCATCAAACCTTCATCCAACGCCGTGAAACCCCCGGGTAGCCCAGCAGCAGGTCCAGAGTCGGCCCTGTACAACAGCTCAAAATACTCCACTGCCATTTTCTTCAGAAGCTCCTCGTCTTCCACCCATTCCCCGACGTCGTCCTTCAAAGCCAGTATCTTGTTGAATCGGCGCTGCTTCATTATTTTAGTCTTAAATTCTTAATTTATTCATCATTTATCACTAAAATATCATCTTGTTGAAACTCGATAGCTTCTTTTTATCATAATGAATTCTACAGAATAATATCTCAGTGTTTGAATCTCAACTAGATTATTGACGTATATTTGATGCGAAAATAGACTAGATGTTGTCTACAACTAGGCAAAATTTATGAGTATTTTTAGAATCATGGTTATTGGAAGAAGTAATTTAGAATTGTTACTACCTCAGCCTCCACTGCAATTGTTGAAAGGACATGTAACGAGTGATCATGTGAAAAACACTCTTCGCTATTTAATGGGTGGCCAAATCATGAATGATTATTTGATAGGATATATAGAGATTGATATCACATGAATGCATCTTTTATATTTTTTTAAATATGAGAAAACATTATGCGACTCTGCAAATGATTAAAAAATTTATTACGATATTAAAAAAAAATCGAACCCCACCTTACATAAAATTTTGACTGCGCCACTACTTCGTGGCACCTTGTTTGTTAAGTTTAGTAGCTCATTGGACTTCGAGCTCAATTGACCACCCAAAAATACATCTCCATATATTTTAGGAACGTACAAAGCATATTGAATTCGGTCATATTAGAGATAAAAGATTGAGATAGATTTGATAAATTTACATCATGTTGCCATGTCGGTATACCTACTGATCGACTTGTGTTTGCACTAAACACGAAAAGGATGTCTCTCCTCCACAAGTCCTCAGCTGGCATTAGTTTGAACCATATATCCCTCATCACCTTAATTAGGTCATCGAATAATTACAATGAAGAAGAATTGTGTTTAAGGTAGAAAATATGCTGTATGACTTGGAGTTCCCGTAACCGACTGCAGAATTTTACTTCCCTCCTATTTTTCAATTGCAGAGAAATAAGAGTAATTCTTTTTTTTTTCTTCTGACGAGCACAATTTAGAATACCGAGATTAAAAATAACGGTTATCTGAAATTAAATTTGGGTGTACAAGAATAAGGACTTCTCATCCAAACAGTCTGAAACTTTTTTATGTTTGCACAACATTATAATACCTACATATTTTATAAACTCAAACTAAATATTAAAGTTCGAAATGGTAAGCCTCCTAAACTATATAGAGCTCCACCACTAAAGTAATTGAAAATTTACAAGAGATGATTGAAAATAAAGGAGTTTCAATTCATTAGGAGTATGAGATGGATTGCATCTTCTTTTAAGTGCTGTGTACATGCATAGCAATTCATGCTCCCTAAGTGGGCTGAGCATATTCGGATTAATGTGTGGATCTTAAGTTTAAGGTTCAAATATTTACATGTCAAACAAAGAAAATTTAGACAAAAATGGTTATCATTAGATGCATCATATAAAACCAAAACCAATTTGTGAAGAAGATTTAAAACATATGAATCAAAATGTTATACTCAAAATAATAACCTTAATGAAAAAAAAAATAGAACTTAAGAATCACTACTTTGTAAGCAATCAACTACTCTCTAATGACTGATCCAATGATAAAGTGAGAATGATAAAATCAAAATGACCAGTTGTTAGGTATACTTGTTATGAGCCAAATTGGTTCTCAATGTAGTATCGGAGTGTTCGAAGCGAGATCTCATGTTTAAATCATGATGACCTAAAATGTTACGGACTACGTGTGTGTTGAGATTTATACGTAGCCCATCCTTTAGTTTGTGAGGGACTGTTTTGCACTTATCCCTAGTTGAGTGATGTAAAGGGATAATGTGCTTCTCCTATATATTGACTGCCGCGTGCATGGGCAGAGGTATGATGGGAGTTTCAAAACCCTAATAATAAAACCTAAGCTCAAGACCCCTTGTGCGGGTCTTCCGTGGATTAGTCTTGCTCATAACGAGCAAGGATACCACGTAAATCGCTGCGTATTGTGTGATTCTTCTACATATTTTACATGGTATCAGAGCTGTGAGCTGAGATTCACGGCGTGCTAAACTGACATCATGAGTTATGATGACGAGACAACGACTGAGACGAAGCTGAAGTTGACGACCTCACCGTCGAGCTCTGCCGGCGTTCCAAATTTCCCGCCGACCTTCGTCCTTCACAACTTCGACAGTCCTAACCAGGTGTTTGTCGGCAAACTCCTCACCGACTCCAACTACAACGAATGGCTCGGTGACATCACCGACTCCTTCATCGCCAAGAATAAACACGGGTTTGTTGACGGCTCGATTCTCCAACCCGCTGCTGGAAGCCTTCGCGATCAATGGAAGATTTGCGACGCGATGGTGAAGGGCCGGCTGAAGTTGGCGATGAGCAAAGAGATCCGCTCCAGCATCCGTTTCGCCAGCACCGCTAGCGATATTTGGCTGGACCTTGAGGCACGATTCGGCCAGCCTAGTGCGCCTCATCTATACGAGCTTCGAGGAAAGATTAGTACTCTCCAACAAGAAAAGTCAAGCGTCTCTAGTTTTTACACTAAGCTACAGGGGCTATGGGATGAAATTCAATCAACTCCCCCACTCGTGATTGCAATTGCGGCGGATGTACTTGTGATGTGAAGCGTAAGTACCGTGCCACTAAGAACATTGAACAACTATTTGATTTTCTTATGGGGTTGGATGAGGCCTTCTCGACGGTTAAGACACAGATTTTGGCTATGATCCCAATGCCTAGCCTCGGCAAAGCTTACCAGCTTGTGAGTAATGACGAGCAGCAGCGCCAGATCGACCAATCGCGGCGCCCCACTGTTGAGGTCGCTGCCTTTCATGCTTCTGATGATCGTTCTGCCTCTCGCGGTTCATCGAAGACCTCTGATTCTACCAAGCCTCGTTACTTTTGTGATCACTGCAAGAAGCCGGGATATTCTAAGGAGCGATGCTTTGAACTTGTGGGTTACCCGGATCGAACATCAGCTCATGGGGATCGTGGAGATCGTGGGTCTCGATCAAAAGGGGGTGATCATGGAGGGGGCGACCGTGGGAAGAGCTCACCTCACGCAGCCCAAATTGAGACTCGCACCAGTCATATCCCTGGCTTAACTGTTTTGCAGTTTGAGCAGCTCAAAAATATGTTTGGTGGCGAGATGAGGCCCGCGTCTACTCCTGCTGATAAAGCGACAGGCAATGGTTCTCTTCCCTCCACCATACATGATGAATGGTTAATTGACACGGGCTGTAACGAACACATTGTGAATAATCCGAAGTTAGTTCTTGGGTCACAAGCAGACTCGGGTTTGCAAGTACGGGTTCCCGATGGTTCTAGTATTCCGGTGACTCGTATTGGTGAAGTTCGGCTATCTAATGGGCTAGTGCTGCCCCGTGTGCTGTTAGTTCCGGAATTTAAATGCAACCTGTTATCTGTTAGTCAGCTTACTCGGGATTTTTCTCTGGCTTTGATCTTCCTCCGCGACTTCTATGTGATACAGGACTTGTCCTCGAGGATGATTATTGGGACGGGGCACCAAACTGATGGACTCTACTATTTGCGACTATTTGAGGGGATTCGACAAGAGATGGCTCATGTCGTTCGTGGCCATGGTTCAGCTGATCTATGGCATTCCTGGTTGGGCCACCCATCATCAGAAAAACTGGATTTGTTGCATTTAATTTCCGGGTCTAGTAGGAACAATAAAACTCATTGCTCATCTTGTTTGTGAGCAAAACAATCCCGTTTGTCTTTTCCTTCCTGCGTGATTCGCAGTACTCGGCCATTTGAGATTGTTCACATTGATATTTGGGGAGGATACAAGGTTCCTTCCTTGAGTGGAGCTCAATACTTTCTTACTGTTGATGATTACACGCGTGGTGTCTGGATTTATTTACTCAAATTTAAGTCTGAAGCAGCCAAGTACTTGAAGCTTTTTGTTAGGCAGGCATCTCGGCAGTTTAATGCCTTGGTCAAGGTGGTCCAGACTGATAATGGGACCGAATTCGAGTCCCATGATCTGATCGATTTCTATCTTAATGAATGTATTCATCTGCAGACTTCTTGCGTTGACACCCCTCAGTAGAATGGGATTGTCGAACGTAAACATCGACATATCTTGGACACAGCACGCGATTTGCATTTTCATGCCAATCTACCAAAGAAATTCTGGGGTGAGTGTGTTCTTACAGCTGGCTACTTGATTAATCGCCTTACCCACAACTCTCTTGGCAATCGAACTCCCTATGAACGGCTCTTTGGGCGGCCGCCCACTTATTCTCATCTACGTACTTTTGGTTTCCTAGTCTACTCCAAGGATACTCGTCATCATCTAGACAAATTTGGCGAGAGAGGCCGCCCTTGTGTTTTCCTCGGTTACCCCTCATCTCAGAAAGGTTACCGAGTTTTTGAGCTGTCATCTCAACGCCTATTCACTTCTCGTGATGTGGTCTTCGAGGAAATGACATTTCCCTTTCACACCTTGGCTAGTGACATCTCGCCTGTTCCGCCCTCTCTACCCTTCACTCCGGCTCCTGTGGACAGCGATGATGCTTTGGTTGTAGACACACCTGCCTCCGTTGCTTCACCTACTAGCCCAGCTCCTGTGAGCTCCCCGCCTTCACATGCGGACTCGGCGGCCTCCCCTGGTGCTCCTCCTTCGCCCACGGATGATGCGACCAGCTCCCCATCTCCTGAGGAGGCCGCGACCAGCTTCCCTTCTCCTGAGGAGGTCGCGCCTAGCTCTTCTTCTCCAGTTGAGGCGCCCACTTCTACTGCACCTCCACCGCCTCTCCCTAGGCGCAGCGACCGTATTCGTCAGCCCTCTGTGTGCCTCACAGGTTATGAAACTCACTTCCCCACTTCTCATACAACGGCTGTGAAATATCCGTTGTCTTCTTATGTCACTTTTACTCGTTTGTCAGCTAATCACCGTGTTTTTGTGTCAGCGGTTGATGCCGTGGAGGAACCACAATTTTTCCATGATGCAGTGCGGCTGGCCTGCTGGTGTGAGGCTATGCAGCGTGAAATTGCTGTTCGGGAAGCCAATGGTACTTGGGACCTACAGGATTTACCGCCTGGCAAACGAGCAATCTCTTCTAAATGGGTCTACAAGGTCAAGTTTCATCCTGATGGCAGTGTTGAGCGGTACAAAGCTCGTTTGGTAGCCAAAGGTTTCACCCCGATCGAAGGGGTCGACTATCACGACACCTGTGCTCCCGTTGCAAAGCTTGTAACCGTTCGTTCGGTTCTGACTGTGGCCGCCCACCGTGGTTGGCACCTACATCAGCTGGACGTTAATAACGCTTTTCTCCATGGGGACCTCGACGAGGAGGTCTACATGAAGCTCCCTCCTGGATTTGCTCGACCAGGGGACAACCGGGTGTGTCGTCTTCGCAAATCCCTCTATGGATTGAAACAGGCGTCGCGCAACTGGTATATGAAGTTCACTCATTCTCTCCAGCAGTTTGGGTTTCAAGAGTCGAAGGCTGATCACTCTCTTTTCACCTATCGGCAGAATGGAGCTTATGTTTTTGCTCTTATCTATGTGGATGATATCATTCTTGGCGGCGATGACTTGGGTACTATTTAGCGTGTCAAGGACTTCCTGCATGAACAGTTCAGCATCAAGGATCTGGGAGTGCTCAAATATTTCTTGGGCATTGAAGTTGCCCGTTCTCGCACTGGACTGGTGTTGTCTCAAAGAAAGTACGCTCTTGACATTCTGAAGGATGCTGGAGCATTAGCTGTCAAACCTTGTGCTTTTCCGATTGAACAAAATCATCACCTCACCAGAATTGAGGGCCCTGCTGTGAAAGATCCGTCGGGTTTTCGTCGTCTCGTTGGACGGTTACAGTATTTGACTGTTACCCGACCTGATATAGTCTATGCAGTTAACATCCTCAGCCAGGCTGTGCATTCCCCGCGACAGGAGCATGAGGATGCAGCTCATAGAGTGTTGCGTTACCTAAAGGGGGCGACTGGGCGCGGTCTTCGCTTTCCCACGACGGGCAAGCTTAGTTTGACTGCTTATTGTGACGCAGATTGGGGCGGCTGTCAAAGTACGCGTCGCTCCACCACTGGGTATTTTATACGACTAGGAGACTGTCCGATATCGTGGCGTACCAAGAAGCAGTCAGTTGTAGCTCGTTCGTCAGCTGAAGCAGAATATACTGTCAGCGAGCTTGTTTGGCTTCGTTGGTTGCTTACTGACTTGGGAGTAACCACCAAGGCAGCTACACCGTTGCATTGTGACAACCAGGCAGTGATAAGCCGTTAATTGCACATGTTTTACCCCTATTCTGGAGCCGTTTGGGATGGTAATTCTCGTGTTTTAGGCCGATTTCACGCTAGGTTGTGTTTGTTTGTGATATTTCAGGTCCTAGCAAGTGAATGAAGGTTTAGGAGCGAGTTCGGAGTCGATTGGACGAAGATCGGGCGCGAGGCAAGTCGAAAAGGAAGCCACACGGGCACACCCACAACTCACACGGCCGTGCAAGTGCCCACTTTGGCCGTGTGAGATTGTGCGAGCATTCACACGGCTTGCCCTGATATCCACACGGCCGTGTGAAGGAGTGGTTTGGCCGTGTGGAATTCTGCGAGGCTTCACACGGCCAGGCAGGGTGATCCACATGGCCGTGTGACCCTGGCCGTGTAGGTTGACTGAAGTCCAATTAATCGATACGCGGCGTTTTGAAGTCACACAGGCAACTGGGTATGCCACACGGCCGTGTGGCCCTGCCCGTGTGAGTCGGGAATTGCTGGTTAAAACCCGATTTTCAAGAAAAGGAGAGAGGGAGAGCTGGGTTTTTGGTTCCCAAACACCCAAGGGACGAACCCTAGAGAGAGAGAGAGAGCGACTTGGGAACATTCTTGGAGCTATTTTGGAGGATTTCTTCGCCATTGGAGCTCGGGAATCAAGCTTGGAGATGGAGATTGAAGATCTAGATCAGATTTCTGCAGTCTCTCTCTTCTCTATGGAGTAACTCCCTTCACTTAGGTTTTGAGGAACCCTAGTTCCATGAGTTAGGATCTTTCTTGTATGAAGTTTTGGATGCTATATTGTTTGATTATAATCGAATGATGCATTTATATTGAGTCAATTGAAGTCTGATCAACTTTTCCTGATTCCTGCTGCAATCTGAGATAGATAGAATCTGATTAGGTTGCTAGAGTCTCATCATTCGGTAGTAGGAGATTGGCTATACGAGAGTTAGCCAGTTTACTGCTTTGTACTGGAATCCAATTCCAGTAGTGGAGTTCTGTGCTTATTGCTTCAGCTTTCTATCCCGGTAAAGACTAGTCGTCTGCCGGATAGTTAGACTGAGAGGGCTTGGTCAGCTTAAGAGATTCCAAGCTACTGTCGGATCTTCCGCAGTTTAATCAACAGTAAAACAACCAAAAGGAATTACAACTTGGACCTAATTGAGGAGCTAGGGGGAATCATACCTAAGTGAGTTCCCAAACTGTAATTAGTAGTTTTACTTAGTTTAGTTAGTAGAGTAGTTTAGTTAATCAATCCTTAATCTAGTTTGCTAGATAATGAACCGAAGCTGAGTAATAGTAACTCTAGAGACCCGTGGATTCAATATTTATTACTTGTGCCACTATACTGCAGTTCCTTTCATTGGTTACACTTGGCCATTGTTAGGTGTTGTGTTTTAGAGCACCAAGTTTTTGGCGCCGTTGCCGGGGACTTTCTAGATTATTAGGAAAGGCAGAAGTTTGTTACTTTAGCGTTTTTATTTTCTTTTCCACCCTTGCTTTTCACTTGGGTGTTTTTTGTTTTTGTTGGTGCAGATCTGAATCATGGATCCTCATGGCTTCTCCAACCATTGGGGGTATCCACCACCATCCGAGTGGTATTACCCCGAGACTCCTTGGAGCAATCAAGGAGGAGAAGACTATGGATTTGGGTTCCAGTACCAACCCCCTACTACGGAGAACAATCAGACCCCTGGGCATATCAAGAACAACCACATTACCAAGAAGACTTTCTCCCACAACCAGAAGGGCCATCGGAGCTGGAGTTACCCATGGCGGCCTTCACGGGACACTCTGCAGAGCCATGCTACACTTCACTGGAAGATCCGAACAAACAATTAAGGCTTCTCGTGGAGCAATTTGCTCGAGACACTGAGAGATCATGCTCCAAGATGGATCTTCAAATCAAAGCCCTTGCCGCTTCCGATCCCTCATTTCTCCATGATATGGAGGAGACTGTTCAGCGCTCAGCGAAGCAAACAGAGTGGGTGGAGCAAGTTTGCTCACATCTTGCTCAAGATCACCTTTCTGCTACCACGCTGGAAGAGGTGGAGGATGACAAAGGCTAAGGGAGCGTTGAGGAGCATACAGAAGTTATCACAGAGAACTCCCATGATAATCAAGATCAGGAACGTCCTCTGGTTGCAGATCACACCTTTCCTCATTTATGCTCTAAAATGCTGGGCCCGTGCGGGGAGATGCAAGCTGATGCCATTGAAGGAATTGCTTGGCGACTTGCTCTCCAATCTGTTCTAGAAGAAGAAGAGCGAGCAAGGATGAGGGAGGAAGGAAGTTGTGGAGGATGAGGAAGAAAGAAAAGAAGAGGTGGTTCTTGATCTTTTCCCAAGGGAGAGACCACATTTTGAAGAAGGAAGGGGGGTTGAGGAAGCAATTGGCGTCCAGGCTGAGGATGAAGTTGAGGTGGAAGAGGCATGCACCGGCCATGAGTTGCAAGTAATATCCCCACTAAACTTTGAGGAACTGCTTAGCAAGGACCCATTGCAGTGTCTCTTTGCCAGACCAAGGCCACATCAGCATCGGTCCCTCTTGGTGGACGCGATGGTGGCCAATCGATGATGTCTTATCTGGTTTGGGGCAATGAGACGAGAGAAGAGAAGAAGAGGTCTCGAGGGTGGAGACTTCATCTGCATCAAGTACATGAGCCTTCATCACCTGCCACACCACATGCTCGTGACTTGAGACTCCACCTCATCGACGAGAACCTCAACTTCAAGGAGGTTCTAGCATGGACCGAAACTTAGGAGCCATCGTCCGGCTCACGACGTGAAAGAAGCGCTTGTTGGGAGGCAACCCAACCAGTCGGTTTGCATTTCTTTCTCTATTTCTCCTCGGTTGAGTCAGTTTTGTTATTTGATTTTAGAGTCAATAAGTCAACCTTTGTGAGATTTTGTGTGGTGTTTGTGTTCTGATTACTCTCTCTTTCTGGAATGCACCGCCTGACCTGTTCATCATCATTCACCCTTGATCTGGTAACTTCATTCTACCCTCCTTATCTTTCCTCCATTGAGGACAATGTCGTGCTTAAGTGTGGGGGGGGGGGGTGTTCGATTATTTATGCGGGTGAATGTTTGGCTGTTTGTGTGCTTGGAGCCTAGTCCACTGTCCAAATCTCGAGATTTGAGGGCTCCAAGTACTGCTGTTTGATCATATTGGCACTGTGTTTTGATTGGTGAATTGAATGGTTTTCGGATTGATGCATGACAGCTTGATTGTGACTAGGACAACCTATGATGAGGACTGAGACGTGCAGTAGAATTGTGTAGGGGTTCAGTTTTTCAACTGTTTGCTTACCAACTGTGACTTGGATTGATTACTTGTTTTTGACAGTCTCTTATGCATCTAGTTCAGGGAATCAGAACGAGAGATAGAGCATATAGGTAGCCATGTGAGATTTGAGCCTGCTCGTTTCTTTCTTGTGCGATAGATCCCTCTTCCATGATGTGTAGCATTCACGTTGTCACTAGCTAAGATGATGGGGGCATAGGATTAGCCCACGACCAAATTTGACTGTCCTGATGTGTCATATCCCCTAGTCAGCCCCTTTGAGCCGTGTGTTATCCTTTCTTTTGGTCTATAATGAAAAATCACCCTTTTTCCATCTTTTAGAAGGTTCCACAGAGTGGTTTTTACATATTCTCAGCTGTTTCTGCTAAATTTGATGTGAGTGTTGGAGGTAGTGCTTAAAAGTTGGGCAGGTGTTTGAAATCTGTGCAGAAGTGGTGGTTCTCTTAAGAAATGAAAAAAATGAAAGAAAAACAAAGAAAAACTGCAAGGCAAAAGAGAGCTACCACCAAAAATCTGAATAGTGCCCATTAAGTAGTGTTTCTTAGCACTCTGGCTTAGAAATACTGGTATTTATGTGACCTCCTTCGATCTTATGCTCTGAATTTGAGTAATGCAGAATAGCAGAAAGAAAGTACTGGTTTGATTGACTGTGAGTTTGTTGGGTTGGGAATTGTGGAACCTTGTGCCATGAATACTTCCACCACCTAAAAGGCTTTTTCCCCATGTCCAAGACCCTAGCCAGTCATTTGAACCTGTGTCTAAGACCTCCTGATTAGTTAGTGATGACAACCATTTATGTGAACTCTGACCTTTAGAGGCTGCCGTCATGGTGAAGAGATGTTAGGATTTGAGAGAATTAGTATGCGCATTTTTCGCATCAAATTGTCCTGACCCCACTGGTCGAGAGTGAGCGATTCATTTCCTTGTTCTTTACACTCTTTACCCGGTGAGGACCTAGATTGCTCGGTCTCTATTCTGATATCTTGAGTTTTATGCATGAGTTGACTGTCTTGAGTGAGTGATTGAGTCAAGCCTATGTTGGTTGATGAACAGTAGGGAGACTCCTCCTTTACTCGATTTTGCTGCACTCGAATGTCTTCTGTGGTGGTTGTCCAGGTTGCTATTAAGGTTGTTCATGTGTTGATGTTTCAAAACCAGTATGATTCACGTGTTTCTGTGCCTATATGATTTGTCCCCAATGTTGGTTGATTGAAATATGTGAGCTTACCTTGTGTCCCCAAGCAAACGGTTAAGTGTGGGGGAGTTTAATAAGCCTTTAATTGCACATGTTTTTACCCCTATTCTTGAGCCGTTTGGGATGGTAATTCTCGTGTTTTAGGCCGATTTCACACTAGGTTGTGTTTGTTTGTGATATTTCAGGTCCTAGCAAGTAAATGAAGGTTTAGGAGCGAGTTCGGGGTCGATTAGACGAAGATCGGGCGCGAGGCAAGTCGAAAAGGAAGCCACACGGGCACACCCACAACTCACACGGCCGTGCAAGTGCCCACTTTGGCCGTGTGAGATTGTACGAGCATTCACACGGCTTGCCCTGATATCCACACGGCCGTGTGAAGGAGTGGTTTGGCCGTGTGGAATTCTGCGAGGCTTCACACGGCCAGGCAGGGTGATCCACACGGCCGTGTGACCCTGGCCGTGTAGGTTGACTGAAGTCCAATTAATCGATACGCGACGTTTTGAAGTCACACGGGCAACTGGGTATGCCACACGGCCGTGTGGCCCTGCCCGTGTGAGTCGGGAATTGCTGGTTAAAACCCGATTTTCAGGAAAAAGGAGAGAGGGGGAGCTGGGTTTTTGGTTCCCAAACACCCAAGGGACGAACCCTAGAGAGAGAGAGCGACTTGGGAACATTCTTGGAGCTATTTTGGAGGATTTCTTCGCCATTGGAGCTCGGGAATCAAGCTTGGAGATGGAGATTGAAGATCTAGATCAGATTTCTGCAGTCTCTCTCTTCTCTATGGAGTAACTTCCCTTCACTTAGGTTTTGAGGAACCCTAGTTCCATGAGTTAGGATCTTTCTTGTATGAAGTTTTGGATGCTATATTGTTTGATTATAATCGAATGATGCATGTTTATTGAGTCAATTGAAGTCTGATCAACTTTTCCTGATTCCTGCTGCAATCTGAGATAGATAGAATCTGATTAGGTTGCTAGAGTCTCATCATTCGGTAGTAGGAGATTGGCTATACGAGAGTTAGCCAGTTTACTGCTTTGTACTGGAATCCAATTCCAGTAGTGGAGTTCTGTGCTTATTGCTTCAGCTTTCTATCCCGGTAAAGACTAGTCGTCTGCCGGATAGTTAGACTGAGAGGGCTTGGTCAGCTTAAGAGATTCCAAGCTACTGTCGGATCTTCTGCAGTTTAATCAACAGTAAAACAACCAAAAGGAATTACAACTTGGACCTAATTGAGGAGCTAGGGGGAATCATACCTAAGTGAGTTCCCAAACTGTAATTAGTAGTTTTACTTAGTTTAGTTAGTAGAGTAGTTTAGTTAATCAATCCTTAATCTAGTTTGCTAGATAATGAACCGAAGCTGAGTAGTAACTCTAGAGACCCGTGGATTCGATATTTATTACTTGTGCCACTATACCGCAGTCCCTTTCATTGGTTATACTTGGCCATTGTTAGGTGTTGTGTTTTAGAGCACCAGGCAGCTTTGCATATCGTAGCTAACCCCGTTTTTCATGAGCGCACAAAGCACGTTGAGATGGATTGTCACTTTGTTCGTGAGCGCGTGACTTCTGGTGAGACAGCCCCGCAGAAGATTTCGTCGCACGATCATGTGGCTAACATGTTTACCAAGGGCCTAGGTGCGGACCAGTTTTCATTTCTGACTTCCACGCTTGGCCTTCATGATATTCATGCCTCCGCTTGAGGGGGCGTGTTACGGACTACGTGTGTGTTGAGATTTATACGTAGCCCATCCTTTAGTTTGTGAGGGACTGTTTTGCACTTTTCCCTAGTTGAGTGATGTAAAGGGATAAGGTGCTTCTCCTATATATTGACTGCCGCGTGCATGGGCAGAGGTATGATGGGAGTTTCAAAACCCTAATAATAAAACCTAAGTTGAAGACCCCTTGTGCGGGTCTTCCGTGGATTAGTCTTGCTCACAACGAGCAAGGATATCACGTAAATCGCTGCGTATTGTGTGATTCTTCTACATATTTTACATAAAATATTAACAGTTCGTTTAAACATACGGTATGGTGAGTTTGTGCAAAATTTCAAGTCCATGGGTTGGCCAGTTCTTGTTTGAAGGGGGCGTGTAAATGAATTATATGAAATATACATTCGGTCATCTCCCCCAACAATTTGTGTTACTGAGACCAACTTATTATTGACTTATGTACATTGCTCTGACATCGAATCCATGCATTAGGTTCAAGTATTCGTGTTAGCAACGGTTTTTGCAATCAACTTAATAATAGACAAGATAGTGTTGAAGGAAGCTCGGTCAATGGCCTTGATCAAGCAATTCAAACGGCACAATTGGTTGATTTGGAAAGAAATCAAAGCGTGATGCATTACCATTTGTATCTCAAGTCAAAGATAGAAGGTTTCTAAAAGAGACGTTGAGGAAATCACAAGTATAAAGAGGAGCGGATCATGAACCAGTAGCTTCACCTTTTCAATCAAACAAGAAGAGAAGAGCTGTGAATTAGCTAGAGTTCTAGTTGTGAAAAGAGAGCATATCAGAGTGATTGCTTAGGAGACTAGGTTGCTGTCCTTTAGTCTTGAGTGATAGCTCAATCTAGTTAGAGTGATATACCAGCAGAAGGCTGAGAGTTCTCTGTTCGAATTTGTAACAGGAAACTTGAGGAACTAAGTCATTAGTTATACGTTGAAGATCTCAAAAGAGATTCTTTAACCGTGGATTAGTCAGTACAGGGTTTCTTATTCTCCCTGTACTGGATACCATGTAAAAATTCCCTGTGTCATTTGTTTACTTTCGTTTTACTCTTTGACTGATAATCTGTCTGTGAGTTCTTGAGCTCTGCTTGAAACAGGGTAGGTGACTCTGAATCGAAGAACAGGAGAAGAAGAAGCTTACTCCCTCACCTCTGTCCTTGCCTGGGTTAAAGGCCTTAAGTACAGGCCCTTCAAAATCATCTCACTGGGCCGGAACTTAAAAACAAAACAGACAGGCCCATTACTAATTTCTTTCACTAACCATAGACTGAATACAGTCTCTTCTTCGTTTCTTTCATTCATTCGCATATCTATTTCACTCTACAATCACAAGCTCTGTGTTAGGGTTTTGTCTTTTCAGAAAGGAAGTTGAAGGAAATCGTCGTTGGTCTCGCGCTCGACCTCGTTTAACACGTGGTATCAGAGCCCGGCTCCGGAGTCAAGAGGTTTAACAACCCACGGAGAAGATGAGTTCGAGTTCAGAGAGCGGAACTGGAATCTACATGGCTGATGGTTTTCGCAAACCCGACCACCACGTTTTGAGGGCGTACACTATGGCCTCTGGAGGAACATAATGATGCTATTCATTAGATCCACTGATCCAGACCTGTGGAACATCGTGATGGATGGGCCATTAGAAGTCAAGGAAGCTTGAGGAAAGTGGACCGATGAAGACAAGAAGAATTTTCAGCTCAATTCGAAGGCAACAAACCTAATGTACTGTGCATTAGGGCCTGAAGAATACCACAGAGTCATCGGTTGCAAAACAACGAAAGAAATTTGGGATAAGCTTCAGATTGCCCACGAAGGTACTTCTCACGTCAAGATTTCCAAAATCAACAGCCTTAAACAAGAATTTGAGTCCTTCATCATGAAGCCCGATGAATCAATCAAAGAAATGAATGATAGATTCACAACAATTGTCAATAGTCTGAGGAATTTGGAAGTTGAATATCCAAGTGCTGATCTTGTTCGCAAAGTTCTCTGGGCTCTGCCTAAACGTTGGACTCCCAAGGTTAGTGCCATCGAGGAATCCAATGATCTCACTCGACTCAGCTTAGATGAACTGATATGATCATTGATTACTCATGAAGAGAAATTAAGAAGAGAAGATGTTGATGAGCCTAAGAAGGAGAGACGAAACATTGCATTCAAAGCCTCATCATATGAAGAAGAACTGGAAGGATTAGAAGACATGGAAGATGAGGAATTAGCACTGCCGAGCAAACATGTTGCTAGACTGCTAAAGATGCGACGTGACAGAAGAAAGGGGAATTCACCAAGTAAGACAAAAAAAAAAAGAGATTAGAAGGAAAGGAATCGGTTTGGATATAAAAACAGAAGAGAAAGCAGCATAGAGAAGTCCCAGCTTCAACCCAACTGCTATAAATGTGGGAAAACAGGGCATACGAAGGCAGACTGTCCACTTACAAAGAAAGCCTACACTGCAACTTGGAGTTGCAGTGAAGAAGATGAAGAAGAAGTGTGCAGACATGAAGCATATATGACCATTGATGCAGAATCAGAGGATGAAAACATCAACCAGGTAAAGTCCTATTATTATGATTCTTTTAGTGAAGATGATCAAGTATTAGAAACCATACGAGATATTCAAAAGGAATTTGCTAATGTAAAGCAAAAACACATCAGAACTAAAGCTGAATTTGAAGTCTTATTATCAAACTATGAATCCCTCAAAATAGAGAATCACAAACTGGAAAACACTTTAAAAAATGCCTTGAACGAAAATGAAACTCTTAAAACTAAGCTTGGTGTTTCAGAGGATAGAGTGAGATACCTAGAAAGAAACAAAAATCCAATTCTATCTAACAGGTTCAGTAATAGGAAGATAATTGAGTGCTATTACTGTCATAGACTTGGTCATCATATAAGCAAGTGCAAAAAACGCATTGCCAAAGAAAATAAGATAAAAAATGTTTCAAGTTTTACTCATAACCATACTGAGTGCTCACATAAAAAATATCAGGTCTTGAAAGAACCTAAACTTGTGTGGGTACCTAAAAACAAGTAATTCATCTCTTTTGCAGACCTGTCTCCAAGTGAGCATGGAAGGCATTGTTTGGATTCTTGACAGTGGCTGCTCACATCATATGACTGGGGATAAAAAGCTTTTTACCGACCTCACACTAAGAAAGAGAGGTAAAGTCTATTTTGGTGATAATTACAGTACAGAAATTCTAGGTAAAGGAATCATAGGAAACTCACCATCTATAAGCAATGTTATGTTCGTAAAAGACTTAAAACACAACCTACTTTCCATAAGTCAGCTGTGTAAAAATGAAAACCGAGTCATATTTGAACCAAATGGATGTGTTGTTGAAAATATCTTAACCAAGAAGACTCTGTTTACTGGAAAACGAAGAGGAAAATTGTTTATTATTGATCTAAATGACAAAAAGACTTTCAATGAATCATGTTTCATAACAGTTGACAAAGATGATCAACTAGAATGGCATCGCAGGTTAGGGCACATAAGTGTGGGAATTCTGTCTAAACTGGTAAATTTAGAACTAGTTAGAGGTGTTCCTAAGATTCATAGCAAGAAAGAGTTTTTCTATGATGCGTGCACAAAGGGAAAACATACTAGAACCTCTTTCAAAACAAAACAGGTCCTGTCCACAAATAGACCACTTGAATTACTTCATCTGGACGTCTTTGGTCCCAGTAATGTCATGAGTCTAGGAGGAAAATATTATGCTTTTGTCATTGTTGATGATTTTTCAAGATTCACCTGGATTTTGTTTCTTTCAAGCAAAGATGAAGCACTTTTGAAATTCGAAACTTTTGTCAAACAGGTTGAAAATGAAAAACAGTCTAAAATACTAAACATTAGGAGTGATCATGGAGGTGAATTTGAATCAGAAAAATTTGAGGAATTCTGTAACATGAATGGAATTCTACACAACTTTTCAGCCCCTAGAACACCCCAACAAAATGGTGTAGTGGAGAGAAAGAATATGACTCTAATTGAGATAGGAAGAACCATGCTCAATGACTTTGGAGTGTCAAAGAAATTCTGGGCAGAGGCCATTAACACAGCTTGCTATACAATCAATAGAGCTCTAATTCGATCCAAATTAAACAAGACCCCTTATGAGCTTTGGAAAAATCAAAAACCTAACCTAAGTTATTTCCATCCCTTTGGCTGTAAGTGCTTCATATTAAATACAAAGGATACCTTGGGAAATTTTGACTCCAAGTCAGATGAATCGATTTTTCTTGGTTACTCTACCAACAGTAGAGCTTACAGGGTGTTTAATAAAAGGACTCTCAAGGTAGAAGAGTCCATTAATGTTATATTTGATGAGTCTGTGAGTAAGATTGCAGAAGTAATAGATGATGATGATGACTTTGGACTCGGTGGCAACCAATTCAAGGACTCAAAAATAGCGAGTACAGAGACATCCTCAACTGCTGAAAACACAGACCTGGACAGACCTGAAGCACCTCCTCACATACAGAAACGTCATCCCAGCTCACAAATCATTGGTGATCTAAACCAAGGTATGGTGACTCGATCCAAGGTCTATCCTGAGCATACTGCATTCATTTCTCAAATTCTACCTAAGAATATAGATGAAGCTCTAGAAGACGAATTTTGGACAGTAGCCATGCATGATGAAATGCATCAGTTTGAAAGAACCAGAGTTTGGGATCTAGTTCCCAAACCTGAAAACAGAACCATAATAGGTACAAAATGGGTCTATAAGGATAAAACGGATGAAAGTGATATTATCAAGAAAAATAAAGCTAGGCTTGTAGCTCAAGGGTATAATCAAGAAGAAGGAATAGACTTTGATGAAACTTTTGCACCTGTTGCCAGATTAGAAGCCATAAGGCTTCTCTATGCTTATGCAGCAGCAAAAGGGTTTAAATTGTTTCAAATGGACGTCAAAAGTGCTTTTTTAAATGGTGATCTAAAAGAAGAAGTTTATGTGTCTCAACCCCCTTGTTTTGAGAACTCAGAACATCCAGAATATGTCTATAAGCTTAACAAAGCCCTCTATGGTCTTAAGCAGGCTCCTCGAGCCTGGTATGACAAACTCAGCCAATTTTTGATAGATGATGGGTTTCATAGGGGAAAAGTTGATAAAACCTTGTTCATCAAAAAGTCAAATGGTCACACCCTATTAGTACAAGTCTATGTAGACGATATTATTTTTGGATCCTCCTGTCCTGAACTGTGTCATAACTTCGAAAACAGCATGAAAAGAGCTTTTGAAATGAGCCTTATGGGTGGACTAAATCTCTTTCTTGGACTACAAGTTAAACAAACCAATTCGGGAACCTTTATAAGTCAAAGTAAATACCTTCATAACATGTTAAGACGCTTCAACTTTGGAAATCTCGAGTCTGCTCCTACTCCCATGGGTTCTTCAACTAAACTAACAAAAGATGAAACAGGGAATAACGTTGATCATAAACTCTTTAGGGGGATGATAGGTTCTTTACTGTACTTAACAGCCAGCCGTCCAGATATAATGTATGGTGTTCGTGTATGTGCTCGTTTTCAAAGCCAGCCTAAAGAGAGTCATCTATCTGCTGTCAAAAGGATTTTCCGCTATCTAGCTGGAACTCCTGACCTAGGATTGTGGTACTCTAAGCACTCTAGCCTAGACTTAGTTACCTACACAGATTCAGACTATGCAGGCTGCGTGATTGACCGTAGAAGCACCTCTGGTGCTTGTCATTTCCTAGGGTCTTCCCTCATTTCTTGGTTCAGCAAAAAACAGAACTCAGTAGCAGTCTCTACTGCAGAAGCAGAGTATGTAGCTGCTGGATTCTGTTGCACTCAAGTGCTTTGGCTGAAATACCAGTTAATTGACTTTGGAATCACTTTAGGCTCACTACCTATTTTCTGTGACAATACCAGCGCTATAAACATGTCTAAGAATCCTATCCAACATTCTCGGACTAAACACATTGAAGTCCGATACCACTTCATTCGAGACTTATTCTGGGATGGTAAGGTCCATCTTGAGTTTATTAGAACAGAGTGCCAATGGGCCGATATCTTTACCAAACCCTTGCCCTCTGAACAATTTCTACATATCAGGCGCGAATTAGGATTATTCTCTCTCCAGGATCTGCCGAATTTTCAGTAAATCACTCTCCTTATTCTTCTACCCTCAAATTGATATTACTTTCCTTTTCCCTGATCTGCTAATGGATTCTCATCCTTCTGGCAACTTACCATGTTTCCTCTTGTTCTCTCTATAAAAACTCTTCGACCTTGGGATCTCTCAGACACTCATCATAGTTCAAACACAAATTTTCTCTCTTCAGAAGATCCTTTCATCATGGTGCTCAATAACCCTCAGCTCCATCATGCTGTTACCTTCTCCAACAAGGTATTCAGAAAGGATAAAGAGTTCTCCCGCTATGTACGTCGCTTTCGTGATTGTGCAATTTACCCTTCCTTCACCATTCAGCCATCTGCCTTTTCAAGGTATGATATGGATATATCTGCCTTGATTCGCAACCTTGGTTGGGAGTCCCTGTTTGAAGATCAACGGTTTACCTACTGTCCCGAGGCTGTGAGGTTGTTCTATGTGAACCTCAAACGTGGATCTGGCCCCTGATCTCTATTCCTTCAAAAGCACGGTAGGCAATCTTGAGATCACCACTGCTGATCTGCTTGCCAGTGAGCTAGGGTTGCCACACAATGGTCTCAAGGCAGGGGATGATGGACAGTTTCATGATTACAATTTCGACTATCATCATGTCCACAACTCCCTCGTGCATGATATTGGTCGATATTTTCCCAATCGCCTTGATGTTGGGCGTCTTCCCGATGATCTGCGTGTTCTCCATTTCTTCATCACTAGGATTCTTCTGCCCAGATCTCTATCAAGTGCCACGCTACTGCACACAACTGATCTCTGGATCCTCCATCATGCTCGTTCTGGCCAGGCTATCAGCTATGCATCCTTAGTCTTTTGTCATCTTGTCAAGTATGGAGATGACAATTATGATGGCTGGTTGCCTCTGGCGCCTCTAATCACCCAGCTTCTGAGGAAGTTAGGAGTTGATCTTCGTGACAAGGTCACACTTTGCAACGTCCATGATGACCTGAAGGCACAACATGTTCTTGCTTGTCTCGATGCAAGAGTTGGACCCCGCAAGCCTGTCACTGGCTCAGGGGGAGAGGTCGCTGCTTTGGTCAAAGCTCTAGTGTCTGCTGCTGAAGTGGTTGTCGACCATGAGCTAACTGGGTTCTCCAGTGAAAACCTCAAAGGGAAGCGGAAGATTCCTGTAACCACCCTGACATCCTTGTCTACTCGGTTGGAACTTCTCAGAGATGGAGGTGGAGCAAGCTCGTCCAGCATCAGGGAGGAGGACGAAGATGTTGAAGAAACTGAAGAGTTCGGGGATATCTCGGATTATGATTCTCCTCCTCACTACCCCTTTTAGACCGAGTCTTAAGTCTATTTTAGAATTCTGTCCGGGTTCTAGGCCTAAGTTACCTAGATCAAAAAGCAGCCTTAGCTGTTCCCTGTACTGCTTCTCAATTTCTCTAATGAATAAAGTTGCAGCCTGAGTAGAAATTGAATTCTTCCTGTAGAACAGGCTGCACCGATTTGTTTGCTGAGTTGATGCAGGTAAGCAACAGTCAAGGAGCCATTGACAAGCTTAGGGGGAGCATGTTGAAGGAAGCTCGGTCAATGGCCTTGATCAAGCAATTCAAACGGCACAATTGGTTGATTTGGAAAGAAATCAAAGCGTGATGCATTACCATTTGTATCTCAAGTCAAAGATAGAAGGTTTCTAAAAGAGACGTTGAGGGAAACACAAGTATAAAGAGGAGCGGATCATGAACCAGTAGCTTCACCTTTTCAATCAAACAAGAAGAGAAGAGCTGTGAATTAGCTAGAGTTCTAGTTGTGAAAAGAGAGCATATCAGAGTGATTGCTTAGGAGACTAGGTTGTTGTCCTTTAGTCTTGAGTGATAGCTCAATCTAGTTAGGGTGATATACCAGCAAAAGGCTGAGAGTTCTCTGTTCGAATTTGTAACAGGAAACTTGAGTAACTAAGTCATTAGTTATACGTTGAAGATCTCAAAAGAGATTCTTCAACCGTGGATTAGTCAGTACAGGGTTTCTTATTCTCCCTGTACTGGATACCACGTAAAAATTCCCTGTGTCATTTCTTTACTTTCATTTTACTCTTTGACTGATAATCTGTCTGTGACTTCTTGAGCTCTGCTTGAAACAGGGTAGGTGACTCTGAATCGAAGAACAAGAGAAGAAGAAGCTTACTCCCTCACCTCTGTCCTTGCCTGGGTTAAAGGCCTTAAGTACAGGCCCTTCAAAATCATCTCACTGGGCCGGAACTTAAAAACAAAACAGACAGACCCATTACTAATTTCTTTCACTAACCATAGACTGAATACAGTCTCTTCTTCGTTTCTTTCATTCATTCGCATATCTATTTCACTCTACAATCACAAGCTCTGTGTTAGGGTTTTGTCTTTTCAGAAAGGAAGTCGAAGGAAATCGTCGTTGGTCTCGTGCTCGACCTCGTTTAACACAGTAGAGCATAATTGAAATATAGGGCAAATTAACAACCAGAGAATGTAGCTGATACGATGTGTTTTCTTGTTCAGTTCCAATAATCAACCATTATAAGGATAATCAACTTCACAACTACTAGCATGATCATCCATCTTCACGAATTTCTCAAGTATTTCATGATGAACAAAGTAGTATTGAGAAAGAAGAGAAGATAAAGATTCTGGCCAAAAACAATTCCACACAAACAAAAAGTGAAGGGGAAGATGAAGATAATGGGTCAAGCGTCGACGACCAATCTCTGATTAAAGTCCAAAGAAGTCAAGTAGCCTATTGCTTTAATTTCTTGACCCATTTAGCAGAGTGAGCCCATTCTTTAACCTTTCTCGTTGGATCCAAATATAAGTTAGATTATTATTGGTTGTTCAACGCCACTAAATAAACTTAAAAAGCAAAAGCTATATAATTGTTTTTTTTCTAGAATGTAGATAATTTTTTTTTTACGGGAAACCTGGAGTAGATAATTAATGGGTGAATTGCAAACTTGGTCACCCATATTACTCATTTATAACACTTTAGCCACCCGAATCGAAAACCATTCAACTTAGTCACTGATACTATATGTTTATGTCATATTTGGTCACTCTGCCGTCTAGTTCCGTTAAGTCTGTCCTAGGTGGCAGTCAACTCCAACGTTTGACCGTTAAAAAGCTGACGTGTCATTTAAAAAAATTAATTAATTAATTTAAATGTCTTATATTTTACAGCTCACAATTTCAATTTTCAATTTATTTTAATAAAAATAGTTCACTTTACCCACTAACACACAAATTGCCGACCTCCTCCTATGGTGCAATTCTGCCATCGCAATCTCCGCCGCCATCACCGTCGCACTCTCCGAGAGAAAAATAGGCAGAAAGAAACGGCGAAATCGACACTCCGGAGAACTTTCTCCCAAATCTACCAGCTCCCTTCTGTGTCTCCCTTTACAAAATTCGTCGTCGCCGGTTCTTCCTCCTCCGACGCATGCTCCAATCCCTTTGGGTGTTAATTTAATTTACACATAGGCTGGTTTTTGTTCCATCAATCCCTTCATCATTGCGTTTTCACGCCTTTGCTTATACACTCTCTACAGACAGCTTTCCGTATCGTCGATTGCTTTGCTAGCTTATCTCCTTGCTGATGCATACCACTGATCTCTTGGTGCCTTTCTTCCAAGATTTAACAGAGAAAAGAAGCCCCTAAACGTACTCTAAGTGATTGCGGCACCACTGCTCCGACGCCGGGAATGGCTCCCTGACGACGGCTATGTAACTGTTGGAACTTCCAAGAAGCTCGACCTCCCCATCCTCTCGCCAATTATCTCCATCGTCAGATCGTTTAGGCTGGGGGGAATCGCGGCCGCAAGTTCTTCTCCGAGGCCCGCGTCACCCGCGTCAACGACAGGGATGCCCCGCTTCTGATTTTCTTCCAGATCTAGACGAGTTCCAATGGAGCGTCGTCAGCACGACGACTGATTTCTCTGACGAGAGGGTGACTTCCTACGAAGGGCTTTTGTTGCTGGACGATGGATTTCTCTTATCCATTATAACCCAGAAGCAAGCTTGATGCCTTTTTTACATTCTTCTCCATCATTCAAGTTAACTCAGTGGTCGGAGAAGAGAGAGGGGTAGGGGATTTTTCTTTTTAATTTATTGGGTAACTAGTTGGGGTCTTGGGGAAGGGAGGGACGGAAGGGAGCCGGTCTGGAGTTGGAAAATTGTGAGCTGTAAAATATAATAAATTTAAATTTATTAATTAATTTTTAAATGACATATCAGCTTTTTAACGGTCAAACGTTGGAGTTGACTGCCACCTAGGAAAGACTTAACAGAACTAGACGGCGAGTGACCAAATATGACATAAACGTGTAGTATCAGTGGCTAAGTTGAATGGTTTTCGATTCGGCTGGCTAAAGTGTTATAAATGAGTAATATGGGTGACCAAGTTTGCAATTCACCCGATAATTAATTTAACACGTGTGTTATTACTTATTAGGCTACAAATAGGGTCAGCAACCCTAAGTTAACTAGTCGACCACATAACTTATTATTAGAATTTTATTATATTTTGATTTTTAATTTTTTTCTTATGTATCGAAATCTAGAATTGTGAATGAAAGTTAGAATACATTTTTATTTATTAAAAACTCCTTATTGAGCCCACTTGAGATTTTGTTAAAGAGGCTGAATCTTTTATTTGCCATTCTATCTTTTCAATTATTCAATGCCTTCTCCCTTTCTCCACCCTTTTCCCCCCTCTTTTTTGCTTTCTGTTGTAACCGCAAAAATAAAATGAAATAAAAACTTTTGTTGAAATCTTTTGATTTAATAAATCCTGACATTGTTTCTTACTGTTTCCAATCTACTATTTCGGCTTACACCATTTGATTTGTACGTAGCCCTTATTCATGCAAAGGATCTTTTGGGAGAGATAAATTATTTCTTCTGTTTTCATTTTACCAAAATTAAGCTCTTTGACTATCTGTATCGTACTCTCCATTTTACAGCACTCTTTCAAAATGTTGAATCGTGGATAGATATCAATCTTACGGATTATTGGAAGCTAAATCTTAAATGTCAGAATGTGCAAAAAAGTTTGATAAAATTGTCAACGAGCTGGTTTAACCGTTTAAGAATACAAACATGTAAAAGTTATATCCAATTTATCGACACCAGTTATCACGAATTCACTAGCTAAAAGAAAGAAGATATAAATCACGAATCCAACCTTTGGGAAACACCAACTTACTGCCTTGACCAAGTAGCCCAAAGTTTGACCTACATGCAGCATCACAAAATCCCCCTCCAAAAAAATGTCATAGAGAATCCATTTTATATATATATATATATAGTATAAATTTACTTTTTTGTAGTTAAGTAATATTTAACCTATTTAAACTTGAGATCTCTAGGTTCAACGTTAGTGGTATTACCACTTTACCAAGTTCTTGTTGGTAAAAATCCATGATATTACTGTCATAAACCAGTTGGTCCCAGAAGGTTATGTTGGATCTTAAACCACTCTCTAACACGCCCCATCAAACAAAAGTCAACTCATGGGCTTGAAATTTGCACAGACCCGTCATACCTTGTGCTTTAATCAACTGTTAATATTAGGGGTCGTGAAGACTTGAACACGTGACCTCAATGACAAACCAGCTCTGATACGATGTCTTAAACCAGTTGGTCCCAATAACTTAAGTTGTTGGGAGAAGGTTATATCCTGGATCTTAAACTACTCTATATCAATTACAATAGCCCAATTGAGGCGTGAAAGTAAAACAGAGAAACAGAGGGCAAAGTCGGGTGGAGTGTCGAATAAACACCACCGTTAATGCCTCCCCATAATCAACTCGTTTAAAAAGTTTTACCATCAAAAGATGCCTGATTAAAGCCCGACTAATTCAGTGTCTCCAGTGTCCACTGAAAACAGATTGAAGTAGCCATAAACGAGACGTGTTGTTCTTCTGCATGCCAAATAAAAACACACAACTGAATTGCGTATTGCCAAACTCCAAGACAGAGAGAGACAGAGCAAACACTATATATATATATAAGCTCCCTCTGCAGTCACCTTCTCATTGCTCACCCTTTAGTTGCATTGCATTCATGTGCATTACAACAAAAGGAGCCACAACGCTGAAACAAGAAAACTAAAGAGTCAATCTATCTCCATTCGATTGGATTAAATGAAAATGCCGTGTTGGTGGTCGTCCAAATCTTTCGACCAAGCAAAACCGTATCTGGGTGTGATCTTAATGCAGTTCTGCTCGGCTGGGAGCTCCATCATCTCAAAGTTAGCTCTCAACCAAGGCATGAGCCAGAATGTGTTTGTTGTCTACAGATACGCCATTGCCACTGCTGCGATTGCCCCCTTCGCGTTTTTCGTCGATAGGTTCTCTCATCCGATCACCTTCCTTTCCTTCTATGTTGTAATTAAACGCCTAAAGTTGGCAACTTTCTGCTGTGGAATGAATGCAAGAAGCTGAATTTGCAGGAAGGTGAGGCCAAAGATGACACTAGGGATCTTCTTCAAGATAGCACTCCTAGCTTTCCTAGAGTAAGATCAAAGGAAAAGAAATTAAACCACTCCTTCCCTCCATTCAAATTTACTCGAATCTCTTGTGTTGACGCCAAAATCTGAACCTGACAGGCCAGTGGTTGATCAGAACTTGTACTACACTGCAATGAAGTACACCACTGCGACATTCGCATCTTCGATGATCAGTATCATGCCGGCCTTTGCATTCCTCATGGCTTGGGCCTTGGGGTAAACAACTTTTTCATTAGTAATTTAACATAAACAACTTTTTCAGTAATCAGGAGATTTGGTAATGGATGTTTTTGTCATTTTTTTCAGGCTGGAGAGAGTTAACTTGAGGAAGTTTCACAGCCACGCAAAGATAATGGGCACCATAGTGACAGTTGGTGGAGCCATGGTGATGGCTTCCGTTAAAGGGGCTAGGTTTGATCTACCATGGACCAAAGGAGTTCTTGACCATTCCTCTTCTTCTTCAGTGGCGCCAGAGCACCCTATTAGGGGTGCTCTCATGATCGCAATCGGCTGCGTTTGCTGGGCTGGTTTTGTCAATCTCCAAGTACTTATCTTTTCATCAACTCAACTCCATAGTACAAGCTTAATTAGTTTCTCAATGCTTTGTTAATTTCTAAACTGATTGTGTAGGCAATCACATTGAAATCGTACCCCGGAAAGCTGTCCCTAACGGCTCTAATATGCATGATGGGAGCAATGGAGGGATCGGTTGTGGCAGTTGGTCTGGAGTGGAAGAATCCCTCAGCATGGAAAATTGGTTTCGACACCAAGTTACTAGCTGCATTTTATAGTGTAAGGAAACCAATGTTGGACAATTTCTTCCAAACTTCAAAACCATTGTTTTCTCTTCTTCTGTAAATAACTTAGTGAATATGATTTGCAGGGGATCATGTCGTCAGGAGTACTGTACTCGATTCAAGGACTGGTGATGCAGAGAAAGGGACCGGTTTTCGTGACGGCTTTCAGCCCTTTGGTCATGGTGATCGTGGCCATCTTGGGTTCCCTTTTCTTGTCTGAGATTCTTTACTTGGGGAGGTAAGTAAGCAAAACAAGCTCTTCTGCTATTTTCCAGTAATGGGTTTTGATTATTTTCTGCAACAGAGTTCATGAAGGTGATAAAGTTTCGATCTTGTTGGTTGGGTGTGGGGAGCAGGGTATTGGGAGCAGTGGTGATAGTGACAGGATTGTACTTGGTGCTGTGGGGGAAGACTGGAGATGACGAGAAAGGCAGCAGTGGTGGCAGTACTACAATTAACGACAAATTAGTGGCTGCTGATCATCTCCCCATTGCTGCTGCTGATTCATCAGTGGAAGCCACGAATGTAGAGAAGATAGAAAGCAAGCAAAAACAAATCAATGGTGGGGAAGGGTTTGTTTCCATTGAGCTACCCAAGATCTGATGTAAAGAAAGGACTGAATAAAAAAACAGAGGAAGGAAGACAGGGGAGAAGGAGTCCTCTGTTTTGTACTCTGCCTGGGATGGTGGGAGTGAAGTCCCATATTCTCTGCCCCTTTCTCGATTCAGGGGAGCAGAAAGAACTTCACTCCGTGTAGAGCTATTAATGAGCTGAGCTATCGTGAGCGGTTCGGTGTTCAACTCAATAAAAGCTCATTCGGTTCAGCCTTGTTCAGCTCTTGAGACTTATGAACAAGTTCGATTAAGTGGTTTATTGAGTTCAACTCATGCATTGTCTCGTTTTGAGCACATGAGATGTCTCAACATTTTAACTATCGAGCCAGCTCGACTACAACTTATAAGAAAATCGATCTATATCTTACGAGTTGGTTTGTTGATGATATATAGATTTATTAAATTGTATATCTCACCTCATAGGATGTGAGTAAATATGTCTCATATATGACATAAGATCAGTTAATCACATGCATCATATATGACATATAAATATTTGGGTATTTAATAAATTATCTTAGAGTTGAGCTCGAGTCGAACTTTTGACCTTAGTGATGAACCAAAATTTAATAAATGAACTGGCTCGTGTTCGACTCGACTGAACTCGTTCATAAATGACCCAAGCTCGTGTTTGACTCATTTATAAACAAATCAACTACGAACAAAACAAAAACAAAATTCGATTTGACTCGACTCGACTCATAAACAACCCGAACTCTTTGTAACCTTTGTCCAATTGTCCCAATTTCCCCATGGAGGACAGGGCAAAAATTTCAAGCTTTTGGTTTCCGCCGTGACATTTTGGTGGATTGATCCCTCTGGAGTCTGGGCTCTGACCACAACCACCCTCTGTTTTTCTTTTTTTGTCCCCTCTTTGTACTTCTTGGCCAAATTGTTTATTCCTTCTCCATTTTGATGAAGAGAAGGGGAGGAAAGGCATGGTATTGCAAATATATATTCTCGCCTATGAATCTTGTACTCGCACTTGAGATGAATTCACTTCGTATTTGGTAGATTGTTAGTTGCTATCTTCATGTTATGTTATGTTGCAAATGTGAAATCTTCTAGTGTTGAATATAAAGCAATATAGGTTAGTGGAAGGTTTACATCCATTTCTTTTATGCTTTTCCTGATTTGGTGATCTAACTTTTATTGTAGATTAGTCTATTATTAACCATCTAGCAAAAAAGTTTTATCAAAATCTTATAATTTATTAATATTTTCAAAGAGATTGCTAATCGATATTGAGTAAAGTAATTTTCAAACAAAAATATTTGGGGTAAAAATTGCAAGTTTGGTCACTGGGATTATTAAAAACGTTCATATTTAGCCATTAGAAATATTGAATTCTGTTTGTGGTCACTAAATTAATTAAAAGCTTCAAATTTAGTAACTTTCCGTTAGTCTCCGTCTATAGCGTCTGTTTTTTGCTGACGTGGCAAACATAATTGGCTAATCAACTTAAATCAACCCGCCACGTCATCGGTACTTGCCACGTCATTACAACAACAAAGCAACAAAATACAATTAAATTAAAAGAGGGTTAATGCCACATTTGGTCACTGTGATTACTAAATTGTGTCATGTTTAGTCACTAGAAAAAATTAATATCAAATTTGGTCACTCTAATTACTAAAACAGGTCACATATAGTCACTCTCCGTTAGTCTCCATCCAACTCCGTTAATTGAGTCTGTTATGTGCTGATGTGGCTAACGGGAACACATAGTCAGCTCCATTTTGGACTGAAAATGGTCAAACCCGACCCGCCACATCACTAAACCCGCCATGTCATTAACCCAACCCAACCCTAACCCACTTAACAAAACAAAATTGGAAAACCGATCGTGTTAGTGGCCATTTCAGACCAAAACCCTTTCTCCTTCCTCGCCAAGCTCTGCTCGTTTCTCGAATCAATTCACCCACCAAAAAAATCCTCAAATTCAGTCCCCCCAATTTGGATTTGAGGGAGTAGGAAGGCACGGCGCCGGAGATGACGCACTGGACGAGCACCTCATCGTCCTGGGGCAATAATTGATCCATAGGGACGGCGGCTAGGTCAGGAGTGGCGGCGAAAATTGCACAATCAAGGGATTGGGGGCAGGCGGCGACGAATCCACTGGCGGGGCCGTCAATAGATTCGTCGTTGGCGTCCGTGCGGTGGAGGAAGGACTGGACGAAGTCGATGCCAAAGAAGTCGAGGAGGTAGACAAAGGAGGCGAGGAAGGCGAGGATTTCGAAGAAAGTCAGGACGTCGAGAGGGGTTGATGTACGGATCTTCTCCCCCAGCGGGTGAGGAAGTAGACCGCGGAGAAAAAGAGGGCGAAGAAGAAGGCGTTGGTGACGTAGAGTGGGAAGGGGAGGGCGTCGGAGTCCTGCGGTGGTTGTCTTCTCGGTAGTCGGCGGCGGGAGAGGAGGCCTTCGGGGGTCATAGTGGTGATGGTGGAGGCGTTTGAGCGACTGGGCAAGTGGGTTTTTGGTGGATCAGCGAAGGGGATCCATTGTTGGATAAGGAAAGGGATTCTGATCGGGAGCTATTTTGGATGGATGATGAACCATTTTTTTTTGTGTGTGGGGGGAATTGATTCGAGGAAGGGGCAGAGCTTGCGCGTGGAAGGAGAAAGGGTTTGATTCTGGTTCGGGTTGGGTTGGGTTGGGTGTATGACATGGCGGGTTTAGTGACATGGCGGGTCGGGTTTGACCATTTCCGGTCCAAAATAGTGCTGACTAGGCGCTCCCGTTAGCCACGTCAGCACATAACGGACTCAACTAACGGAGTTGGATGGAGACTAACGGAGAGTGACTAAATATGACCTATTTCAGTAATTAGAGTGACCAAATTTGATATTAATTTTTTCTAGTGACTAAACATGACACAATTTAGTAATCACAGTGACCAAATGTGGCATTAACCCATTAAAAGAAAACCAAAAAACAAAATAGTGTTTCTAGATCTCTTCCTTCCGCCGTCGTCCTCAATCATCATCTTCATCCCATTGTTTCTTCTTTCCTCCGGCACAGGGATCAAAGGTAGGGGTGTTCAAATGGTTATCATGGTTACTACCAAACCAAATAAGGCTAAATTTTATTAACCATGTAGTAGAATATCATAACCAAACCGTCCAAATTAATACAACAACCAAATTAACCAAACTAAAGTTTAATCGGTTTGGTTAATTGGTTAACCAGATTAATCAATATAAAATCACATTATCATTAAGTAAGAAAATTTTCGGTTAGTTTATCAATTCACAATTTATATAATGAATAAAACATAACAATCAACACATAGTTATAGTTGGCCCTTAAAATAAATACATGCAACTAAGACAATTATCTTACGGTTAGTATAGAAGTATTCACCTAACAAAAATTTATCGCAATGGTATGGGTTAATGAATTGTTGTGTTTGTTTGAATTGACTTAAGCTTTTAGCAATTTTCATAGGCTGAAAAGGACCTTGCTTTCAAGTTGTGGTCTGAAAGGAACAATATACAAATATACATTACAGGAACAATATCAAGCTTTATATTTCATGAGTCTAAAAGGGATGAACGTTTAACTCTTGAGTGGTTATTCAAAGTATTAAGTATGGGCATATATTGGGGAGTTCTACGGTAACAAGGGTGAAATCTGGGGTACCACATACCTTGAGTAAGAAAACGCTATCCAAAACTTGAATTGACTGATCTTTCGGACATTATACTATACTCTAACCCTTAAAGATCAAAATCTAGGTCTTAATTCTCTAAATCTTATACCCCCAAGATCAATTTAATTAGAAACAATATTCGACGGTTATGATTCGTCCAAATATAGGCAAAAAATCAATGCACCATCTTAGGGTTTATAGTTTATGATTTAGATAATTAGGACCTAGGGTTCACTCATTAAGGGTTACGGTATAGTATCATGCCCAAAAATCTTGCTAATTCGTGGTCTAGATAGTGTTTTAAAACTCAAGGTATGCGGTACCCCGGATTTCACTCGGGGTACCGTAGAAGGCACCGTATATATTAGATACATGGCTAATTATTTATTTGGTTAATTTGGTTTGGCTGGTTAGGAGTGTCTGAAACCAAACCAAACCACTTAAACCAAACAAGCTAAGAATTTCAACCAAACCAAACCAATTATCCAAATTAACCAAACCAAATTATCCAAATAGTATTGGTTAAAACGGTTACCATGGTAACCACACCATTTGAACACCCCTAATCAAAGGGGGAGGTTTGGATCCAGCTAAACCAATCTTCAAGAGTGCATAGAGGATGCAAACCCTGCCAGTCGAGAGAACAGCGATGCAATTGCTTTATAGGCGCAATTGCTTCGAGGAACTGATAAAAAACGTACATCGTCTATCAGCAAACATTCCTGGGAGATTACCTTGCAATATTGTCATTCTCTAATTCTATGAACACTTTGAAATTTTGGGCCCCACCAAATGTTAAATAGCTCTGGTTCCGTGATGAATTCTGTTAGCCACGTTAGCAAAAATTGACGCCGTTAACGGAGACTAACGGAAGTTAACAGAGAGTGACTAAACTTGAACCTTTTAATTAATTTTAGTGATCATGAATATAATTAAATATTTCTAATAACTAAATATGGACGTTTTTAACAATCCTAATGACGACCTTACAATTTACCCAAAATATTTGTGTCATGGAATGATACTATGCTATAGCCCATTCTTCTATTCTCACTACGCATTTGAGGCCCGCTTTATCACAGACGTTCATTTATGAAGGCTCGATCGATGAAAGCCCACATTGGGAGAAGGCAGGCCCATACTAGGCGCCCAAAGGATCACAAGGCAACCCCTCTCGGAGAATTTTTTTTGGTGTGCGGGACAAAAGTGGCTGATAGAATTTTCATAAAAAAGAAAACACCTAATAGGATTAACGGCTTAAATGGGTAGTATTTGAATCTTTTTGTGTCATACCTACTTTTACAATCTAAATTTATTGGTAGGGATTATATGAATGTGAATATATAAGACCTTTTTATATTGAAATTATGCTAAAAAAAATCTTGCAAAATGTGAGGTATTGTTGGGCCGCATAGTTGAGCGTGTTTGGACCTCGGGCCCAAGAGAAGCGAGTCGGAGTTTAAGGCCCAATAAGGAGTCCAGGCCCGATCGGAAGGCCGGGTCAGCAGGCGGTCCAAGGAATGCTGTGAACCCGAGGAAGAGGATAAGGGCGCCTGACATAAAGCGACTGAGCAGCGCAGAGGGGCAGAGAGCCGTTGAAGATGCGTATCTGGTGTCAGGCAAGACTGAGCATTTATTGCCAGCCGCAGGCGGCCTGCAGAAAGGCTGAAAGCCTGCCCAGGACGCCTGACAGTTTCTGAAAAGCATGAAAGGGCGCCCGACCAGGTCTGGGGCGCCCGACACAGCATTTAATGCCTCAACCACCCTCAAACCAGGTATAAATAGAGGAGAGTGCATTAATGGTAAGGCCAACTACTATTCATCTCTCTACATAACTTCTCATTTTCCCAACTCTCTCACTAACTTGAGCTTCGGAGAGTGTCCCGGGCGAACCGCCCCGGACCCTTGTTTTGCAGAGCATCTGGAGCGACCCCTAACATCCAAGATCAGGCGCCCTGTCCCAGCTCCGCAAACCGCCTAGTATCTACTAGGCACAAACAATTTGGCGCCCAGCTTGGGGCTAGGAGCAGAGCGCTTAAATCGAAAGATGGAAGGGAACTTCAGAACTCCGGTAAAAGACGTCATTGGCGGGGAGAACATCAGAGGTTTGGAAATGCCGACGGTTGAGGAGGAAAAGGATATGGAAGAGCGCGTGAGAGATCAGGGGCAGCAGATCACCAGTATGCAAGAAAGTTTGAGTCAGATCCTCACCATGCTCAAAACAAGAGACGAGCCCGAAAGTTCTAAGATGCGAGGCGGAAAGGGCAAGGGGGTAGACCGAGAGATGCCCCCCAGCCCCCCTCGCACGGAAGACGAAGAGTCAGACAGGGAAGAAGAGGCTGACGGCGTCCACCTGGACCTCCTCGAAGAACATCTGCGGCCCTGCTACGGGAAGCCTAAAGGTTACAACGTTCTGCACAACCCTCTGGCGAAGAGTCTTTTCAAGACGCAGGTTCCATCAAACTTCTCGTCGCTCGGTCTACCTGCATACACAGGAAACTCCGACCCGTCGGACCACTTGAGCGCCTTCATGCTCAAGATGCAATTGATCAACGCCTCAGACGCTGATCTGTGCAAGGCGTTTCCAGTCACTTTTGGGGGGCAGTGCCGAAGCTGGTACGCGTCGCTACCAGCCGGGATAATCGAGAATTTTGAGCAGTTCGCCACCCTTTTCTCGCTGAAGTTCGCGTCTCAGCGAAGAAGGCAGCTCACGGTTTCCGCCCTCATCAACTGCAAGCAAGGAGAAGAAGAAACCTTGGCAGACTTCTACGACCGGTGGAACACGATAGCCTGTGAAGTGCAGGATGTCTCAACCAGTGTGGCCGCCAAAAACCTGAGAATGTCGACGCACAGCAGGGAACTAAAAAGGTCACTCATCAAGAAGGAGCACAACATCAAGTCTTGGCAAGATTTAGGCCGCGTGGTACGGAAAGCCATATTCTTGGAAGAAGCGCTCAACGCCGAGGAGGGCGCGAAAGGAGGCCCAACGCCATCGGGCAAGGCAGATAAAGGAAGGAACGGGTCGCCAAAGCGAAGGGGGCGCACGCCCGAGCGGCGAAACTACAAACCCAGGTACAATAACAGAGACGGAAGACGGGAAGTATTCGCGTCAGAAAAGGAGGACGACGGGCGCCGTGAGGAGAGCAAAGCTCGAGAGACGCGTCCTCGCCAAAGGAGGGAAGAAGACCAAAAATGGTGCGACTGGCACCAGCTGCCGACTCACGACACCACTGAGTGCCGCGAGTTCAAAGCCAGCCTCAAATACCTGGCACCGGGAGACCTGAAAAGCCGCCTGGACACACGGGGGCATCACAGGGAGAGAGCTGATGAAAAGAATAGGTCACCCAGCCCGAGGAGAAGGTCCCGCACGCCCAGACGTCGGAGATCCAGGTCGCCAAGGAGGGAGCGAACGCCCCGCCGGGAGCGCTTGCCCCCACCACCGCCCAGGCACGCCCCTCCTCATCGGCACCCGCCTCGAGAGGAAGAGGAAGGGGTCGAGATAATCACCATCGCCGGAGGACACAAGCGCCCTCGAACTGAAGGAGACCGCTTGGTACAATGCATGAACGTGAACAAGAAAGAACAAGTCGAGATCAGTTTCACGCCCTCAGAGCTGGCTCCCGAGGAATGCGGAGAAGATCCGTTGGTCATTTCTTTCCGCACAAAGAAGTTCAAAGTCACCCGAGCCTTGGTCGACAACGGAAGTTCGGCAGACATCCTTTTCTACTCCACGCTCAAGAGCATGAAAAAGGGGTTACAAGACCTCAAGCCATCCACGACTAGTCTAGTGGGTTTCTCCGGATCCAAGGTCAGGGTTCTGGGCTCCATCACCCTCCAGGTGACGATCGGGAGTCCGGAGGTGACGAAGACGCGCCTTATGGACTTCCACGTAGCGGACTGCCCCTCCGCCTACAATGCCATACTGGGGCGCGGTTTCCTGTCAGGCTTCTCAGCGGTCCCCTCTACCTGCCATCAGATGCTTAAGTTTCCCGCCAGGGGCAGGATAGGGCGCGTCCTTGGTGACTCCCAGCAAGCCAAAGAGTGCTACCAAGCAACCATCAGGAACTTGGAGGTCGATCAAGTGGACACAAGAGGAAGTCATCCACGCCCCGAAGCGGCCGAGGAAGACGTCGCGGTCGTTCTAGACGACGACGAGCCAGAAAAGAAGGTTAGGATCGCAGCTCACCTGGCGGAGGAGCAGGCGAGGAAGCTCTTATCTCTCTTAAAAGAGTTCAAGGATCTATTCGCGTGGACGTCGGAGGACATGCCGGGCGTCCCGCGAGAGTTAGCCGAGCACTCCCTATCAGTCAAAAGCAAGGCGCGGCCCGTGCAACAAAGGAGGAGAAACACCTCCCTCGATAAGCAGATGGCGTTAGAGGACGAGGTGAAGCGCTTGCTGAAGGCAGGGTTCATCAGGGAAGTGAAGTACCCAACGTGGCTGGCCAACCCTGTCTTCGTGCGAAAGGCGTCTGGCCTTTGGCGGATGTGCATCGATTTCACGAGCCTCAACGCAGCCTGTCCCAAGGACGCGTATCCCCTCCCCAGAATTGACCAGCTGATCGACGCGACCGCAAATCATGAAACGTTAAGTTTCCTGGACATGTTCTCAGGCTACCACCAGATACGCCTGTCAGAGGAAGACCAAGAGAAGACCGTGTTCATGACACACATGGGCAACTTCTGCTACATGGTCATGCCTTTTGGCCTAAAGAACGCGGGCGCAACGTACCAGAGGATGATCGATACGGTGTTCCAGAAGCAGCTGGGCCGAAACGTGGAAGCCTATGTCAATGACGTCCTGGTCAAAAGCAAGAAAGGGGCCGATCATTTGGCCGATCTACGGGAAACGTTCGAAACGCTCCGAAGAGAACGCCTCCGACTGAATCCGCTGAAATGCGTGTTCGGAGCGAAGGCGGGAAAATTTTTAGGGTTCATGATCACTAACAGGGGCATAGAAGCAAACCCAAAGCAGATCGAAGCAATCCTCAGCCTGAAGCCGCCCCGCACGGTGAAAGAAATACAAGCATTCAACGGAAAGATGGCCGCCCTGAGCCGCTTTATTCCGCGGTCGGCAGACAAGTGCTCACCTTTTTTCCAAATGCTGAAGAAATCCGCATCTCGCCTGCAATGGGGACCGGAGTGCGATAAAGCCTTTTTCCAATTGACGGAACAGCTAGCCTCACCTCCCGTCCTCAGCGCCCCCCTACAGTCCGAGCCCCTATATCTGTACCTAGCGGTCTCTGATCATGCAGTCAGCTCCGCTCCGGTAAGGAGGGACGCCGATGGTACAGACCGTCCCGTGTACTATGTCAGCAAAGCCCTTCTTCCAGCTGAGAGACGATATATGCCAATTGAAAGGGCGGTCCTGGCGGTCATATCAGCGGCAAGAAAGCTGCGCCCTTACTTCCAGGGGCACCCAATCACCGTCCTGTCCAACCTTCCTTTGAGGAAGATTCTCAGGAGCTTGGACGCATCAGGAAGGATGACTAAATGGGCAGTCGAACTCAGCGAGTACGACATCACGTATGCCCCTCGCCCTTCCATAAAGGGACAGGTGCTGGCGGACTTCGTAGCGGAAGGTTTTAGCCTCGACGCGGCCGAGGCAGAGGGGAAGGTTGAAGTGTGGCGCCTGTTCGTGGACGGAGCTGCCGGGAAAGGAGGATCAGGTGCTGGAATTGTGCTCGAGTCGCCTCGAGGAGTCATACATGAGTTCTCTCACAGATTCCAAGAACTGAAAACCAACAATGTTGCGGAGTACGAGGCCCTCTTAAGCGGTCTCAGAATCGCCATGGGAATGGGCGCCACCCGCCTACACATCTCCTCTGACTCTCTGTTGGTAGTCAATCAGGTCCTGGAAAACTACGAAGCTAAAGAGGAAGCGCTAGCGAAGTTAGCCGACGAAGTCAGAGGCGTTCTTGCGCAGTTGGAAGAGTGGAAGCTAGAACATGTAAAGCGAGAGGACAACCATCACGCGGACGCCTTATCCAAGCTGGCCACGGCTATGGACTTCGAAGGAGACCGTCAAGTCACCATTACCAAGGAGGCCCCGCCCAACGAGGGGGTGATGGCCATCGAGGAAGGGGCGGCCGACTGGCGCTCCCCTATTGTCGAATACCTACAAGCTGACGTCCTGCCAAGCGATGAGGCCCAGGCAAAGCTGATCAAGCGGAAGGCCGCCCATTACAGCATGGTGGGAGGGCAGTTACACAAGAGGTCCTTCTCAGGCGCCTACCTGAAGTGCTTGAGCCCTGCAGAGGCAGAATGGATCATCAAGGAGATACACCAAGGCACATGCACCTCGCATGCTGGCCCGAGAGGCCTTGAGAAGACCATCCTGCTACAAGGCTACTACTGGCCAACGGTGAAAAAGGATGCTGAAAAGGCGGTCCGCGCGTGTCACGAATGCCAAATCCACGCCAGCAAGCAACATCTGCCCAGCGCGGAACTAAGGAGCATAACAAGCCCGTGGCCATTCGCACAATGGGGGTTGGACCTGCTGGGTCCCTTTCCAACCGCCCCCTTGGGCAAGAAATATCTGGTGGTGGCGGTCGACTACTTCACAAAATGGATGGAGGCCGAGCCGTTGGATACGATTACCAGCGCCAAGATCCAGAAGTTTCTCTTCAACAACATAATGATCAGGTTTGGTACTCCCCATACAATCATTACTGACCATGGGACACAGTTCGATTGCAGGCCGTTCGAAAATTTCTGCGCCAGGAACCGCATCACATGCAGAATGGCCTCAGTCGCATTCCCGCAAGCCAATGGGCAGGTGGAGTCGTCCAACAAACTCATCCTCAGAGGTCTGAAAAGGAGGCTCAAGGAAGCCAAAGGAGGGTGGACCGCCGAGTTGCCACACGTGCTCTGGGCGCACCGGACAAACTACAAGAGAGCAACCGGGGAGACTCCATTCGCCCTGACGTATGGCTCCGAAGCAGTTGCTCCCACTGAGGTTATTCTGCCCTCCCTAAGGGTCCAGACGTACGACCCCGAGGAAAACCACAGAAAGCTCCTCCACCAGCTGGACATGATAGAAGCAAGAAGAGACGCGGCCTTGGTACGAACCATCCAAGAAAAGCTCAAGGTGGCCAAAATCTACAACGAGAAGGTAAAGCCTCGACCGCTTGAAGAGGGAGATATGGTACTCAAGAGGAATTTCGAACAGAAAGAGGGGCACGGCAAGCTAGCCGCCATCTGGGAAGGACCGTTCCTGGTAGCAGAGAAGATAGGGACCGCCACGTATGTGCTGGCTACTATGGAGGGGCAGCCTGTGGCCAAGACTTGGAACGCCATCCACCTAAGGAAGTACCATAGCGAGTAGGAACGAGTTATCCGTAGGAATTTTGTAAGAAGTCAATGCCGCGGTCAAACGCGCTTTTATGATAGTGGTAGTCCACACTCCTGTCAGTGACTTCAGTAATTCAAGTCGCCGCTGAGCGATAGGTTTTCATGTTGTTAACATAAGTTATCCCCATAACTCTCGGCTAGCACCGCCGCTAACTACGACGCCATATTAGAGCTGAAACGCCCCAGAGCAGTAGCTACACACTGTACATACACGCTTTACAAACTCTGCGCGCTTCTCAAGGTAATTGCGGTCCGCGCGTGCCACACGGCCAGCTAAGTTCGTAACTTGAACAATAGGGGTACAAACACCCAACCCGAACGAGAGCTATGTCATCGAGTAATGGGATAACATAGCATTTTACGAAATTGCGCAAGTAAAATCCAACTTCGCAAATTTGGAAGCCGCCTTCGTGCAACAGGAGGCGCCTACCTCGAAGAGGACGTCTCACCCGTCACAAAAAAGGAGTGAAAGTCAAGGCAACCGAAACCGCAAATAAAGGTCCTAAACACTCAGTGATTGAGAGGAAGGAACATAAAGCATCATCCCAAAACAAAATATTACAAAACCGCGCCCGGAGGCGGAATGTATCAAGCGCCCCAAAGGGGGAAAGCAACGATGAAACAAAACACTTGGATAAATTTTTGGTTAAGTTAAGAGGAGCCGCCTTCAGCGGAGGCAGGTTGGTTGACTTCCCCAGTAGTGGTCGCGGCGGCCGCGGACTGGTCTCCCACTTCGGAGTTGACGTCGTTGTCACCCCAAAACTCCACCGCGTCCCAAACCGCGTTTTGATCCCACAACACGTAGGGGTGATCGCGGCGGAACAAGTGACGAATCGAAGCTACCGTGTCCCTCAGTAGCTTCTGGTACTTGGCTTCGTCGACCGCTTTGAACTCGTCCGATTCGAAGAAGGTCGCACGGGCATCCTCCCTAGCCTCGTTAAGCTCGCGTTCCCGCCGCGCCTCCAAGTCAGCTACTCGAGCCTCCAACTCTCCGACCTTGCTCTGCAACCCCTTTTCTCGCTCGGCCGCCTCCCGCACCTTCTGTTGTGCCTCCCCCAGCTCCCGGGCAAACTTCGACAGATCCTCTCTGGCGGTTTTCAGCTCATCATCCTTCACCTTTACGGCCGCCTCCTGCTCCTTAAGGATCTCGTCTCGCAGCTCCCGGCGGAAGCCTTCGCGCCCTTCCTTAACTTGCTCCTCGAGCGTGAGGATTTTGGTCTCACGCTCGCCCAAATCATCGAGCAGGCGCTCGTTGGCAAGGATAAGTTGGCTTATCCCAAACTGGGCCTGCACCCGATAAGCCGGTCAACACTACATGCATATCAAACTTCAGAATTGAAAATAAGTTAAGTTACTCACCGCAAAGAAGCACCGGGCGGTCGTTCCGGCAAGATGACGAGTATCGGAGGTTGTGTGGATGGCGCCCGTCACACGCATGTACTCGCTCGGAACGGCGAATCCCTCGGCAATGGCATGGAGCGCGCGGCGAGCTGGCTCAGCCGAGGAGGTCACATGCGGGGAGTACGCCGCGCTGGAACTCAGAGTGGAGGTCTTCTGCTTCTTCTGGTTAGTCGGCTGGTCAACAAAGATCCCCTTAAGCTTTGGCTGAGTCCCCGCGGACGGCTCATCCTGGACCTCCACCACCTCTAGTGGCCGCTTGCTCGCCGAGCGGGCCACCCCCTGACTGCCAGGCACTGTCAGCTTAAGTGCACCGGTGCGTCCCAACGCCAGTTGAGACTGGGTCGAACCGCCTCCGGTACGCGGGCCGTCTGACGCAGTGGGACCGGAGATAACAGCCGCGGGGGACCCGCTCGTCGCCACCTTAGGCGGCCTCGCCGAGGACGCATAGCGCCGGATACCTGAAAGATGAATACATAAGTAAAGGCATGAGCAAGCTACCTCCCATCAAAGTCTAGGAGAACTAACTAACCGTGAAAGCGCTGCACAATCTCAAGAGCGTTATCATGCCCATGCGGGGGCAACCGAAACTGGACAGTTGAGATGAGGCGGTCGAGATGCGGCCTCAGATGCTGCAGCCGCTTAACCCCTTCGTCCCAGTCCTCAGTCCGCCCGAAGGAGAATGCGGTCAATGGCTCCACGTATCCCGAATACCATTTCCCAGTCGGACGAGCAAAGAAGTACTCGCTATACCACGGGGAGTCCAGCTTCGGTGATCCATAAACGAATCCAACATTCTTTGACCGCCTTCGGGGGGACCAGCAGTTCTTTGAGCCGGTCATTGCGTACAGCAGCCGAAAGGCGTCAAGGGAGGGCTTCTCCTTTAAGCGGTCGCAAGCCGCACGATAGCAGAGAGAGTGGAAAACTATGGAAGGAGAAAGGCGGCTCAAGGAACAGTTAAGAGTTAGGAGCACCCCGGTGAGAAGCGGGTCCAGCGGGAACTCCAACCCTAGACGCATGTGCTCCGTGAAGATGGTGATCCACCCGACGGGGCAAGAACCGCAGCGACCATCCGGGGAAGGAGCCGCGTAATCCCATTCGGTAGGAAGCTGGTGCCTATGCAGTTGTCGGAGCACTTGGGTAGGGGTGTAAGCGGGTTTGTACTTCGGACCGTACGAATAAACCGCATCAGGAACCTCGCTCCCCTCCCACATGTCCGCATGCAGCCGCACGCGGTACTCACTATCCGCAACCTCCTGAAACGGGTGAATCACCGGCGTTTCTGACAGCGCTAGTGAAGGAGAATCCGCGATCGAGTCCTCTCTGTCCGAGTCGCGAGCCGTGTCTTCCGGCACGTTCTCCGAGGACAGCTCCACCAGGTTATCCCCAACCCGGGAAGTCGCGCCGCGGTCAACCAAAGAAGTAGCCGTGTCGGTTAGCACGCCCACTCCTAACCCTAAAATACAACTGTCAGGTCTATCTACATGCTCACCCGCGGCAACCGCATTACCACCCCCACATAGCATTTCAATACCCTCTGAGTCCCATTCTATGTCGGATAAACTTAAAGAGTGGGAGAAAGCGGGCATACCTGCTCCAGGGGCAGAACCGCCAGCGCTGGCGGTCTTAGCGGATGCACGTACGGTACCGGCGCCGACTCGAGGAGCTGCGACGTTACCGGCGGCAGTGGCCGCCGCCGTGTCAGACGCGGTGGTTGTCGCGGCAGCGGAAGGAGTGGTGGTAGCAACGTCGGAGGCAGACGGCGGCGCTGAGTCACCGGAAAGGCCACGGTTCTGACTATCAGAGGGAGTAGTTGCTTGGGAAACCATCACGAACAACTGTTTCTTCTTATTCTTCTTGTCTCGTTTCTGGGATCTTCTCAGGGAAGATAGAAATCGGCGTCGCTCCACAGGGATGGAAGGATGATTCTCCAGATAACGAGAGAGGGAGAACTTGGAGCACCGCGCAATTTTGAAATAGGAACCAAGAAAGAGAGAGTGCAAAAGCTTCTTCTCGACAGAAACACTCGAGGTATATATAGCGGCAAAAGAGACTGATGTGACGGTTGAGTGCCCGAGGAAGGCTTTGGGCTGCAAAATTCAAAAGGCGGGCAGGTGAAAGGACATATCCGCCTGCCCGGTGTCAGAGCACGGTAACCAATACACGGCCACGTGTATAAAGTGTTCCCACCAGGAAAACCCGTAAAGCGGTCAGAACGCTGCTTAGACAGGAGCAACCCTAGGTCTATGGCGACCAGGGGCAGAACAGGACAAGGAGGAGGAGCGAGCCGCTCAACTAAGCTGAGAGCATTACAGGTAGCCGCCAAAACCCTAGGCTTTTCCCGCCTAAGGGGCAATTGTTGGGCCGCATAGTTGAGCGTGTTTGGACCTCGGGCCCAAGAGAAGCGAGTCGGAGTTTAAGGCCCAATAAGGAGTCCAGGCCCGATCGGAAGGCCGGGTCAGCAGGCGGTCCAAGGAATGCTGTGAACCCGAGGAAGAGGATAAGGGCGACTGAGCAGCGCAGAGGGGCAGAGAGCCGTTGAAGATGCGTATCTGGTGTCAGGCAAGACTGAGCATTTATTGCCAGCCGCAGGCGGCCTGCAGAAAGGCTGAAAGCCTGCCCAGGACGCCTAACAGTTTCTGAAAAGCATGAAAGGGCGCTCGACCAGGTCTGGGGCGCCCGACACAGCATTTAATGCCTCAACCACCCTCAAACCAGGTATAAATAGAGGAGAGTGCATTAATGGTAAGGCCAACTACTATTCATCTCTCTACATAACTTCTCATTTTCCCAACTCTCTCACTAACTTGAGCTTCGGAGAGTGTCCCGGGCGAACCGCCCCGGACCCTTGTTTTGCAGAGCATCTGGAGCGACCCCTAACATCCAAGATCAGGCGCCCTGTCCCAGCTCCGCAAACCGCCTAGTATCTACTAGGCACAAACAGGTATGTTTTGGAGGAATAGAGGAGAGAGTCGAGTTGCTGATTTTGAACAGATTTGGCTTTAAAGAGGGTTCATTGCCTGTGTGATATGTGGGTGTCCCACTTCAATCTGGTTCATTGACTAGTGCAGATTGAAGTCTACTCATTGACAAGTTGACTAGTAGGGTGAGATTTTGGAGGGCTAATAAGCTTACCTACGCGAAAGTTGTTAATCTCTTCAGTTCTCTACTCTATCACTCAATACCGGATGACAATCATCGTTTTGCGCCAAAACAAGTTCTTGCTAGTATTCAGAAGATCTGTTCTGACTTCCTGTGGTATGGTGAGGGGACCGGTAAAGCAAAAGTTAGTTGGATTGCAATTTGCTTGCCTAAGAAGGAAGGTGGATCAGGACTAAGAGATTTGAAAACTTGGAATATAGTCTGTGTTGGTAGGATGCTTGGGATGCTTTTCATGTGTGGAGGCTTGTTCTAGGTTGCTTGGATTGAGAAGCACAGGTTGAGAGGGAGGTCGCTATGGATGATTCCGGAAACACAAAAAGGTTCTTCGCTCTAGAGGAAGCTCCTCAAGCTGCGATCCTGGTTTCAGTATCGTCTAATACGAGAAGGGTCTGAAATTACATGGAAAAGCAAACTGTTAAAGACATTCAATAAGAACAATTTGGCAATCCATTCGACCTAGAGGCCAGAGGGTGGAATGGTATGCTGCTCTATGGGATAAAACTCAATATACCTCGACATAGATTCCTAGCATGGTTGGTCATTCAACACAGAATCAAAACCAGAGTCCAATTAAAGGAGGGGTGAAGTTATTGACTCGGATCTCTGTTTGCTTTGCTAGTCTATGCCAGAAACAAAGGATCACCTATTTTGCAGTTGTCAATACACTACTGAAGTGCTACTTGCTCTGTTTCCCACCCTGTCGTGGTCAATATATTGGGAGGGAATGATGGAGCAGTTAGCCAATTTGATGGCTCAAGGCTGTTAGTTGGGGTTTGCTATGGTGTTGTTTCGTGTCTTTGATATGTGTCGAACTCCATGGACAAAGCAGAAGAAGGTGAAGATGAAGAAGAGCTCGAAGCCCCTGTAGCAGCAACGGTCAAAATGAAGAAAATGGAAAGAGGCGCGTTGCTGAAAGAAGAGAAGAAGAAGACCCAAACGACATCGTACAGCATAGTAAATAGAATAGTATAAATATTAGTTCTTTTAGTTTAGCTGTCCAGTTTCCAGCTGCCACTTGTCTCGTTTTATATGGACAAGGTAGTTAGAATCTGTTTGCCCTGTAGTTCCTATTTCTCTGTACATATACCAGCAGCTTTGCTGCAGAAATCAGTGAGAAAATCATTCCACAAAATCGTCATCACTTTCAATTATTCTTTTGCCATCAGAGCCTCTGGCTTTCCTCATCTAGGATTTCGTGAACCTTTTCTAAAGCGCCGCCATGGCGACCTACCAAGAAGATTCTTCTTCTACAACACGAGCTACAGCAACTGAAGGACCTCAGCCACAACGTCAAGCAGTTGATCCCTACTATGTCAACCCAAATAAAAACCTGTCTCAAGGTATAATCTCTGTTAAACTTGATGGGACGAACTATCATGTTTGGAGTAGATCAATGCGTATAGCACTTAAAACCAAGAAGAAACTTGGATTTGTGAATGGAACCTTACCTATGCCTCAGCCAACAGATCCAGATTATGAAATCTGGGATCAAAGCAACACCAACGTGATGGGTTGGATCTTGAACTCCTTAGCAGATCCTATTGCTGAAGCAGTCATGGATAATGAGACTGTGTTGGATCTCTGGAAAGATTTACAGGAAAGGTATGGAGAAGCTGACTCCATCAGATTGGCCCATGTTAGAGGAATGATAGCCTCTTGCAAACAAAACAACAGCACTGTCATAGAATACTACAACAGACTGGGTGTTCTGTGGACAGAATTCATGTCATTTAAGTCGATCCCTGCTTGTGAATGTGCAAATACACCTCATACCATGAACTGTGTTACATATGCTACAGTTAAGGGTTCACAAGAGCAAGACCATACCATTGATTTCATCATAGGGTTGAATGATAATTTTGAGATGACTAAGAACCAGTTGCTGATGATGGATCCTGCACCAAATCTCAAGTCAGCATACAAGTTATGCACTGAAGTTAGAAAGACAGATGAGTAAGCAACCTGCAAAAAGAAGCAACTGGTGTGGACTCAGTTGCACTAGCTGCTACAAATCAAGCAAAGGGACGAGAACAAAGGAATGACTATCCTATGAATGACTACCCTAGAGGAGGAGGAAGGCCAAACTACCATCAAGGGAACTACCCTAACAACAATCAGAGAGGGAGTGCAGAAGGAAGTGGAACTGGACAACAGAATTTATTCTGCAACTATTGTAAGAAAAACAACCATGTGATAGCAGATTGCTGGAGACTGAAGAGAAAAAGGGGAGAACCTGCAGGTCCAAATTTTGCAGCAGCAGCAACTTCAACTGGAGGACAAGATCAAGGCAACACAGGATATGCTGGAAGTGGTGATCAGGACAACAAGAATCACAATACTACCACACTTCAGCTGACCCCTGAAGATTGCAACAGGCTTATGATGCTGCTACAACAAAATGCAGGAACCCCTACACAGAATCAACCCAACATACAACCTCAGGCACACTCTGTATCTAGGTTCATCAACCACATGCCTGACAATGCAAGTAAATACACACTTTCTACATTTACTGGTTACAAACAGAATGAGCTATTGAATAACTGGATCATAGATACTGGTGCATCTGATCACATGTGCTGCACCCTTACCTCTTTCACAACCTACCAGCCAGTAGAGAACATTTTTGTTACCCTGCCAACTAGTTCTCGAGTCAAGGTAGAACACATAGGGACCGTCAGAATCAATCACAACCTCACCCTAAGCAATGTACTACATGTTCCCAATTTTACATTTAATCTCATTTCTGTCAGTTCCCTAACCAAATACCTTCCTATCACCCTAAACTTTCAATCTGACTTCTGTGTTGTTCAGGACCTTCATACACAGAAGAAGATTGGTTTTGCAAGAGAGCTTAGAGGACTTTATCAACTTCAAACCACTATCACCAATCAACCAAACTCCATTTTAGTGGCAGCAGTGAGCAGACCCGAGAATGAAGACATGCACTTGTGGCATGCTAGATTAAGACACATATCCAATTCTAGAACTGAAATCTTTCAGAAATGTAATCCTGAGATACCTCTGAGTACTATCAGCCACTATGAAACTTGTCACTATGCTAGACAAAAGAAGCTTCCCTTTTCTCCTAGCTTACACAGTTGTAAGGAACCATTTGAGCTTATTCATTGTGACATTTGGGGGCCACTGAGTACCACATCTTATGATGGTTTTTCCTATTTCCTAACCATTGTCAACGATTTCTCAAGGGCTGTTTGGGTTTACCTTATGAAAAACAAATTTGAAGCCAGACCCATTCTACAACAATTTTGCACCATGATCCTGAAACAGTTTGACAAGCCAATCAAAACCATTAGAACAGATCAGGGACAAGAGTTCCACATGGCAGACTACTATAGAACCCATGGTATCACCCACCAAATGTCTTGTGTAGAAAGGCAACAACAAAATGGACGTGTTGAAAGGAAACATCAAGACATTTTAAACATAGCTCGTGCTCTTAAGTTCCAATCCAATGTTCCTTTAACCTTCTGGAGTGACTGTGTTCTTTATGGAGTTCACATCCTAAACAGACTACCTACACCTATCCTAGCCAATAAAACTCCTTTTTGAAAAACTATGCAACAGACCACCAGACTATTCACCACTTAAAGTTTTTGGATCCCTATGCTATGCTGCTACTTTGGAGAGTGGTAGAACTAAATTCCAACCACGAGCTCGCAAAGGAATGTTCATTGGCATTCTGCCAGGAATTAAAGGGTATAGGATCTATGATCTAACCACCAAGCGAGTGTTCGCTTCCATGGATGTTGTTTTCCATGAAACAATATTCCCTTTTTCATCCAATCAAATTCCTATCTAGCCTACAACCTCAAACTACATTTCTCCTTCAGCCACTTCACCTAGTTTCCCAGAAACCATTAACCATTCCCCAGCACAAGATCATTTGCATACAGGTCTAAATCTAGTTGTTCATGATACTGATTACAGTATCACCTGGTTTTATCAACTTTGACACACTGGATGCATATGATTCTGAGTCCATTGATGAAGTGGAAGCTGAAGGAGAAGGGGGAGTAACGCAGGAAGAAGCTCCACATACTTCTTCTCCTTCACCTCCACCTCAACTTGTAAGAAGAATAGGGAGAACCATCAAACCCCCAGTGTGGCATGGAGACTACTTTGTTGGCAGTTCACAAAGCAAGTATCCTATATCATCCTACATGGATTTTTCACAACTCAGTCAGGCTCACAAACATCATTCTCTAGCAGGCACTAATCTCCAAGATCCACAGACTTTTCAAGAAGCCATGCTAGAGGAATGGTGGAGAGAAGCAGTGAAGGAAGAACTGAAGGCTTTGATAGCCAATCATACTTGGGACATAGTGGACTGCCCTGTAGGAAAGAAGTTGATTGGGAACAAGTGGATTTTCAAAACAAAACTATTGGCAGATGGTTCAATAGAAAGGTTCAAAGAAAGACTTGTAGCACAAGGTTTTACACAAATTCCAGGAGTAGACTTCCTAGACACATTCTCCCCAGTTGTGAAAATCAACACTATCAAGATATTGATGGCTGTTGCAGCAGTGAAAACTGGCATCTAAGTCAGATGGACATTAGCAATGCTTTCTTAAATGGGGATCTGGAGGAGGAAGTGTACATGAAAGTACCACTTGGCATGGAAGGAATGGAAGGAAAGGCTTGCAGATTAAGAAAATCTCTATATGGTCTTAAACAGGCTAGTAGACAATGGTATGCCAAGTTGACAGAAGCCTTGATAAGTTTTGGTTTCGTTCAATCTCAGTCAGACTATTCTCTTTTCACAAAAAGGAATGGAAGAGGCATTGCAGTAATATTGGTGTATGTGGATGATTTGATCTTTTCTGGAGACAATGAAGAGCCCATTTAGGAAGCCAAAGATTTCTTATCACAGAAATTCAAAGTAAGAGATCTGGGCAAGTTAAAATACTTCTTGGGTCTGGAAGTAGCTAGAGGCAGCAGTGGAATTACAATCAGCCAGAGGAAATACTGTCTGGACTTGTTGAAAGAAACAGGTTTCCTTGATGCAAAGCCATGTAGAACACCATCAGACATGAAGAAAAGACTGTCAAGATACAATGAAGACCCACATCACTACAAATCCCTAATTGGAAGATTGGGATATCTAACAACGACAAGACCTGACATAGCTTTTGCTGTGCAGCAACTATGTCAGTTTCAAGCTCAACCAAAAACTTCACATATAAAGGCTTCACACTGAATTCTAAGGTATCTTAAAAGCTCACCAGGTTAGGGATTGTTCTTCGCATCAAACACAGATTTCTCATTGACAGGATACAGCGATTCAGACTAGGGGGCTTGCCCTGACACAAGGAGATTGATTACTGGGTACTGTACGTTTTTGGGAAGTTCATTGATCACTTGGAAAGCGAAGAAGCAAGCAATTGTCTCTAAATCGTCGTCGGAAGCAGAATACAGAGCATTGTCGCAGATGTCTTGCGAGATTCAATGGATTACACAGATATTGAGGGATTTCAAAGTAGAGTACAAAGGGCCAGCACTGGCATATTGCGACAACAAATCAGCAATTCACATGGCAGAAAACCCAGTTTTTCATGAAAGAACGAAACACATCGAAATCGACTGCCATTTCATAAGAGAGAAGGTGAAATCAGGGTTAATTGATTTGAAGTATGTGTGTACTGACCGGAACTTGGCAAATGGCACGAAAGGGCTCAGTGCACACCTATTCAAATGGATTGTGTTCAAGCTGGGAGTATATGATATATACTCGCCAGCTTGTGGGGGGCTGTCGAACTCCATGGACAAAGCAGAAGAAGGTGAAGATGAAGAAGAGCTCGAGGCCCCTGTAGCAGCAACTGTCAAAATGAAGAAAAGGGAAAGAGGCGCGTTGCTGAAAGAAGAGAAGAAGAAGACCCAAACGACATCGTACAACATAGTAAATAGAATAGTTTAAATATTAGTTCTTTTAGTTTAGCTGTCCAGTTTCCAGCTGCCACTTGTCTCGTTTTATATGGACAAGGTAGTTAGAATATGTTTGTCCTGTAGTTCCTATTTCTCTGTACATATACTAGCAGCTTTGCTGTAGAAATCAGTGAGAAAATCATTCCACAAAATCGTCATCACTTTCAATTGTTCTCAATATGGAAGGAACGATTTGCTAGAGTGTTCACAGCAGTTAAAAAGAGTAGTGAGGAGTTATTGCAGCAACTCAAGCAAGAAGTTAACTTCTTTTGTGCGGAAACTCTGAGTTTCTTCCATGTATTGAGTAATTATTCAGTATACTTTTATGCTTTGTATAATGTTAGCAATAAGCTTAGTGGTTAGAGTTAGAGTGTAGTTAGCAAGAAGTGTTCATTGCCTGTGAGATATGTGGGTGTCCCACTTCAATATGGTTCATTGACTAGTGCAGATTGAAGTATACTCATTGACAAGTTGACTAGTAGGGTGAGATTTTGGAGGGCTAATAAGCTAACCTATGCAGGAAAGCTGTTGTTAATCTCTTCAGTTCTCTACTCTATCACTCAATATCGGATGACAATCATCGTTTTGCGCCAAAACAAGTTCTTGCTAGTATTCAGAAGATCTGTTCTGACTTCTTGTGGTATGGTGAGAGGATTGGTAAAGCAAAAGTTAGTTGGATTGCAATTTGCTTGCCTAAGAAGGAAGGTGGATCAGGACTAAGGGATTTGAAAACTTGGAATATAGTCTGTGTTGGTAGAATGCTAGGGATGCTTTTCATGTGTGGAGGCTTGTTCTGGGTTGCTTGGATTGAGAAGCACAGGCTGAGAGGGAGGTCGCTATGGATGATTCCGGAAACACAAAAAGGTTCTTCGCTCTGGAGGAAGTTCCTCAAGCTGCGATCCTGGTTTCAGTATCGTCTAATACGAGAAGGGTCTGAAGTTACATGGAAAAGCAAACTGTTAAAGACATTCAATAAGAACAATTTGGCAATCCATTCGACCTAGAGGCCAGAGGGTGGAATGGTATGCTGCTCTATGGGGCAAAACTCAATATACCTCGACATAGATTCCTAGCATGGTTGGTCATTCAACACAGAATCAAAACCAGAGTCCAATTAAAGGAGGGGGGGAAGTTATTGACTCAGATCTCTGTTTGCTTTGCTAGTCTATGCTAGAAACAAAGGATCACCTATTTTGCCATTGTCAATACACTACTGAAGTGCTACTTGCTCTGTTTCCCACCCTGTCGTGGTCAATATATTGGGAGGGAATGATGGAGCAATTAACCAATTTGACGGCTCAAGGCCGTTACAAGCTAGTTGGGGTTTGCTATGGTGTTGGTTCATGGCTTTGATATGGAAGGAACGATGTGCTAGAGTGTTCACAGCTGTTAAGAAGAGTAGTGAGGAGTTATTGCAGCAACTCGAGCAATAAGTTAACTTCTATTGTGCGGAAACTCTGAGTTTCTTCCATGTATTGAGTAATTATTCAGTATACTTTTATGCTTTGTATAATGTTAGCAATGAGCTTAGTGGTTAGAGTTAGAGTGTAGTTAGCAAGAAGTGTTCTTTGTGTTTTGTTGTATGGTTGGAGTCATAGCAAATTGCAGTTGTTTTCGAAATGCTTGTTTTACCAAGCTGCGCTAATAAAGAGAACAATTATCGGAAAAATAATTATGTTAAAAAGGAAGATTATGCTCAATATTCATTTTTTTTAAAAAGGGTAATGTTTATTTTTTATCCAAATATTTTTCAGATTCTTTTATATTATCCAAATCTATTAAAATGCTATTAATTAGCCAAATCTTTCGTAATACATCAAAATATTAGTCATTATTACGGTATCGTTAATAATTTTGTAACTCTTTTCTTAGTTAAAATACCAAAATTTTGTAATGTTGACCTTCAAGTATCTCTTTCAAGTCAGTATGATGTTGTCAAGTCAATATTACTAACAAAATTGTTATATGAAAGTTAACATTTGATTAATTTTTAGTATTTCGATAGGTTTGGCTAATAAAAAAGAATCCAAAAAAAGTTTGGCTAATAAATAGTTATTACCCTAAAAAAATCAAACAACAAATAAATTTTGGGCGGGAGGCAAGTTCGTTCTTTAGTTTAGCATTATTTCCCCTAGTTTTAAACATTAGTAATTAGAATAATCTATTGTATATCTGCATTCTACCATTAGATTGATTTGGGGTGTTTTAGTAACATATAACCAAAAATGTTCCGGTTTGATCGATCCCAATCTATTTTATGAAAACTGTCACTATTTAAGGAATGAATTCCATAAAAAAATCAAGTGTAGGGCTTTCTTATTCTTTTGGATTTTTTCCTCATAAAAGCAAACATTATTTGTGAGATACACGTCATGTAATCGAGCATCATGATTTCCTTTAGGGTATTTTGGTCGATAGAATAATTGTATTATTTGACGGAACACGTTACTTCTTAGGTGAGCTAAGTTTCCCCTATGATCCCACAAACCCTAGCATATTTCCCAATAATTCAGACTTAATTTGCCCTAAAGTACCCGGCACAAGTAAAAAAATCATTTCTCGGTAATAGTACAATACTTCTATGTGTGGTTAACACTTTTCCAATTTATCTATTATCCTCCTTTCCTGTAAATAGAAATCTTTCGTCCATTGAGATAATGGCAAGAACATTGAAAATTATTCTTTGAAACTTTACTTGCATTACTGTGTTCACCTTTTAATTACGATCTTTACTTTTTTTTTTTATCTTCAATTACCTATCAATCTACGTATATTACTTTCACGAGTCTCAAACTTAAAGTAGAGATATAATTAAGAGTGGCCAGTTAATTAAGAGAGCAGGGTTAGTAAGTTAATTAGTCTAGAATCTAGATAGAGATACGTGGATCCGAGTGTATATGTAGCTTTAATTTATATAGAAAGCGTGTTATTATGAAGCTGAGATGGATTGCAATTCTGCTGCGGAATAACTTAAAAATGGTTAAGCAGGAATTTGAGAGTAAGAGAACAAGGTTTAGAGAGTGAGAGGGAAATGGCCTAATGGGACATTACCTAATTATGTCAGATGATGATATAGCTTGGCCACAACCTTAGTTATTACATTATTGGCAATAATATCCTGATTTGGCAAAGTAATGGGAAATTGTATAAATCTTGAGCAAGTAATATCCGCATTCATATTTGGAACAAAATTGTAAAATGAAGAACCATTTATCCATATATTCTTGAGTAATATATCCAGCTAAATTATTTTTATTGTGTATAAAATTTATTCCATTACATAAACGTACGGTATTCTAATCATATATATAATTATGAGAGGGTTAATAATTTTTTTTCCAAATCTTATATGTGTCTCGTGACAGAGCCAAATGAGTTGGCTCTGTCATTGATTGTCATGCTCATATGGGTATTGAGTCGGACGGACCCAAATGAACATATATACACTACTGATGGTTTTAAGTGGGTTTGAATTATGATTAATTTGAGTTAATTCATTTGGAGACCCTAATAGGTCTAATTGGATCCACATGCTTGTATAAAAAGAAAAAAAGAAAAAAAAACAATGTCAGCCATTTGATTAACCATACCTTCAACCCAATCACAACTTTAATGGAGGTGTAACCACCTTTCTGCTTGTTTCGTACAAATAAAAAAGAGACATTTCGCATTAGAATCGAGTGTCCTTTTTTTTTTGCACCCAATATTATAAGTCCAATTTAAACCTAAAAAAAAATTTGAGTATGAATCTGCTTCAAAAGTAAAATTGTCCAAACTCGATTCTTGACCTGCAATAAGTTGAGTTTGAGTAATTCTCAGATGTTTTTTCATTTTTTTTTTACATCCCTAATTGAATGTTAACTAATAATGTGAATCTTACTTTGATTGACAGCCTCATATTATTTTTATCCACTCATCAAATGATGACAAAGCTTTGGCCAGAACCTTAGTTTATTAGTCCATTATTGGCAACAATATCTCGATTTGGCGCACGATTGGTCAGATGGGTGGTTCTATTGTGAATATAGAGTCAAAACATAGTTTAATCAAAGTAATGGGAATTTGTCACCATGCACTGATGAGAATGACCTATTCAGTTCAGACACAGAGTGGGAAAGATACCGTTAATCATAGTACTGTGTCCTAATGAAACTACTCATCATGAATCTGAATTCCTAAATGATCAAATGGTGGATTATTGGGGTGAACTAGCTAGTTTTCTCTTCATAAGTACTATAATTTTCGGAACTGATTGAGGAGTCTCGTCTTCGAACTCTTGCTATCTTTACTGTTAGCATAATTGATTTAATTGATTCAAGTATTGAAAAGAGGATTCTAACTAAAACAATAAAAAATGATACTTTTCATAAGTCCAAATGATTTTTTTTTTACAATAAAAAAAGTAGAAGGACCAATAAAAAATGATACTTAAGTGATACCGGGTACACGTATAATAGAGTTCAGTGGCACCCGACGCTCTATTCAAATTTAAATGGTATGCCAACCCCAATTCTCAAACTTAAGTGGCACCCTAGATATTTTACCCTGATCTTAATCATCTTCCATCAACTTAAACTTAGATGGACGCGCGAACTCTCGTAACATTTTGAGATTATGCTCTCTTGATTGGATAGTTAGTGCTATACACCAGATTTATTCTTTCATCCCCTGATAAAATGGGATCTGCTAGCTAAAATCTCACTGGGTAGGCTGGTCAACTTATTGGTAATTTCCAAGGATGCTAATATTGCTGTAGCTCCACCTTTCCATGAAAGAAATTAATAAACAGAACTATACATATATACACAGGAAGCAAGCAACAGCTAGCAAGAATCAATCTACATATACTATATATATATGGCATGCATGCAATGCATCACATTATGCTCAGGTTTTGATTTGATTTGAAGTTCTCTTCATCATAAAGGCAGTGTTTTGGGAGAAGGATAAATAACAGTATATGCCACTAAGGAAAAAGTCGATCCATTTCTGCAGATGGAAAGTTGATGATCGAATTAGGCAGGCAATCGATGACATGATCAACTGCAATGTAACATAATAAGGGATCGGAATCGGATAATAGAAAGAAGAAGTAAGCGCGCATCAATCGATGTTTCATTTATTCGTGGGGGTTCTCTCCTTTTCTGGGCTAATTAAGTTCCAAAGAATCAAAATGAGGCAAATAATAATCTGCAGGAAAAACGAAATCGCATGTCGACAGAAGCAAGCTGCAGATGCTCCAAAACCATGATTTTGATTGACGCTGATCGAGCGAGCTAGCTTATATGTTGCAGTTCAATTTAGAGAGGGATATTGTTGATGTGACTTGAATCGGACTATCAGCCGCTACGACTGGTAATCGGGGGTCTCAATGTTATTTGAGTTTGGGTTCTGGGCCTGGTCTGTAACCGTTTCCTTTGCCAGATTGGATTAGGTTTAGACCCACATGGAGAAGTACTATAAATACTTCTCATACTCCTTTGTAATCTGTAATCTCCTTGATATAGTGAAATTGGCTCTCTCTCTCGCCCGTGGACGTAGCTAACACACATCGTGTTAGTGAACCACGTAAATCGTGTGTCGTGTTTTCGATTCTCATTTTCGTATTCTTGCTTTGTCGATTCCGGCGATTTCCCGATCCGTAGCAACGCGTTTTATAACAGATATGGTGAATACTCATTAATATTTTATTATGGGCTCATGTGTATTGATCATATTTTATTATACCACATATTAACACGTACCCTAAAAAACCCACTGATAAAGGGCTTGAAATTTGCACAGATCTGAATATCATGTGTTTAACAAATTGGAGTCGTAGGGATTTGAATACAAAATCTCTCGATAAGATTCTGATACCATATAAAAAACAGGTTAATCCCAATAACTCAACATTCAATAATAAATGTTGTACCACATACTAACTATTGCAACCTAGGTTCTTGTTTTGGTTGGTTTGAGGTGGGCAAAGTGTGTGTCCACTAGTTTGCCAAATGGTAGGGGTGGAAACGGTGAGGTCCGGATCTACCAGACCATATATACGTTCGGTGGTCCAGAACGAGAAGCTGTAGCACAGACCATGGACCAGATCATATACTATACGGTCCAGACCACGCTTGTGCAGTGCGATCCGGTACGGTCTGGACTAGGCAGATCATGTTAAAAAAAATCACATTTATTCCGCACTCCAACCCTTTTCCGTTATCTATAAAAATAAAAAAAATTATAATGACCAATGTGCTAGTGATACAAAAATTTAGTGATCGTAATTAAAACGGAAAGAAATATATGGGGAGAGAAGTGGGCTTTTTCAATTTTCAAACTCTCTTTCCAATCTTTACGGCTCTATCCAGTATCCATTAAGAGAACACACATCAAATAGCCTTGTTTCTCTCTTCCTCTTTATGTTACCGCTTCTCTCCCTCTCTCAGGTGATCCAGAAGGTTCTCATGGCCGATCACCGTAGTGATGACGTCGAGGTTGTTTTGAACGACTAAGATGGTCCATTATCTCTCAATTATTTTCCTTATCTGATCGAGATGAATGAATTTTTTCTAATGTTTACGGTTTTTGTGTGGTTCTTTGATAAGGAAAGCGATCATATGGGCAATATGTTGGCTCTCAATTGGAAGAAGAATCAACTGACTTTGTTCTTCATACAGA